GCCCGCCCCCGCGCCCCCCCCCCCCCCCCCCCCCCCCCCCCCCCCCCCCCCCCCCCCCCCCCCCCCCCCCCCCCCCCCCCCCGCAGCGATTGCAGTAACCTCTCCCAGCGTCAACGGCAGGGGTTCTGCAAGTTGCTGTCAGTTATTGTCGAGGTCGCGCGCGACTGCTTGGAGATATTCAACTTTTTTCATGGACCCCTGTTCTTCGTTTGACTAGACCTGCGCCTCAAAGGATAAGCCTTAAATGTGGCTAAGACAGTGCCTACATGTAGGGTGGAAAGGTGGGGCTCACACTCAAAGGGCAGTCGTCATCTGCCTGGGTCTTTCTGGGGGAGCCCAAACTCGAATCTTATCACTTCCGTTCAAGTTTCAAGTTTCAACTTTCGACTTCCAACTACGATTCGTGAAAGTTTGATCATGTCATCCGTTCCTCGATTCGTGCCTACATCCACTTCGAATGAATCTTCTACTCGTCGATAAGTGTCAATTCACACTTCGTCCTATGAGCTAGAATGCTATTCTATCGCAGAAAAGCCATTCGTACCTGTACCTACCTGGGATCATAATCGTCAAGAGTATTTATTTTCATTTTCTAATTTTCCAAGAATGGGGCTCTTTCGCTGCTCAGACGATGCATGTATGGCGCCGAGCCTCGTCGCGCCCTCGGCGACGTCAATGACATTATCACTAGCACCTTTCGTAATAACCTTCGTGGCCGTTTCTATTCTGGTCTCTCAAAAGATATTTCCCTATCTAGCCCGTGTCCAAAATTCTCGAGACGGAGAAGACCACTTCCTCCCTTCTGATGCGCCTATATCACTCCAGCAAGCGCATGCTGAGCATGGCGCTAAATCCCTACGAAGACGGATAGCGGAAGCCGCTTTTTCTACCACGGTCGGATTAGCCGTCGTATTAGGCGAATTGATCTTGTGCGAGATCTCTGAATTAATCAACCCTTACGCCCGAGCGCTAGCTCTGCGAGTCACCGTTCCCACCCTCTTGTTTCTCCTCGTTGTACTTATACCCTTCCTTGAACTCCAGTCTCTTGTAGCCGGTTCGGGATGGTCGTTCCAACGCAACTCTAAAGGCAAAATCCCCCGGGCTGCTTGGATTCTCCAGTTTGTCATGTTCAGCGTCTGGTTATGCGCCTTCTGGTCCCTAGGGAACCTCGTACCGGTAGGAAGTGAAGCAGTGCGTCCTAGCGCTAAGATGGAGAAGGCCCGGGTCGAACCCGCGATTTCTGGCAGCTTAGCACGTGCCTGTCTTGAGCGCATTGGTGTCATTGGTATCTCATTGATGGCTTTATTATCTGGGTTCGCCTCGGTCTCTTCGCCGTGGCACACGTTTGGTAATCGTACAAGGCGCCCCGTAACGGATGCCGATGTTGCCCGTAAACAAGCGGGCCTCGATGCAACCAATGAAATGCTTATAACTAAACGACACCGTTTACAGACCCTTCTACGTAAGGTAGCCGAGACCCCATCGACCGAGAAGCGTGGGTTTGTAACTAAGGTTATCGGTTCTATCCGCGGTGGTGGTGACGCAGCCGAAATCCGTACGCTGCGTCTCGAGATCGCGGGCTTGGAGGCCATGGAATCAAACCTATCCTCTTCCCTTAATACGCTCCGCTCTCGACAAGCCAACTCGGCTCGGGCTGCAACTTTTTCTGGAAAACTACTCTCGATACCTACGTACGTATTCAGCGTATACTGCGTTTATCGTATCATAGCGACTACCCTGACTACTTTGCGGCGTCTGTATTATCCCACTGCCTCGTTTTCCTCTTCGGATCCCATTAATCGGTTCTTGGGTCTCCTAGCGAAGCATTGGGACCCTAAGCTTGATCAGATTGCCTGGGCTAGACAGATATCGTTCTTATTATCCGGTGTTATTCTCGCCGCGAGCGCCAACAGTGCACTGCAGACATTCCGTCTATTCGCGAAATGGACTCCTGGACTCCTATACCAGGCGCAGGCTAATCTTGCACTGTTAATTGGGCAGATCAGTGCTATTTACGTGATTTCTGCCGCTCTACTCTTACGAAGTAACCTCCCTAAAGAGGTAGGCAGTGCAGTCGGCGACGCCCTTGAAAGCGCCTTGGAGCCAGGTTTCGTAGATAGATGGTTTGAAGGCTGGTTCCTTCTTGCCAGCGTAGCAACAGCTGGAGGGATCTGGCTAGGTGGGAAGATTGGCGAATGGAGTGAGGAATGGGATGATATTGGGATGGAAGAGATGGGACAGAAACAATCATAATGATTATCACACACCATTATTAATTCATATCATTTTTCAGTACCTACCAAGTACAGGCGGCCGAACATTTTATTGCACCAGGGAAATGATAACGGTTTTCAACAATACCATACGCTTAAAGTTTGATCTACTCGAGCCCTCACTTCACTAAGAAAGAACGACATAATCCAATAATAGAAATATACGCTATCGTTCTTGATACTACCTACATTACCTGGACCCCTTCTCACTTCAATATCCCTCCATCCTAGCTAAAGCCTGGCCTTGTTCAGCCTAAACAATACTCCTTCGGTATAGAGGAATAGACGAAGGCAAACTTTAGCACTAAGCCGCAGGAGCGTCTACAACTGTGTCATCTGACGAAACATCAATTACATCGGATTCCATTCGGGCTCCATACTGGATTAGCAGCTGTTCTATCTGCCTCCTCGACTTGTTATTTACACTCTCCTGCGCGTCGTTACCTGGATCTGACCCTGCTGGCGCCCTATGACATATCTTAAGAGGATGCCAGCTGGCCCATGGCTCAGGCTCCTTTTGTCCATATGGATGCTTTCCATTAGGGTCTCCGACTGAATTGGCATCGCGGGCCTCAATAAGGATACTCTGTACCCTGCTTTCTTCGAGATGCCACACTGCAGCCTGAAGAGGTGTATATAAATAGCCAGGGGGGTTAGGATCTGCGCCTGCTTCGAGGAGCATCTTCAGAAGTTGGCCGGTAGCTGACCCATCGCCTTCGGCGTCATCGACTCCCCAGGGATTCGCAAGAGCCGTAAATATTATGTTGGGTTCATGCGTGAAATTCGCACCGGCATTAATGAAGAGCTCTAAGAACTCGGGACGTTTCCACGCTACGCACAGCTGGAGGAGCGTGACTCCCTTTCCCTTTTCAAATACGCGCGGAATATCCATAGGCAGATTTTCTAGTGCGTTGATGGCGAATTTAGTTGTCCAGACGGCATGCTTTGCTTCGGGTGTCAAGGTTTGGAAACTAGGCTCCTTGAGATACTTCTGCGTAAATTCCGGCCAGTTGAGTAAGATAAGGCTTGCCAAAATACCTGTTTCCTGTCGGAGCTGCCTATTCATCCCTGGTACCATCTCATCGAGAGCACTCAGCCTCGCCCACCGCGGAAACTGTCTACGGAGGTTCATGTTTGTAAGAACTTTGAGATGTGGTCTTCCAGGGATTAAGCATGGTACCACTGAATCCCATATACTTTGGTTTCTGAGGATCATACCCTGGCGGGCTCCTCGCATAGCCGATTCGCTCGTTTCTAGACAGTGTTCCTCATAGCGAGTAGGATATCTCGAGTTAGCAGGACGATTTCTTCCCCATTGCAACAAGCCATTGAACACGACCTGCATCTCCAGCTCGCGGATACTGCTCTCCGACACAGCAAATTCACCCGCCGGTCTCGGTTCTCCTGCATTTTTGGCTTTCGCAAAGAGAAACTCCTTGACGGTAAAATGAGCGACGGCAACCCTCTGGAGGGGAGCATTATCATCTTCACGTCGAAACCACCATTGAGGTCTTCTCCTCAAATTGGTTACCCTGATTAGACAGCCGAGGATCTCCTTCAATGTACCAAGATTATATAAATGTAATGCGCCGTGCCGAACATTGTGAAGGGATGCCTGCACCAACACGTCGGCGCTCCTGGCTTGGAAGGTGCTACTACATATCAGAGCCAGAGCCGTGCGGGCGAACTCTCGCTGCTCTGACTCTATGCTTTGGAGTATTCTGTCATAAGTGTCAAATAGCGTTTCCGGCAAATCATCCAGTGCTTTTAGCACCTTGTCTGCGTCCATGTAGATGCGTTCGAGAATGTCGATCTGGCATGCGACCCAGCGGAACCTAGGAAAAGGTTAACTACCTCTATCTCGATATACTTGGGGGATCGCGGCTATTAACAACTAACATTCCTCTGGCGTTTCTCGCCAGCTTTGTCTCTATCTTTGTCCTGAACTCTGGTAGCCACATTTTGAACTTGGCATTTCGTTCGAATTGTTTCTCGACGTACTTCTGTATCGCTCGCATAACATCGCTATTTGACATAGTGATAGACGTGTAAGGAGTAAAAGCATCGGCCAAGCTATCTAAATTTTGCGCCTTGTCCGCGGGTAGGGGATTCATGGCGGCCGTAGCCTGGCCCATCGCGCCTACAATATCGTCCTCTTCACGACTTGTCATCAGTATTGAGACATTCTCATAGATCATCTCCGTGCCTATTCTAATTAGCACGTCAAGAAGCCTCCGCCGCGGCTTCTTGCTTTCGTCCACGGCATCGACCACCAGGTACACCCGACGATCCTCACTCTTAAACTTCGTAGAAATCGCGGCGAAGCAGTTCATGAGGGCATCGATGTCGAAGACCTGTGAATTGCTAAGCTTCTCCAATTCCTTGGGGATAAAACGATCGATCTGTCGGCTCAAGTCCCCTACAATCCAGCGCAGGAAATGTAACGTCTCATCCTGGTTCCGTTCGTTGTGACAGTAATAGTAGGAATACCCCGTCGCCCGACAGTGCACGGCGATATTGTCAATGAGGAACGAGGCTAAAACCGTCTTTCCGGCGCCGGGGATACCGTAGATCCATATGAAACGACGGTATCCGCCGGGCTCGTACGAGCCCCCGTTCAGCCACTGCTTCCAGCCGCGAGAACTTGTTATCCATTCGCACGTCTCGTCCTCCTGCTTGTCGTGCTGTTCGCGATGGAATTCATACATGTCAAGCTTTGGGGACAGCCAAGCTAAGATTGACCTCCTGTCCTGATCTATTTATTGCCAATTTAGTAACAGGGCGTGTAAATATTTAGGCTATGGATTCACCTTACCGTTCAGGTTAGCCTCAATATCTTTTATAGAAGTGGCAATGGAGGTAAGATTCATGCTATATGAGAACAAGTCAGCGGCAATGCTATAAAAAATCTAGTACAGGTTTTTCTTACGCGTTGTCTGTGTGCACCGCCAGGCTGAGCTGGGTTTTATGTCTCTCAAGCCGCTTTAACAAGTCCTCTGCTTTGCTCTTCTGGAACAGCGGCCATCTGAACCGCGCGGCGAGACCCATCACCGAGTGCCTACGAGACGAGCCCACCGGTGTTCTGGGGACGTTTTGGTTCACGTTGGTGTGTCGCTCATACTGTGTGAGATAGTATTCAGAGGTGATCTGATGAGTCTGCGGTATATGCTGCTGCTGGCCCGCATTCGAGCTGTCATTAGGCTGTCGTGACGGTGCGGCTGCTGGTCTTCCGCGTCCGAATTTACAAAAAGGACCTCGCAAATTACGTGTCTTTTGAGGGGGTCGTTCCTCATCAGACTCCGACTCCGGTTCCGGTGCTACCAACAACAGGAGTTCGTCCAATAGGTTTCTGCACTGGTCGAGAGAGTCTGACAGCCCTGCCTTAGCGGTAGATAGCGGATTATAACCCAGAGTTAGGTGAAGAGTCTCTAGGATAGCTTTCAAGGTGTTGACTTCCAAAGTGATATTCCCGATCAATACAGGGGCATCCTTCACCTGCATCCCGTACTCTACGAGGCACTTGGCGACCTTACTGGTTTGTTTGATGACATCGGAAATAGTCAATAAGGGATCGGCCATGTTGCCGGCTGATGTTCTACCTAAGAATTGGGGTAGAGGATAATTGTGAACGGTTGCAATGCAGGAGCAAAGCAATAATGTGACCTAATGGGCGAGGAGCCAAAGATATAAAGTATTAAGATGAGATGGAGCCGCGAGCACCCTACTAAGCACTGCTGGGGAAACAAATGGCTGGGAAACGAAAGGAACTTCAAACCAACTGCCTCATCAGTTTCTATCAAACAGGGGATTATGCATCCCAACACATTTACTAAACCACAACCAGCACTTTGCACTTCCCAGTGTCCATAGAACGGCAGTTCATCTGCGGGCAGCAAAGAATCATCTCATCATGACAAGCCTCCACACAATATTCAGTTGTTATGGGATACCTATATCGATTGCTCTTATGGCAAGAACGCGCTGGTTCAACTTTCACTACACATATACTGACTACTTGATCAAGCATACTTTGGTTAGGTATGAGCCAGTTCATGTTTACACCAATCAAATACCCATAGAGAAGATCGGATAGGCAAAAGAGTCCAGATGACCTTAAATAACAGCAGGATCAAACCGTTGACGCATATTTTACATGAATCATTTCTCCCAAAGCCTGCAAACTTGTATCAATACCCTCAAACAATCAATTAATGTTGAATATTTATTTCATATAATATGACATAGACCACAATAATTACTATCCACCTACCTAACCTAACTACTTCCTTTGAAGTTTCTTTAACTAGCAGTACTGTTCTTGAGACGGTTATCTCCTGTCTATGAACGTATATGTGAAGCAGTTTCAATAAAGATATATCTTAAAATTCGACCCTGTTTCTTACTACCTACGTATGCTTTCCAGTCAATGCTTTTACCTCATAAATCAGTACCTACCTACCTACCTTACGTATCTGCCGCAGGAAAGGGGGGCGAAGCGTTCTCTGCCGCGAGGCTAGGTACCTGATATTCGTATCGCTATGCCTGAAGGTTAAACAAGGTCATGACTAGGTAGTTACCTACCTGTTAGCCTAGTTATAGATACTTAAACTATACATTCGGTTCAAAGCGTGTTCGTTGAACTACTGTAGTTGCCGACTCTCTATCTACCTACCTTACATTGGAGGGGGTTAAGAGGAATGAATGCTTCTAGGTGTAGTCTTACAAACACAAATAAGAACGGGCTTTGGTTTGGTGTGTGCAAGCCGCAAAAGAGGCCATGTCTTATAATAAATAAAATGTCTAATAACCATATTCTAGGTAGGCAGTTTAGAGTACTTGCCTTCACATTGGAAACAGACAACTCTTAATAGAACCTGACCAAGACTAGCCACATTTTACGGGAGCACATCATGTAGCATACAAGTCTTAAGCACCTACCTAACCTAGGTAGGTAATTTTCCTTTCCTTCGTAGGTATTGTATTATATATATCTTTACATCCACACACGCAATGGAATTTTCATGAGCTAACCGGTATATCGAGACCAGACAAAGAAACCAAAAGAAAATACCCACTGAATCCCAATACCTACACGCTCAAACCGTCCCCCCTCCCCCTTTTCCCCCCTTCTCTCGTGGTAATAGTCATCATACCCCCCCTTTTGGCCCGGCCATCGGCGCACACGAATAAAACGAAAAACCTAGCAATAGGAATAGCAATATTGCTTGCTGCTCGCCCTTAACCTACACCGTCTCCGTCTCTCAGACTCATCAGTCTCACCTGGGTAACCCCCGCCTGCCTGTTCAAGCAACGCAAACCAGCCTCTTCGCTCTACCTACTTCCTCTAACTCGCACACACACACATATATATATCTATAATAGATATAGAAAAGAGAGAGAGAGACAACCGTCTTTATTCTGCCGTCTTCCTCCACAGATCCCGCATCTGCACCACCCCCGGCACGCAAGCGAGCGCGCCGACCGCCGTCTCGCCGAGCAGCCCGGCCTCGGAGCTCCAGTGGAGCGTGAGCGGGGCCCAGGCGAGGTTGCGGAGCAGCGCCTTGCGCCAGGTCGCCGACCACTCGGCCTCCTCGGCCTGGACCTCGGCGGCCGTCTTGGCGCCGCCGGCGAACTTCTCCGCGCGCGTGCGCCGCCCCCGCTTCCCGCTCTCGTACGCGAGCCGCCCGAGCTCCGCCGCCACGAACGCCGCCCAGAACCGCGCGCTCCAGAGCGACGCGCGCCGCTGCGCCGTCCTCGACCACCCCAGCACGCCCTTGGACGAGAGGTACGCGCCGTTCTCGAGCGCTTGGAAGACGACGCACGTGGACAGCTGGAACCAGGAGATGGCGGTCTCGAGCCGGTCGGGCTTCTTCTCTTCCTCCGGGCTCTTCTTCTCCTCCGCCCCCTGCTTCCTCGCCGCTAGCAGCAGCCTCCTGAGCCAGAAGTACATGTTCAGCAGGCCCCACAGGCGGAGGAAGGTCCTGGCGTCGGCGATGGTGGCGCTCAGGGCGCGCAGGCGCTTGGCGAGGGAGAGGGCGAGGGCGGCGCCGCGGCCGGGGAGGGCCTTGGCGGTGAAGACGAGGGTGGCGGAGGGGGGCAGGCTGGCGGCGAGGGCGAGGAGCTGCTGGGCGGAGCGCTGGACGGCGGGGCGGGCCGAGTGCTCGAGGAGGGAGGCGGCGAGGCGGGCGGCGTAGCACACGAACAGCAGCGTCGTGTCGATGCCCGAGGGGGTCTGCAGGCACCGCTGCAGGTGCGCCAGGAAGGCGTCCGCGTTCGAGGGCGCCGCCTTGATCACGTCTTTGATGGGGAACGGCCGAGGAGCAGGAGGAGGTGGCTTGGACACGGGGACCGGAGGCCCGGACGGTACGGGGTCACCCGAGGGCAGGTCCGTGGTCGCGGGTGCGTTGACTTCTGCGGCGCTCATCGTTGGTTTCGTTTCGTTTCGTTGTTGCTGTTCTCTTTCTTTCTTTCTTTCTTTCTTTCTCTCTAAAGTGATGGTAGTGGTGATAGTGGTAGTGTCTTGTGTAAAAATTCCGTATAGACGGGAATTCCTATCCTAATCGACCATACGACGAACCTCTATTACTGATAAAAGATGGTAAACAGCAGTTGAAGCTTGGAAATTAAAAGCACAACGACTTCAAAGACCATCAACCAAAGTATTTAAAATGAATGTTACCGTTAGGCAAGGTAAGCAACGAACGCAACAACAAATAAAGACAAGAAAGACAAAGACAAAAGCGACTAACTAGTTTGATTGACCAGTCAGTTATTGTCAAAGTTATATATAATTTCTAGAAATTGATGTTAGTGCGTTATTTGTATGATTATATGAGAATGTGCTACGAGACGTCGGCGCTGGTGAATTATTTATTTAGTATTTAAGGCACCTTCGACCTTTTTCTTTTCCCTCTACCTCGGCACTCCGGTTCGGGGTGATTTCTACGTAATGGCTCCAATGCTAACGCGAGCCTAACCAACGCTAACCAAATACTCAAGCCAATCGAGGTTTAGCCAGATTAGCAGAAATCCACCTCCCTCATTTTTACCGATATCATTGTGTAACCTAATGCACTTTATAGTGGAGGTATAGGCACATAACTCAGGCACAAAACATATCTACCCAACACACATAACCTAGGTATGCAGCTACTATGTACATACTACATGTACTACCTATGTGAAGCATTATACACGAGATATGCTGATATGAAATCACATGTCATTCTTGTGGCATTTCTCATTTCTTAGGTAGACTTTTAATCCTAAATTTCTACTTCTTACAAGTCAACTCTTTCAAAAGCTCTAGCCCGAAGCCACAATGCTCCGTGGTATTATCATCCCCTAGCACCCTGTATGTAGTTGGTATCAATTGTTGCACCCCATCCCCCCTTAACCGTTTTAAACATTACAAATATTTTTACATGCTCAGGTTTACATCTTCTGGCATTAGCTTGGGCCGTGTCGCTACCATAACATTAACAGAGCAGCACATATCGCAACTACCAACGCTTCCTTGCCGTATCCTGCCGATAAGGCTGAACCCAGTCCCTGCTCTGGAGGTAAAGGATCAAATGGTGTGCCGCCAAAAAAGGGTGTCGGTACACTGTCATCAGACGACGTTGATTGTGACGATTCACTTGGCGTGGTAGGTTGCGCCGTATTTTGTGCTGACGTAGTATCGGTAATCGACTCAGTAGCTGTGGTTGTAGCTAATGTCGTTGAAGTTTCTTGAGTCGTTGAGGGTTGCGTTGTCGTCGATTGATCGCTAGTACTTGTAGTACTTGTACTGGTACTGGTCTTTTCACTTGACGTCGTGGATGTTATCTTTTCAGTCGTACGGGTAGTGTCCGTCGGAAAACTTGTCGGTGCCGTAACTATTGTTGAAAATCCCCCCTTAGTTGATGAGGGATGTACAGTCGTGGTGACGGTAGTTGTCGGATCGAGACCGGGGCAGAGGGTATCGACCAAATCACCCGACAACGCGATCCCCAGCAACGATCTGTGGCTGATATTAAGATCCCCACAGGCTTCCTGTATAAGATCCTCCTCCTGTTGGAGGCCCTTTACACAAGGCGCCGAACATTGTTTTCCACTGGTGAAATCCTTAACATTGCAGCCCTCTATTTCCGTCTGATAGGCACGAATGCAGCTTTTCGATATGCTATTCGATATAATGAGCTGGAACTGTGACAGGTTGACAGCCGATGAGGTCGAGACCATAGCTAGCAACGTTGTGAGATGCAAGGCCCGTCGTGATCGTTGCCGGCGATGCGCCATCTTTGCAGAGAAGCCCTTTCGCGATACTCCGGTGTCTTCGCAGCACAACCAAAGAAAATTGAAAGAAAGCGGTTATCTTCCGAGCATATAGCTTGATAGCCTACAGACTGGCCTGACGTCTTAACTGATCAGCGTGAGCTTGGCAGTCGGATCTAGCTAGATCGAACAAAGCAACACGCCGAAACGCGAGTTGTGTCAGGAAGGCCACAAATGACGGCAGACCCTTAAGTACGGCGCGAGATGCAGATTTGTGACAGGGTCGGGCAATCAGACCCAAGCTGAATAGGCCTGAATAGGCGAGTAGAATGATGAGAGCAGCCACTTCAACACCAATAATATGCGTGAGAGATAACAAACGGAAATTTGATGGCGGCTCTAACGACGAAATATTAAGCCACCAATGCAGTCAATGCGAAACAAGCAACTCGAAAATGGTATGTTGTATCTTGAAGGAAACGAAGCACAGCTCCTCTATAGTTTTTTGGTGTTTTTTTTTTTTAGCACATCGCTCTCGTGACAATGATATTAAGTCATAGCCATGGTTGAAGCCAAAGCGAAAACCATACTATGAGATAGTCACAAGTAACGGCGGGCAAGGTTACTACCAAAAGTAGTTGAGAAAAAAAAAGAACGATGGACGAAGAAAAGAAAATACTTTTAATGAGAAACAGAGTTCAATTTCCTGGTTGCTACCTTGTTGCTTCCTGATCGCTGCCTATTCCAGATTCAGCTTGCCATTTGGATCATTTTGGGATGATTATGGGCCAATTCCATCCCGGCCACGCAAGAATTCCTTACTCGTTCCCATGCTCCCACGCGAGCTAAACCCCTGGGGTAATCCGTATAATCCGTATCGAGCTAACGAGCCCGACATAATTTGACCAATCCGATCTACTGATCGGTTTGTACCCCTTATACCCCTCGCAGCCGTTGCCTCATAAGGTGTGTTCCGTCTGTCATAGGCTCTTGCTGATTGTCCGAGGTTCGTTCCCTGAGGATGGGCGAGCGCAACCCAAAAATACTAAGGGCCTTACAGCCTATAGGAAGATACGGCCAAAATTGGCCAATGAGAGATGGGGAATGATGTCAAAGGAGAGGAAACGAAACAGGTGCGTGTTTGAGGTGCCGACTAGCTGTTCCCTTGTCTCATATTTGATTGGCGGAAACAGCCTTTCACTCTTACTAAGAGGTTATATGGTGGTACTTAGCCAATAGGAAATGGGGTAAAAGATACTTGGGTACTTTGTTTTCAAATGTCAAATGTCAAATTAGGTACCTCCTTGAGTTCTTTCATCATAACTCTATTACCTAGCATACATAGTAGCTATTGGGATTTAACAATAGTAAGGTTATAAAAGAGAGGGTTTAACAGGCAAGAGCTATGATATAGCATTGGAATCAGTGTTAATAAGAGGTACCTAACCCAACCTAACCTAGCCCTAACGTTAGGTAGTAAAGTTGCATATAATTAACACAATTCCCGCGAATTGGAACTGGCCGTATTCCTTGCTTTCTACGCTATCGTCGCATTAGACAGGTACCTATTAAACTTGAGTCACTGGCCGATGCAGCTTAGATCCAATCACAATTTCAAAAAATTATCACGACCACCAGTCTTTTCATTCGAGCCATTAAATACTAATATAATGACATGACAGGAAGTTTACTTATTAAGAGCAACTATCTCAATTATATTAATGTAATCCGTCGTCTCTTGAATAGCATCTCAGACAATGCTACCGCACAGTTGATTATAATCGGTCATCTATTCCTACGAAATCTTTGTCCTTAATTTCCTTACTGACAATCTCCAATAAGCCGCCATCTCTTTCAATATGACACCAGAGAGCCGCGAGGAGGTCACATCCAAAGTCCTTGAGAGTCTAAAAGGAACACCTTACGAGGCTTCGTCACTAGATATACTCTCAGGGGGAACAGCTAACTTCATATACCGTGCAACATTGGCACACCCACTTGCAGACGGTACGAAAGATGTTGCCGTTAAGCACTCTGAAGACTATATTGCCTCTTCCCCTGACTTCAAATTAACCCTTTCCCGTTGCGTATGTCAAATCTACTGAGCAAAACTCTAGCTTTCCAGATCCTTGCCACTCAACATTGACTTTTTATAGCGTATCGAAGAAGAATGTCTCAAGGCACTATCAGCCTTCTCTGTCGTCGGGAAGGCAGACGAAGACAAGTCATACAATTTTATCGTCAGAACGCCCAAGTTCTATCATTTTGACGAGGGAAATAATACCCAAATTCAGGAACTTCTAGGGGACGGCATCGATTTGAAAATGCATACCTTGGAGATTCTGGATGGATCTGACCCAGAGGAGATGGAAAATCGAAGTCTTCAGCTTGGAAAGGCATTGGGAAGATGGCTCAAAGGATTTCATTCCTGGGCTGCCCAACAACATGAGCTGCGAGTGACAGTTGCTGCAAACAAGGAACTGCAGGGATTGAAGCACATGATCAACTTCTCGTGGCTTCTGGACCGAGCCAAACAATTTACAAGCGTCCTTGGGGGTGCTGAAGATGTCTTCAAAGAGGTTGGGAAGATGGCTGCTGCGGAGCTAGAGGATGACAGCCAGCTCCAGGTCATCCATGGAGACTTTTGGACGGGAAAGTAAGTAGTAGTATCTGTCTATTCATTCCCAAGAATTTTTATACTGACAGAAGTACTTAGTATTCTTCTCCCCAAAGCCCCCATCCAAAAGGGAGTAGACGTACCAATATTTGTAATCGACTGGGAGATGTCACAAATAGGCAAACCTAGCCTCGACGTGGGTCAGATGATCGCAGAACTGTATGAGCTAAAAATATACAAGGGTAAGGCTGCCGGTCTATTTATGACCCAGGGGTTTATAGAGGGCTACGGGCCGGTAAGCGAAGACTTCGCGTTCCGTACGGCGATTCAAGTCGGCGCTCATCTGATTTCGTTTGGAATGTCCGTCCAGGGTTGGGGATCAGTGGAGCAGGTAGAAGAATGCGGACGCTTTGGAAGAGATATCATAACTCATGCGTGGGAAAAGGATCGCCGGTGGTTCGAAGAGAGTGACCTCGCCTGTCTGTTTAGTACGACAGAATGAACAGGTACGTACTACATTTTCTAACGAGTAGAGCGAAACTAAGAAGGCATATATTCAAATCCTGACAAATATAAGATTAATTTCCCCCAAGATTATGCGCTACGTCTGAAGCAGCGACTTTGCGGTTATCAGGGGCAAAAGCATAGCATGTAGAAACACGGACCCACGTGACTCGCGCAAAAGAATTCTTAATGAGTCAAAATTCAAACTAAAAGCTTCCAACTTGAAATACATAATTGTCAACGCATAAGAAGACCATCTTAAGACTGAAAAGTAATCCTTCTATAATCGGAGATCTGTCTTTTGGCCTTGTCCCCACCTGAATGAGAAATTTCTATTGGAGATCTACGACCTTGTTTCCCCGATGACGACAACGGCGACAGCCCCGGCCGAGACAGCGGGGTCCTCTCGGCCCTGCAATCGGTGCAAGGACCAGGAGGGCACGATCGACTTGAGAGGGGCCGAGATTGTGTGCAAGTAGGTTGAAAGTACCTATACCTAAGGTAATACAATAAATACTAACGCCTATCCCAGGACTTGTTTTGCATACTACGTCTCCAGCAAAGCCATCAAGCGTCTCGAGGCCCTGCAGCGCGAAACCAGCGCTCCCCGCGCCAAGGGCCCCAGGCGTCCGCAGCGATACCTTGTCGGCCTGTCGTGCGGGCCGTCGTCCACCGCGCTGCTGCACGTGCTTACGGAAAACGTGCGGCAGCAGCGCGCCAGGGGCCAGAAGACGTCTAGGTTCGAGTATGTTGCCGTGCACGTCGTCGACGACACCGTTGCGCCTTATACCACCGGGAAAGACGGGGGTGTAGATAAAGATCCGTATATCGCGGCCTTCCGCGCCCGCTTCCCGGATGCGAACTTACAGACCGTGCCCCTGAGCTCCGCGCTCGAATTACCTTCTATCGACTGGACTACTCTGCCCAACCCCTACCCCAATCCTTCTCATGACTCTACCACCACCACCACCCTTTCCCCTTCCCACCGCCTCTCCCAAATCCTCCACTCCCTCCCTTCCACCACCTCCCGTGCCGACGTCCGACGCCTCCTAACGCGACACGTGCTCCTCGCCGCCGCCGCGCTCCGCAGCTGCGACGCGCTCCTCCTCGGGCACAGCACGACGTCCCTCGCGGAGCTCACCCTGTCCGAGACCGCCAAGGGCCGGGGTTTCGCGGTGCCCTGGCTCGTGAACGACGGCGCCGCGCCGCTTCCCTCGGGTCTTCTTGACCCTACTGCTGCCGCTGCTGTTGCGGGGGGATTATTTCCCAGCGACGAGAACGGCACTACCACCACCACCACTCCTACTACCCACAAATCCTTACCCGTCTACAGCCCGCTCCGCGAGCTCTTCCGCAAGGAACTCGTCACGTACCTCGTGCAAGTATTACCAGCCGGGCTCGCGAGCACCCTCCTACCGCCCGTCGAGGCGGCGAAGCTAGATAACGGTAGTAGTAGTGGTGGTACCGCGGCGGTAGTCTCGCACCGGGACCTGAGCATCGACGACGTGCTGGGGCGGTACTTCGCCGAGGTGGAAGCCAGCTATCCATCCGTGGTAGCGAACGTGGTGCGCACGACGGGGAAGCTGGTACGGGTGCCTGAGGGGGATGATGATGACCGTGCGGGGAGGAATACGGCTGCTGCTACGAGCAACGGCGTTGGACGAGAACAACACACTCGTTGCGTCCTGTGCGGCGCAGGTCTGGACGAGCTCGGCGATCAGCGGTGGAGGGGGGAAATAGGCGACGATGTTGATGACGGGGATAGCGAGGCGGCCGAGACTAGGCGGAAGTTGTGCTACGGGTGCCAGCGGACTATACGCGGGTAGCGAATAGCTACAACCTAACCTAACCTAACCTGGTACCTACACGTAACCTAGCCAGCACCAATTTACCTCCTTCGGCACATTTACATGTATCTCAGCGACTTACTTCTAGGTACTTACTTACTTTATGTACTTACTCACTGGGCTTGACTTCCATCATCTTAGACAATTCGAAACAATGCAAAAAAAAAAAAAAGCAGGTGATCTTTAACCTTTAAGAATAAATATTATCCCTATCCTCCCTTTTCTTTTTCTTCTTCTTTTCTTTTCCTTTCTCTTCCTTCTCTACCATTTCTCTCCTAGATACATACCTCCTATGTTACCAAGAAAGAACCAAACTGGGCAGTAGTAAATCTATCCGAATCTACCGCGCCGTCCCATATCTAACCATAACCCGCCGAGACAAGGAAAAATTAGAAAAAAAAAAAAGCCTCCATCCCCTTCCCCCGTAGATATAGGCTGGGTGTATATAAATACCTAATATATATACCTGACCTAACCTGACCTAACCTGCCCCCGAGCTCTCTATAATAAACTTCGGTGGCACTTGAATACCGCAAGTGCGTGCGTGTGTGTGTGTATCATATACCGGATATCTCTCTCTTCCCCTCCATCCCCCATCTCGATACCAGGTAGGTAATATCTCCCCTCCAGACATCCACGTACGAAACTCCCTAGCTAAGCGCCAGGTCGGTCAGCCTGTTTGCTTAACTTTTTTCCTCCTTATAAATTTTCCCTCCCTGATGCCCCCCCCTCTTTATACATAAGCTCCCCCCGCCCCCTCTTCCCCCCTATTTACGTCTTTTATAGCGGCGTGGCGGGTAGGATCTTGAGCTCGAGTTTGCGCATGAGCTTGTTCGTCTGCTCGGCCAGGGACAGGGTCAATATGGTGTGGGGCAGGATGCGCGCCAGGTGCGGCAGGAAGCCCTTGTATATGGCGAGGAAGCCCTCAGTGCGGATCGTCTTGCCGAGGCAGTCGAACACGCCCTTGTACAGGTTGCCGTTCTGGTTGTATAGTCGCGACATGATCGTGTCTAGTTTTTTTTGTGTAAATCATCTCGTGTTAGCTAGCATCTGTCTCGTGTGATCTGATCTGGTCGGATCGTCTTATAATAAAAATGACATAGGGTGAGTGGGTGAGTGGGTGAGATGAGCAAAACTTACCAGGCGGGTGCATGAAGCAGCAGACGACGAACCCGGACACGGTGCTGCTGGCCAGGTGCAGCGGGGCGCCCTCCTCCATGCCCAGGTGTCTGACGAGCCGCCTCTTCGCGAAGAAGTAAGTGGGCAGCTGGACGGAGCTGCCGAAGCCGGTTCGGATCATGGCGGCGCCGACGCCGCGGTAGAGGCCGCGAAAACCCTCGGCGCGGTAGATCTGGCTGAGGCCGTCGATAGCATTCCGATAATTGTGCTGGGTGCCGACGGGCAGGAAGGGCGAGTAGCTCTGGAGGCGGGTCTTGACGAGGAAGAAGGGGCTTCCGGCGGCGGCGCCGATGATGCCGGAGCTCGCGCCGCACAACATGTTGACGGCGAGGTTCTGGGCGGCGCCGTCGCGCAGCAGCACCGACGCCAGCGCGTTCCGCATCGGTTCGTAGAAACCGAGCCGGCATCCGTTCAGCAGCACCTGGTAGACGTACGCGCACCCGATGCCGCGGTATATCCCGCGCAGCCCTTCGTTCCGCACGATGACACCCACGCCGTGGAACGGCCCGCGGTAGTGGTGCGGCTGGTGGCCCTTGGTCTGGAGCTCTCCCTGAAGCTGCATTCTGTTTTTTTTTTCCTCTCCCGTCAGTCAACTGTGTCCTTTTTTTCTATAACGTACCTATACACATTGCGGTATTTCTCGCCGGCATAACATCTTGTGCTACGTAGCGTAGACAAACCGCCCCCTTCAGAAAACCCTTTGTGTGTGGACGAGGGGGGAGGGACAATGGTAATGCGTACCGGATTTTGACAGTCTCGAAGGGATGTGTAGCCGTGACGGCGCCGCAGGCGGCAATACCGCCTGCTATGAATGCCCTATGAGTTCGGATTAGCTCGCGAAGCTCTCTGTATATTGTCGTCGAGCTCTGTACCCAGCAGTAGTCGCCATAGCGTTTGTTTTAAGCAAGTCCACTCAACAACGACCACCACCGCGCAATTTCTCTTTTTAAGGTTCTGCCTCCACTCTCACACACACTCTCTGTGTTCTCGATAAGTAAAGAAAACCTTGTCGACGACTAGGTCACACCGCATAAGTCGAGAGCAACTAAATTAAGGCGTGACAGGAAATATCTGTATTTGTATCTTGTATCTGATATTCGGCGTCAATTCGCTCTCGCGCTCTCTTTTTTTTTCGGCGTTAGCGGGAGAGTCGACACAAGGGAGTCCACCGAAGTGGTCTTCAGCTGCAGGGGGGGTAAAGAGTAGAAGAGGAGGAGGAAGAAGAAGATTACACACACAAGAAAAAAGGAAAAAGAAAGAAAGAGATATAGATCATAAATCCATTTTTAGTCGGTGAGGCTTATTGTTCTTCTACTCTATGAGTCCGGACTAACAATGAATCCATTGATGACAAGAATAAACAACCTTAGGTAGATACCTAATATACTTCGTACACCTATCGAAAATAATATGTAGAGGAAAAGTACCCTGTGAGAATTGGACCCTCCCAAATTTCACGCCTGTCTCCGAGCTCGCAAATCCTAAAGTTGCAGCTAAATCCCCTAAGCTTTCATTAGCGGGTAGCGGATAGCGGATGCGGCAAGGATCGAAAGCCCAGGTGCCTGTGGACGTATACATGCTAGGTATGGTACCTATACGTACCTAAAGTATATAGTACCTACCTCGTGTAGTACATTATGTACCTCTTATCGGTATAGTTACCTCCTTTATGTAAGGTTGGGGTATGTATGTAAGATGCAACGCTTGTACCCTTCTCCACTCTGTACTTTCTTTTGGTCTTTGGTGTTTAAGTGGTCTTTGATTAGATTAATAAGCTTATATAGGGCTGTCTCGAACGGAAAGAAGACCTTAGGTCAGTAACATGCATACCTAATATACATACATACATTACATGTGATATATAGGTTAGTATATATATCTCTACGTGGTAGGTATATCAAGTACCTACCTAGGTAGGTAACACCCATAGAACTTCACTATTACAGCTATCTTCACGTTACATTTCTCCAACCGCTCGATTAGACAGCTTGATTCTGCACGAACCCGGCTGTACCAAACGCAAGTATCATATGAAACTAGATACACCTTATCGATCTCAACCGTAAAAGTAAAATAAGGCACACAGACAGAAAAAAAAAACATTAATTCATCGCTTTGTGACTTTGACTTTGTAACCGACTCATAACATTACTATGCGGTCACAAGATATACCTGGACTCCCATTAACCGTGGTTGATATCCCCCTTCCCTCAATTCCAGCCCTGAATGCATTCTATACTTTACAGCAACTCCCGTGGACAAATGCTTCGTGAAAAATTCCCGTATTCCCCCGAAAGAAAACGATGGCAAATGACAAATGAGGCTAAACGCGCCGGAATTGTAGTGCCTGTGATGCGGTGCCTGTGAATAGCCACCTGCTTTTCTTTTTTATCCCGACTCCTGGGAAGGTATATACTCCTTCACCTCATATCTCGCACGAGATCTCTTCAAGCTGCTTGCCATTGTTGTCCATAATCCTTTTAGAGAGATTGGTAATAGACTCGGTCTGGTCAGCTACCACCAGGCTCTGAACCCGAGCTTGATCTTTCCTTCGATAGGGAGTAAATAGATATATGATAAAAAAATATAGTTCCCCTGAATTCGAACGAATCGATATCGTCTAGATCTCACTCTTGCGTTATCCCTTTCCATACTTGGAATGGTTGACAAGGATCCAACATAGGTAAAAGCCGTATCGTCGTAGCCACTTCGACATGCTGAAATCAGATAGGTCGTATGCTGTTGAAGGTTGTAACCTATTCGTCGGGCTTCAATTTTCAACTACACATACCGCAATGTAGCATTGATGTACGGGGTCCTTCTCCCCATCTTCTCCCTGCACCTAAAGGGCTGATGTCTTCACTTTAGGCGAAAGATAAAGTGAAGCTCTACAAAAGTCGACGGCTTTTCTATAATCTGTCCGCTTGGGTTTGTGCTGCAGCATCTAGGCTGGTCATACCATTTCGCCGGGTGCTTTCTTGGCTTACTCGTGCTGGATTGCCATCAAACACCCACGGGCCGGCGTCGTTGCGCGGAGTGATTGGGCCCTCGTTACCAGTCCCTAGGGGGTTGCTGTTAGGTGATGGTGTCCGATTGGTTGTGGACCTATCGCCATTACTCACGCATGGTGTCGCATTCGGTATTGGAACCGGCTCTGTTACGGCATGCCTCGACAATGCAGGCTGCGCTGCGACTGCATCGACGTGCATTGTCATATCACCCACCTCGCCCTCGCCCTCGCCAGACGGCCGCGACGCGTTGTCGTTGACGTTCGTCTGCGAAGGTACCAGTGGCACAATTTCATCGTTCGGCTGAGAAGCTGGAGGTGTAGACTTGTCTTCCTGAGTATCATCTATACCCGAATCTAGCTGTTGCCATTCGTCGGATGGCTCGTCCACCTCGGCATCCAAGTCAGCCGTAGCGCGACAATTCGGGCATATAAAGATTGGCCATGACGGCCCATTTAGCATTTCCCGAATGCATTTGTAATGCCAGGTATGGGAACAAGGCGCCACAAAGAGAGATTGGCAAGGCTATTAGAAAAAGACGCATGTGAGCATTTATCAAACGTGATAAAGGTTCAGATGGTACTTCAGATGGTACTCGGAAATGTAGTACATACCGCTATTGCGTTTAAGCAGATAGAGCAGTCCTGTGCATGGGCTGATGAAGCTGACGTTGACGTCAAATCCCTTAAACGCTTATGTGTTGCCATGCTATTGACACGTTAGCCGTCTATCGCCGCGTGGGGATAACAAAGGGCATAACGTGCGAATTCAGCGCAGAATTCGCCGCAGCAAATTACGAGAAATAGATACGGGTATGCAACGTACTTGAAGGTGTTGGGCTTTGATTGCCAGCCTCGATTTAATTCTATGCGCATCTTCACGCATCGGTAAATCATCTCCTCTCCGCCCTTGAAGTCTATCCCTAACTGAACTATGTCGCCATCATTAATGGGGAACGGTTTGGATTCGGTACCGGGGGCGCTTAGACGGATATGATTGAGAAACGTCCCAGAGGAACTTTTGACGTCTTTGATGTACCATTTCCCCTTCTCGAACCAGAATTCGCAATGACGGCGACTTACGACCTTGCTCTTAAAGCCTACGGGCGCAGCAGACGGCGTGTTGATAGGCACGAGGGCGTGATTCTCCCGTTCTGAATATCGACCAACCTTTATGGTTTCCTTGCCTGTTGGCAATGTACGCGAAATCGGGGTGAAGGAAAGGGATGGTCTGTTTGATCGCGAGTCGTAGAACGCCGAGAAGCGGATAGTCGGTAACACGTCGTGAGAGGCGTCGCCTGTGGTTGCTGAGCGTGTCCGCGTCATGTTTGGGTTCGATGATTGTTCCTGGTTTTCAGCTAGAGGGTTCGATTCTGATCTTGAGTTCAACAAAGCCTCGGAAGCAGCCTCGGAATATCTACTGGCGCGGCGGCGGTGGATCCTACTGGAATCGTCGTTTTGATTTGCTGTGTTCAGCGGGTCGGAGTCGACCTCATGAGGTGCAGCGGACGTAGTAGTGGGGGAAGTAGGTCGGATTAAAGGTGCAGATGTGGATGGATCTTGGGGAGCAGTCCTATTATGATGGACGAGGCTGGACGTGTCTCGCGACAGGAGATGAAGGTGTATTAAACCCCGTAGCCTACTGCCTCTACCAGGAGACGAAGGAGATGTCGGTGGAGCGGTTGTGGAAGGTGTGAGAGCCGGGAAAAAGCCCGGCGATGGAGGCGTAGGCTGTGTGAACATTTATTACGGTTATACGTGGGTGTCGAGCAAAAGGTAATCTAGGGAGGTGTGTGTGGTGCGGAAGAGCGTCCACACGTCGTGTGTATGATTGACGAATAATAGATCGTCTTTTTTAACAAGTATAATAACGAATAATAATGGAAATAAGAACACCGACTTGGAAGTGGAGAGGGTTTAGAAAAATAAAATAAAATAATAGGGTCGGGCTTTTTTTCTTTTTCTTTTTTTTTTCTCTCTTTTCTTTTTTTGGTACGAGAAAAAAAAGGAGCACGGCACAAGTGAGTGGCTATTGATATCTAAAAGGGTCCTTTCAATTGCAGTGGGTGGGGGGACAACCTTTGGTTTTGGGGGATTTGCAATTCTGCAATGTCTTATGTTCGCAAGAACGCGATGCGGAGTCGGCTGATCGGTTGGCTTGAACCTTTTAATCCATGCAAATAAAATCTAGGCAAGCCTGACGGGGGAACTAAAGTAAGCCAAGTATAGTTGGTTGCGTGAGGTAGGAGTGGGAGTAGGAGGTATTGTTAATCATCTACCTAAGTAGTTATCCGAGTAGATAAACCTTGTAAGAATCATTCCAAAAAGAAAAAATGAAAAAAAGAGAGAGAGAAGGAGAAAAAGGGAAAAGGAATTGATAATAATAATAATAATAATAAAAGAATTAAATATGGGGAGGGGGGAAAGTAAAAAAAGATATTAGGTATAGGTATAGGTATAACAGATAAGGTACAATACATGTGTTGGAAGACCTGGAAACAATGGGAAACAGCTCGACTTCGACGTCAGTTTAATTTACCTGTTCTCTGAATGGAGGAAACTGGCAAAGTCTTGAAGGAACTGACGACATGCTCTCTATTAATCGTACAGGTAACTACCTTTTATTAAAGTTAGGTACTACGCTGCGTACATATGCAGTTCATAGTCCATAAGTCATACGAAGTACATGTATGTAGTGCCCAGGTTGTATGTGCAGAAAGCTGACGGGTAAAATTTAGAAACAGGCCATACCTAAATGGGGATATAGGTATGTTATAAGGTAGGCTTCTCCGAATTCAGCTAAAAGGTTTATGCTAGCTAAACCACGCATATGTACATGTAAACATGTAAATACTACCTAGGTACATAGTATTAGGTATTCGTATAGAAAGGATCTGCTTTGCTTTCATACGTCATAGGTGCTTCGCCTAGCCATTTTACGGTCAAATAAGGACGTAATACTCGATGCGTAAAACTATATTTAATGTAAGTACCAAGGTAATATCTCATCCATCATTAATTATGCGAAAAAAAAATAAAAAATACACCATCCACCACCGTTAGCACAGAGATCAAAAAAAAGAATTGCGACCCGCAGAACGGTTTATCTATAGTGGGTGGGGTTTCACCAGCAGAACCGTGAACGGCGTCAATTACATAGTGCACTAGAAAACTCGCTGGAAGGCTAACCATGTCCCAAAACCGGTCTCCGCTTGGCAAATGGAGATCTGGAATAAGCCACTTTAGTTAGTACAGTACATACTTATACGAATTCGATTACGAAAATGCTTAGAAAGCCTTATATCATATCATGCATGTATCAAGTGCGGTGGTATCATCATTATCGATTAGCTGTATAGGTCCGATGAAGCACTACTTCCATGTGCTCGTCCCCATGTGCCGTTCTCACTCAATACAACATCATCGAATCAGCCGCGACCTTCATTCGAAGTCCACAAGCCGTACGAGTAGATAAAAACGCAACGATTGTCCTTGAGCAAAGCTATCAATGCCTCCCTAACGCCGTTACCGCCAGACCTTATCCTTGAACCACTCAACGATGAGAACTTGAAAAGTCTACACCGAGACAATTAGACACTTATAAGAGTATCGCCCTTATTTTCCAGTTTTCTGTTTCTTCGTCTTGGGCTTCTCTTCTTCCTCTTCCTCATCTGCCATGTCCTCATCCTCGTCGTCGTTGTCTCCACCATCGACATCGCTCTCTGCACTTCCGGAACCAGAGGATTCGTGAGCCGAGTCGTACTCTTCGGCGACATCGCTTTCGCTTTCAGCTTGGAAGTCCTCATCCACACTTTCCTCGTCTTCGTCAGCGGAACCACGGTCCGCCCGAGGACCGACCACTTCCTCTTCAGACTCATCCATCGCTTCCTCGCGAAGAGCCGCGGCAAGTAAATTGGCATCCTCGTCAATCTCATTCTTCACTCGCAGGCCCTTGAGTTTAAAGAACCCTTCGAGTGCCTTCAGATCTTCTCTATTAATATTACTGAACTGATGTGGCGCTCCGCCGCTCTTCATGTGAACCGCAATATCGAAGGTCGATAATGCGGAGACCGCGCCGCTAACACGGGAGAAGACGATAGAGGACGTTTGGTCGTATGACACATAAGTAGCGGGTTTCGGTACGAACATAAATGCTTTCTCGAGGCAGTACAGGAATCCTTCCGCCGCCTTGATTGAGCACTTGATACCGAACTGGTTCCTGTGTGTCATGAAATCCTTGGCCGGAGAGGTGATCTTCTTATTGGCGAGGCCCTTGAAGATGTAGGTGATAACTTGGTGTAGCGGCTGCTCGTAGTGGGGTTGTAGGCGATCCTTGTACTGCTCATTCAGCTGCTCCTCAGTGAGGTTAAGATCAATAGTAACCTCCTCATCCTTCTTGGCCTGCATGACTATGAACGGGTACCTCGTCTGTCCTTGGCGGAGAGGTGGATCTAAACCGATACACAGCATAAAGTGTAGGTCGTCAGGCTTCGGAAGCACCATGAACTTCTTGATAGCCTCATACTGGATCTTATAGTCGTACGTCTTGCCGCGGAGGCGAAATGACGCTTCATACATGTCGATATCGAACCGTCCGCTATGTAGTAGTTAGTGAGCAAAAGCATTCTTAACCAAATAGGGATCAAGTAGACGAACCGTGGCGTAAGGTGTAGAACTTCCAAGAAAGTGGCGATGGCATCACCTGCGGTCTCACCGATCTCAGCCTTGTCCATAAGCGTCTCGTAGAACAGGGTAGCAGCATTCTTCTCCTCTTCGGCACCACTTCCTGCTTCCTCTCCCTCCGTCTCTTTACGGGTCGTCGTGCCGGGGATATAGAAGCGCATCTCTACGAGCTGGTCTTTGCCTGCGCCAGACTTCTTGCCACGACCTCGCGCACCGCCCAGGTGCCCATTTGTGCCTGTGTCATCCTCGTTCGATGCAGCGAATTCGACGGATACCTCGTTACGGCCAGCAAGGTTGGTGTTTGAGATTTCGGAGTAGGGGATTTCGAAGGAAGGCTTGTTCTGAACGTTGAAGACAAGCTCGGCCTTGCTAAATTCAGTCTTGCCCCAATTCCAGCCTCGCAACGCATGTTCCTTGGGGTCCAAGTTTATGCTGTACCAATTCTTAAATATTTTGCTCAGACGCTCTAGATCCTGTAATATTGTTCAGCGATCGCGAAACCCATCGCAGCGGAAATTAGTCGGTATGGCTTACCTCTTGTTGGAAGCCATCAAGATGAACAAGCTCGGAGGACCTCTTAAGAATCTTGACTTCGTAGCCTTTGGCGGCACGGCTCCATTGCGCACTGGCGATATCACTGCGGTCGAGGGTGAAGGTGTTGCCGCCTGCGGAAGGCTTCCAACCGAGACCATTTTCTGCGAATCGGCACTTTCCAGACTCTTTGGATAAGTCCAGGAAGATATTATCAAAGTTCTCGCTGTTAGATTCATCAATTAGTAAATGGATATGATGGCAGCTTCCACGGTGTGTACTTACAACGCTGCCATTTTGATGATTGCGGGTGTTGAGTTGGTAAGCTATTGGCAAAGTCGAGAAGGTAGAGTGATGGGGATAGCTATCGGATTGGAAACCGCCTGGGGGGAAAAAGTTCAAAATTGGAACGGGCGCGTCGAACGCGCTAGGTACCTAATACTTGCTAAAGAGGTCAGAGGCTGGAGGCTGGAGCTAATGTCCTAGGACTTTTTTTTTTTTTTTTCTTGGCTGGAAGTGGAAACACGTGATTTCAGCTGTTTTGCATTGCGAGACCAGCCTGGCAGCCTGGCCAGTCTCATTCCGGGGTGCGGTAAAGAGGTACCTTAAGTAGGTACCTAGGTGAAGACCCCACCTACCCACTTTCCCTATCCGTTTACGTATTCTCGTTCGTGCTCAGGAGGCTCGTCGCTGCCCATTCAATTTACTTACTACTAACGGTTAGAACGGTTAGCCTACTAGCAGCATTAGTGTAAATCCAACAAGGGGGTTACCGGGGGTACACAGCTTGGAATTCACTGCAATCGTTACCTGCAGGTGCTTTCTTTAACTGCTTCCTTCACTCTCCCCTATCCGCCGTCTGCAAGTTTCCTTCTCTCTAAATTCTAAGCTCTAAACGCTCTGAAAGCCACAATCCTCTCTCTCTCTCACTAATGCTACAATCTCACTGATTCTCACCTCCATCTTCTATCTATCCTATCACTTCTTATCACATTCCTACTGTCTGCAGCCAATTATGTCTGGGCGCTTTGTTCGAGCGTCCAAGTACCGTACGCCCCCAACGCGCTCCCTTTGCGATTTTCCAATGACCCGACTAATCTTGACTCAGGACATGTCTTCGGTAAATCCTCGAGGAGAGAATTCTGTTATGATAATATACGTATAAGCCGAAACGCTTGGGATACCAACTTGGTTAAGGTCTGGTCCATCTTCCCTCTTTTCCCTCTTTTTATCCACCTTTGCCCCCTTTAGTTGTCTTTAGGTTAGATAGTCATCTATATTGCATAGGACGGGAACTAACGCGTCTGGTCGCAACAGGTCAACCCAGAATATCTCTCTGTCAATTGGGAGGCTAGTGGTGGAGGTGCCTTTGCTGTCATCCCCTTGGGTGAGAAGGGCAAGCTCCCCGATGTCATTCCTCTATTCCGTGGCCACACTGCTGCCGTTCTCGATACCGACTGGTGCGCACGCGACCCTTGGAGTGGTTGATCCCCCCCTTATTCGAAGACCTTAACCTAATACTATTGCTCAAGGAACCCTTTCAATGATCGTCTAATCGCATCAGCTTCCGAAGATGGAAAAATCATGATTTGGGAAGTGCCACAGGGCTTTACTCTGTTCACAGATGCCGAAGAACCAACCGACGTAGCTCCTGTCTCCAAGCTGACCGGCCACTCGAGGAAAGTTGGCCAGGTACTATTCAACCCTGCTGCCGAGAACATTTTGGCCTCTGCGTCTGGTGATTTCTCTATCAAGATATGGGATGTAGGTACCGGCTCTGCCGTCCACGCACTTAAGCACCCCGATATCGTTCAAAGTTTGTCGTGGAATGCCAATGGTACAATGCTCGTTACAACCTCGAGAGACAAGAAGCTTCGAGTATGGGATGTAAGACAAGAACGCCCTGCACATGAAGGCCCAGGTCATGAAGGTGCCAAAAACAGCCGAACTGTTTGGTTAGGAGAGCATAACAGATTTGCTACCACGGGCTTCTCTCGCATGAGTGATCGTCAACTTGCCCTTTGGGAGCCTGGTAACAATACTCCTATCCTGAACACGACTCTCGATAGTATCTCCGGCGTTTGCATGCCTTTCTGGGGTAAGTCGGTTGTTAATTCACATTCTATAAATATTACATAACTAACCTCTTCATAGACGACGCTTGCAATTGTCTCTATCTGGCTGGAAAGGGGTAAGTCTTGTTATTCTAAAATATTTCCCAAGACAAATTCTGACCTAGCAAAATCAGAGATGGCAATATCCGATACTTCGAGTACGAGAACGACAAATTCGAATTCCTTTCAGAATACAAGTCCATTGAACCTCAGAGAGGTATTGCTTTCCTTCCAAAGCGTGGAGTGAATGTGAGTTACTGTGTTGATATAGTTGGACTGCGAACATCAAAGCTTACACCAGAAAGGTCCATGAAAATGAAGTCATGAGGGCATACAAGACAGTTAACGACTCGTATATTGAGCCTATCTCTTTTACCGTTCCTCGGCGAGCTGAAACATTCCAATCGGATATTTTCCCGCCGGCTTCTGGCGCCAAGCCCGGTGTCAGTGCCAACGAATGGTTGTCCGGCAAGGCTGGTCTACCACCAAAGATCGATTTTGAAAGCATCTATGAGGGTAATGCACCTGTGGAAGTCCCTGCTGATTATCAGCCTCCTGCTGCGGCTCCGGCTCCGGCTCCGGCTCCGGCTCCAGCGCCTAAGCCTGCCCCTAAAAATGAACCCGAACCAGCACCAGCCGCAGCTGCAGCGCAATCTCCGCCTCCCACAATGAAGGAGCAGAACCGCTCCATAGCTGCTATAGCTTCAAAGTATGAGGATGAAGCCGAAGCCGACGATGACGAAACATCAAGCTTTGAAGAAATCACAAAGCCGACCCAGCGCAGCGCAATCCCTGCACGATCTGAGCCAGCGGCGCCCTCCCCAACCAAGACCACCTTTGCACCGCCGCCTCAAGCAGCACCCGCAATTAAGTCACCCATCCATGCATCAGCTCCGGCTACAGCAGCCCCTGTTTCAGGATCTTCGAACAGCCCAACAGCTGGCCCGGGCGTTGAAACAACTTTGGAGGAGATCAAGCAACTAATAGAGACCCAGACCAAGATGATCAGCATGCAAGGTCAAAAGATCAGCCATCTAACCGAAGAAGTAGATAGTCTAAAGAAGCGAGTAGGATCTGGAACGCAGGACCAGAGCGAGCGTATCCGTCAGCTAGAACTGGAGTTGGAAGAGTTGAGGTCGTAGAGAAGAAGAAAGACAGAAGGATGTTGTAGGAATATGTTTTGAGAGAGCTAAAAGAGGTGGATTAAGGCCAAGCAGTTGATGGATAACGATATTGACGAAGATAATACCTGCATTCGGTCAAGATTACCGTACCCGGACCTACGCTGGCGTTCCTAAGTCTTTTAATAAGCCGCACTTGTTGTTTATACCTTATCAACTGAATTTCAAATCGAGAGAGTAGGTGAGAGACCGATACTTGTAGAGTTTTTATCTTTCTTCGCAAAGTAAGAGATTCTCTTATTTCACCTATATGAGGTTTATGGAGAGATTCTTAAATTGTCTGCGTTATTCCCCTTGTTTAGCATTCCACGCAACGCAATCGTCGAATTTAACCCCCGTGCCGCCAAAGCAGTCTAAGGCACTTCCAATCGTAAGATCTACTTTCCCGTGGCTCAATTTCTTAACCAGTTCCAGGTCATCAAGATTTCTCCCACCACCAGCATACGTCACCGGTATAGTGCACCACTCTGCCAGCTTCTCGACGAGTTTCTCATCGATCCCCTTCTGGAGACCCTCATTATCGGCGGCGTGGATGAGGAACTCGGAGCAGTACGGCTCCAGAGATTTAATAGACTCTACATGCGTACTGTTTAGCCAAGCTTTCCCCCCTAACTTGATATAGGAACGGGAACGGGGGTTGATATCTTGGGTTGAGTGGTTAAGTACCTTGGTTCACCTCCATATCGGTGATAGTCTGCCATTTGTTCATGGCCACAAACCATTTCTCGTCATCTTGCTTTCTGCAGCTAAGGTCGATTACGAGCTTGTCTTTTTGGCCGCCGAGGGCAGCGAGCACGGCGTCTAGACGCTCCTGGCTGAATTTGCCTCCGGGGAAGAGGAAGGATGTGATGATGACCTACTAGAAGCTCAATCAGCAATGTTATAAGATACATAGCTTATATATATATCAGGTACATATGTAACACTCATCGACTCGTTCATATCACATGCCAACCTACCTTGCTAGCACCTCGTTCCATCCACGCCGCAGCGTTCTGGTCATTAATACCGCCTCCGACCTGTAGATGGCCCGGCCACGCCGCCAACGCCTCGCTCGCGGCGTCGTCGTTCCCGGAACCTAACATGATGACATGGGCCCCCTCGAGGCTGTTGTCTCGGTACAGGCGGGCGAAGTGCCCTGCGGAGTGCTGGGAGACGAAATTGGTCTTGAGCTCGGCGGTGGTGCTATCGAGGGTTCCGCCCACGATCTGCTTGACCTGGCCGGCGTGCAGGTCTATGCATGGTCTAAACCGCGTCATGGTGAGTGAGTTGCTTCAGTTTATGTTATGTTATGTATCCAAGGGTGAGATATATATATTTATAACTTATAAGTGAGTCTCATAAAATGCATTGTCTAATAAACATTAAATTATGTATTTAAGGTATGCAGTACTGAAGTATATGAGGTAAGTTAAGCCGTAGAGGAGTGGATTTTTAGCGTCAGGAACTAAAACCAATTAGACGAAATGATTGGCGGATATTATGCAGCGATAGCGTGATAGCGTGCTCAACCAGTCAACTTAGAAGAGCAATGCTTGCAATTGCTGGGGATCCACTAAATTTTTATCTTCTTCCAGCATTTCAACATTCAGCATCCCACTACAAAACATTTCATACGGATTACACTACACATATAAGAGAGAGAGAAGAATCGCAACTATCGACAATTCTCACAACTAAAACTTCAAAAAATGGCTGCGGTCCTCGGAAAACGGAAGTCTCGCGCGCAAAAACCGGAACCCTCGGTGTCCCAAGAAGAAGCCCAAGCCATCTTCCGCCGCCACTTCGAAGCGCAGTTTGAGCCGCTACAACCGTCGTCACATGCCGTCTCGAAACCGGCACAAGCTGCTGACGAACCCGAAGATCTACGCTCCGATTCCGATTCCGACGACGATGACGACGCCGCCTCCGAGGACTCCTGGGACGGCGTATCCGACTCCGAGTCGGAATCCTCACCGCCCGGCTCGTCAGCCGTCGAAGTCGTCGAAGTAGTCACGCACACGAGCAAGCTCCCCCCGCTCTCCGCTGACCCCCTCGCCAAGCGCGAGAGCAAAGCGTACCTCTCCTCGCGGGTCCCCTCCTCGTCCCTAGACCCCAGCGCCTCTCTTTCCTCTTCTTCCGCCCAAGCCGCCGCAAACCGTAAAGCCGCCGCGGAGGAGGACGCCCCCTCGCTCCTGAAGAACGACCTCGCGCTGCAACGCCTGCTCTCCGAATCGCATCTGCTCGCCGGCCGGGGCCACGACGGCAGCATCGAGCACGCCGGCCGCAACCGCCACCTGGCGACGGACCTGCGGCTCGCGGCGCTCGGGTCCAAGGCGAGCATCTTCGCGCAGGCCAAGATGCCCATGTCGCACCGGAAAGGCATCGTGGCCGCCGCCGCCGCCCGCGAGTCCAAGCGGCGCAGGGAGGCGCGCGAGAACGGCATCATCCTCGAGCGGCCTGCGGGTGGCGTGGGCGCTGGCGCGAAGGGGGGGAAGCCCACGATGAGGAAGCGCGAGAGGGCTGTCGATGCGCCGGCCGTGGGCAGGTTAAGGAATGGTATGCTGAAGCTGAGTAGCAAGGACATCGCGGAGATCCAGGGGAGTGATAGGAGGTCTAGGGGCGCAAGCGGTGGGAAGAGGAGGAGGAGGTGAAAGATGGGGAAAGGGTCGGACGTGAACAATTCGCCTGGATTCGTTTAGCGACTTCTTTGGAAGTTGAGACGGGGATACTCGAAGACGCATTCCATTGTATATGCGTATTCGCAAAAAAGCTCCGCCAATTCTACTACTCCTAATTCCCTCCTCGCCAATTCATACACATTTCTCCATGGGAAACATGCCTACGCTCTTGCATCCACCGAACTCTCACGACATCGACACCGTGCACAACTCATCTATTCACAAAAATAACCAGCTTGTCAGCACAGCAATATAGATACGACAGCCAACACCCATCTATCGCTGCTGCTGATTATCAAAAAAAGCACGTTGATACTACCTCAGACTTGATAAGCAATCGACTTGAAATATCATCCCCCCCCCGGAAAAGGAAAACGATATCCCCCAGATGAAGGCAGATATTGCGGACACATGTCTCACGAGTTGTCCAGACGCACAGCATAGCGACTTCATTTCATTCATATTCCGACCTCCCATGAAATCTCCACCCGGACACGGACACTGCCAGATCCAATTTAGCTCAAAGACACACGAGCAATCGAAACGCCTTACAGTATACTGGTGCCTTAGGTTAGGTACTTACCTCTAGGTAACTTACCTGGTATTTTCACACGATCCGTGTCGTGATTTACGCTTTCACTGGGTCAGGTACCTACCTAAAATAAGCATCGTGTAGACCTAGGTACTTGGGGAAAAGGGGATATACTACAGAAAATCTCTTTCTCTTTCTCCAGCAGTAGGCACATCTTTAGGCCTTGAAGGCTTCATAGATGCTAGTGGTCTTCTTTTTAATAGGTAATTAGTATATACCTGGATATTAGTCTACACGTTTCAATTCTATCATGCCTATCTATACTCAGGTATATTAGATATGTACCTACCTAGGTAGGTAGGTAGTTATTGATACCTAGTATACCTCTTATATATTTGCCCCATCACTAAAGCCCAAGATTAATTGCACATTAATTTAACAGTATTTATTGAAGCTCAAAGCCTATACTAAGCCCATCTTTTTCTTCTTCTTCGCTGCGTCTTCGCTACTAAGAGCAAAGGAAATGGGAAGAAAAAAAAAGAAGAAAAAAAAAAGAACAAGAAAAACTGGTATCATCACTCGTAGCTCCCCACAACCAGCCACGAGCCCGAACAAACAAAGAAAGAAAGCAAGTATATATATACAAATGCATGTGTTAATGGTGCTCCAGTCAAGTTCCTCCGGCTGTGACGGCAATTCCCTCGTCGTTGAGTTTTACCCGGTCGTCCTTCTATGAAATGCTTCTCAAAGCTTTTCCTTTTATTCCACCCCAGTTTCCCCCATGCGTAAAATGAGCAAAAAAAAGAAAAAAAAAAGAACAGATCGCCTCACAGCGGGAAAACACTGGACGCAAGTTTTCTAATCCCCCGATTATAAATCAAATCCCGCGTCTAGATAGAGTATCTCATGTAAATCAATCGCTAAACCCCGTATTTAATCTGCCAAACTGACAGTCGCACCGCACCGTATTATAACACGTCCCACAAGTATCAAGTCGCAACCCCTATTACATCGCTCCAGTTGGTGTGCTCATTGTCATGGGCATACTCAGCGTTTGCAAAGAGCTGAAGGCCGGTTGAGTCATTCCGTTTCCGGAGAGGCCATTAGATGTGGGTATCGACGAGTTAAGGGAACTTAATGAGGACGTTGCGTATCCTGGCTCGGAGTTGGGAGAAGCCCCCCCAAGGGAGCCAAGCTGGTCCTCGCTGGAAAAATCTTCTTCCTCTTCGCCCGAAAGAGGCAGATTGGTCTCAGCGCCCTCGCCGCGGTCGTGTGTACGCTTGTGCCTATAGAACTGATTAGCCTCTGACATATCGATTAAACTTGTCGTTCCTCGTGATGAGTTGATGTATGCTATTTGTGTTGTGACTAATTCGAATGATTGATGGGTTTCGCTCTGAAGGTAAATCGCACAAACATCGTTGCTCATCACAGGATCTTCAAGTGGACAAATAAAACAAACAAGAAAATTGGGGTCCTACTGTGCTAGGTTGTCGGATCTAGAGAACGCTTTGCTACAATAAGGGCAGATGTAGGGTTTTTCTTGGGTATGTGTTCTCACGTGTCTATATATTTGGTTAGATACACAACGGTGCACCACACACAAGTAACAAAAAGAAATATTTGATCTTACCGCTTGAGGTGCTCGAGACGCTTGAACAGACGAGCACATGTAGGGATAGGACACGAGTGAGATTTCTGCGGATAAGGTCCAACCTCCATAACGGTGGCTGAGCGAGCCCTACGAACAACATTTGCTCCAGGCTGCATCACCCGCTGCTCGTGCATCGAACCGTCGCCACTCAGATCATCAGTCGCGAACTGAGCGAAGTCTTGTCGCTGTAAAGACATTGGGTTTAAAGCGGGACTACCTTCCACAGCCGACAAGGGGGTGCCATGCCTGGACATCTCCATGTGTTGCTGGTTGGTGAAAGAGATGACTGAATTGCTGTATGAAAGACCAGGGGGAGAGTTGCTCTGGGACTCGTCACCCTCTGCCACAGGGCCGACCGACGCCGAAACCGACCTCCTTAAATTCGAAGATTGGTGAGCAGCGGCCTGAGCTTGAGCAGTTGCAGCTGCGATAGCCGATATTGAAGGAGGAATGGATGAACGCCGCCGCCTCTGTTTGTATGTCGGCGATCCTTCAATAACAGAGTATACATTATTGGCGCCATAAGCACGGGAAAACTGCGGTCCGGCCAAGTTAGAGGGTGGCAACTGCATCATCGCGTTCAGGCCGTTGATGTGATCGGGAATCGCAGTGTACAGTCCCGTCTCCTCGTTTGCAATATAGGCCGGTTCAGCACCCATTCCTAGTGCTTGCTGAGGAGGCGTGATCGGTTCGAACGACATGCCTCGGTTGCTGTAATCTTCGTAATGCGAAGAAACAAACGAGGGGGCAGGCGAGTACTCGAGACCGTAAGCCGGCATTGAAGCATGGCGTTGGTGGTTGTGAGTCATTGGTACACCATTCTGGGTGTATTGCACGCGGCTGTAGTCAGGTTCTCTCTTGATCATCTGCTGGACCTGATGGGGCATAGCGGGGGCCATGGCCGTCATCGTGTTGTACGATACCATGGTGTCCATCCCATCCCCTAAAGGGGCCATCGATTGAGGCATCATTTGTGGGGGAGGCATAGAATCCATTGTCCTTATTACTGGCGATTGGACCTGAGGCTGAGAATAAGACGCTTGCTGGGCGCTAAAGGATGACGAATTGGCTTGCTGGGCCTTCGTCAATTGTTCGTAGAGAGATTGCGAAGAGTCATATTGGAACGACAATGCCGGTTCATTGACAGCCATCGTGGTAGCTTCTTGTCCCATCTTCTCTCTCTTAAGATCTCTTTCCAGAGCGTCGAGAAAAAGGCGGTCGTGAGGTACGCTGTACCAGTAAAAGACCTTCTGCTTCTTCTGCGTTCGAATGCAGTTGTTCTTGTATAAGAAATCTAAAAAGGTACTCTTGGGCTCTTCCAAAGAGGCATCTGTTCCGGATTTGAGGTTTCGAAGATCAGAAAATATACCCTCCTCGAACTTCTTGGAGTTCTTCACGGGACGGCCGAAAGCCTGAAATCGAAACGAAAGACATCGCACAATGTCTGTGCCAGTGATATGGAATAGGTTGTTCCATAACACACAGGAAACATATTCACCTGTCGGTAATAGGAAACGTCGAATGTACTGGTCACCCTGCCAGTCCACAGGCGCCGATATAAGGAAATACTTCACTTTACTCATTTGTAAGAAACAACGTGCGATAAGAATCAATTCGTTACATGGGATTTGAACTTACGATTATCAACTTGTTGTAAAGCCACTTGGGCATCGTGAGGCAATGCTTGTTGGGCTTCGGGGCTGAGCATGAAGGTTTCCGGCTTTTGTGGCACCGAGCTTACCATGGCTGCTTGCTGTAAATATACAGAAGACATGGTGTCTGATGCTTTGGGTGTTTGCCAGAGCGACCAAGAAACTTGCGAAAGGTATATTATTATTGATAGAAAAAAAAGATCATTCGTAGCAGGTCGTTCCGCTAGTCGTTCACGAGCACTTGTTGGTGGGACCCAAGGCGCTGCCTTAAGAGTCGAATGATGCCGTGCTAATAAGTTCGTGTCGGTGTATCGTCTTATGATTTAGTGTTGAGTCCAGCCCAAGCAATATTTCGATAAGATTCCGGCTTTTAAGTACGACTCCCCGTTCTATCTCAAATGCCTATGCGCCTCCGCACTTACGAGTACCTTCAAGGCGCCGTGATGACCTGGGCTTGTTAAAGGACCCAATGTTAAAGAACTTCGGACGGAATATCCCGTATAATCTGGGGTATGCGAGCACTATTGTATTGCGACAGATGCCGGCAAGGAATTACAACTTAGTTCGCGTCCTGTGAGTTTACTCCGCTAGTCGTCGCAAGCTTCGAAAAAATCACCAATGTCCAATAAGGAAAGGCGTTGTTAACAGTCCAGATTGGAATTCGTCGAGGGACCCGCGATATTCTGATATCAAGTGACGAAACACAGAAAGAAATGAATAAACAGATATAGCTCTAGCAGTACAACGAACTAAGTTTTGAAATGGGGGAGGCCCAGGACGGTTGTTGGAATAAACGCTCCTAATTCAATGAGAAGCAAAAAATCTCGCGGGTTGCGGAGTGAAAAAGAGAAGATAATGGTCTTCGGATGAGGGCTCTCCAAGAACGAATGAGAGATCAGAATCTTACGTGTTAATGGCCTGCAACACGAAAGACGGTGTGGGGAGAAGGGGAGAGAAGAGAAAAAAAGAAAAAAAAGAGAGGGAGGGGTTCCGAATAGAACAACTTTCGATCTTTGCGAAGGAAGACTCAAGTAGTCAAGAGGAAAACAGGCGAGGAGTTTGGGGGGTTTAATGAATTCGGCTGGCTGGGGTCGACTTAGGTCCCCTGCAAAGTTCTTACTAGGTCCTGCTAGGTCTACCAGGTCTGGCCGGTGCGGTCGGGTAGGAGAGAAGAGATTTAGAGTGGAGTGCAAATGGACCAGCCAGTAGAGGACTAACCGCAAAGGGAAGGGTACTCGCATAAGGTAGTTTACGCTTGTCCGGACATGGTAGTATCTGTTCCTGTCCCTTCCTGAAAGGAATCCGCGAGCGAGATTGGGCACGACATTCCGCGCCCACTTTCAACTTAGATGTATTTTAACGCCGGTTCCAATGTATATTTGTATTATTAGTAGTACTTATGTATTGTGGTATTTATCGTAATATTGTACTGTACCTCTTTCCACACCCACTCGCAAGTTCCTCTTACCTCTCAGCATGTAAGTCAGGTCAGGTCAGGTCAGGTCCTCCTATACAGCGGACACATCCCATCACTTACCTATACGTAGTGTACATTATCTATATGCTTACACAGAAACCTTCCCCATCCCATATTCAATCAATTCCCACACCCTCTTCACAGAAACGCGGCTGCATGAAAGAAGCCTGAAGGAGGAGAATAACAGGAGGAGCCATAACCCGAAAGTCAAAGTCTACTACACGGCATGACATTAGACGAGATGTACTATATACGTGTAATATTTCGACTCCATTGTGACTTATATAAGTTATTACTATGCAGTAAAAAGAAGGGTCTATCCCGAAGCAAGGCCCCCGATTCTACCTAGGTACATAATATGAAGACCCCCAGTACCTAGAGAGCAGAAGATAGAGAGGACGGTCGTACAACTGATTAGGATCTAATTTGCGGATTAACCACAACTGCAACTTATCAGGCCAGCTACTTACTACCTCTACCATGCACCTAATGCATGTAGATCTGCTTGCCTTAGGTTAGGTGCGTGGGTACTACTTTATTACTTTACTACCGTAGGTATGTATGATATGTATGCAGATGTAGTAGATTCAGTAGATGTGGTACTGAAGATATCTAGGGAGAGGAAGAGGGTCTTGGGTCTTGGGACTTGGGACCTAAAGTTGTTCGCCGGGTCTGCGTATGTATGTAATAATGCTTGCTTATTTTCGGGTCCGTCTTCATTAATTCCAGTACCGCGCACTAATCTAGGTATACTAGGTAATCTACTAATCACCATTCTATTGTGGACGATGCGATGCGATGAGATGAGATGCGAATTTGATAGTTGTTATTCGTAATACTTCGGGTCCTAAACCTTTTGCCCCTTTACGGCCACGGCCGTGGAGAGGAGGTACCTAATCTTAATAAATGCAATAGCTCGGCCCAGCCCTACTACTTACATAGTACACACGTACATAGTAATAATAGTATGTTATGCGTGTGTATTTTCTCGTAAAATGATTTTCCCCTTTTTCGGCATATTTTCTTATGGGTCTTAACAAAAATCTGTCAGAGCATAAGAAACCTTATTATTATTCTTATTAACTATTTGTTTTTTACCTATGCGTGTTATCGATACTGATGTCGTATCGTCTAAATCTTCCGGTGGACAAAGCGTATTGTTTGCCCCATCTACAATAAATTCTTTACAGAATAAAGGCACGTTGATCCCGCACGACCTCTCCTTGCCTCGCTCGAAGTCTTCATTCGGGGAATATCCTCTGTCATCCACGGAGAGAGCAAGGAGTTCTTTAGATAGATACATACTATGTAGTAGACGGACGAGTGCTAGGTACCTTGAAATCAACTTACCGGGATATTTGACGTGGCCTCAGCTCACGGTCCTTCTTTTACGGTTTACCCACTGTCACTGTCCATGCACGGGGTTCCTGAACTGTTCTAGTAATGGATCACCTACTATGGCATGCACATGTTCACTAGGTCTAGTTACTGGGATTGGCATGTTTATTTCTTCTCTCCCGTATTTGCATAAGGACTTGTTTCTACAGGTCTCATGACCATTCAACAGAAAAACACAAGTAGCTGTCATCATTACTATGAATATTTTTACAACTTATGCAGATGAGCTCGTCCATGACATTATGTAAGTCATTTCGAGCAACATTAAGTAGCAACTAGGTGGCTATATTAAGAATTCAAGCAACTTTAGTTGCACACGCATCAAACCCTAAATTACTCATCTCTTAAAGAACAGGTGCTATCAACTTACATCGTCAAAGTGAATAGGGGCTGGACAAAGTTAAGGCGGCAGGTATCACAAATCTACGCCGGCGATAGCAGAGTGACATAACATCCTACTACAGTACTTTATCGAGTTATTAACAGAAAGCGGCACATTCGTACGTAGTCTTGTACACGGTCTAATATATCGACCTACGTTCCTCTTCCCACGCGGGTAAGAGTTCCTTCGCGTAAAATAGGTTTTGGTGGGGTGTCATTTACATACCCCAAGAGGCAGGTATGCCACAAGGTGACAAAGAATGCTATAAGACAGTCCCGATCCTACTTACTTAGCTACCTAGCTAGCTGACTGCTATTGTCTTTGAACCTGTCAGTTTATATCGTCTTCGCCGTATCGCCCTAGCTACCTAGCTACCTAGCTACATAGTATTTGTCGTGGCCACGACCTAAAGTCTTAGACAGCTCACAGTTAGTACTGAGTAGAATCCATTTGGGGCTATGGGTCAGCATGTAATCTCCGTATGCTAGTACATCGCGGATGACAGGAACAAGGTTGGACCGACAGGGGAAGAGGAATTGGCCTATTCCGAACGAAAAAGGTGAAAAGGATTTATCACCGCTTATTACATACCTATCTTAGTAGTAGGATATCATTTGCGCAGTTAATTGTTCAATTACCTGTACCGTACGTACCGGAGCTCTCTTTCTTAGCTCCCGGATGTTAAAGGTCTCAAAGAGGTATGTGCTTTGGCAAGTCTACCTAAGGGCTTTTTGAGTCAGGCAATGGGCTAATGGGCGTCCTTAGCAAATGGACCATTTTAAAATTACTGCTTTTAGGCCGAGTAGGTAGATGCAAATGCGCTTACAATTTTTTATTTTATTTCTTTTTCTTTTTCTTAATTCTCCCACACGCCAAATATTGTTTACTACCCACCAATTAAAACACATGATTGCATTAGAGAAACAACCACAGAGGGGATATTGTTAGGATTTAGGGGTATTGGACTTTTACTGCAGGTACGCATATATGAGGGTTACCTATGGGTAAAGTCTTAGGCACGCACCTGCGTAATCCATAATCTGTTCAAGCTTCCCTTGCCAATCCATAGATGCCAAGAGGGAAAGACGCTGGATGGTACCATACTGCGAATAAAAGAGTGCCTGCCATTGGCACGCGGATCCCTCTGTCCCTGCTTCCCACGCCAACTTTTCTCCATTTCCCTGTAACTCTCCTATGACTGCCCTGTAATTCTGAAACACGCCTGGCGCATTGCTTCAGAAAAATACCTGATGCCAGATATCGGCGCTAATCTTTCCTTGGATCTTATCCCCACCCTTCGCTGGTGTGTTTATTGCGTCCAATCAGCATTGACCACCTTCTCACCCGTACTCTCCCCCGACGACGACCAACCAACTAACCTCCCAGTCTAGTTTATTGTTGAACAACGAGATGGGAGAATGGAGACAAAGTATAGAAACTTTGCCGTAAAAAAAAAATGCAGGGAATTGATTCCCCCACAATTCATCCGTACGCAATTTTGCATATTGCAAGCCTACCAACCGGCCAACACAAATCCTTCTTGTTGCGATACCAGAAGTCGTCAATATATCCATGAAAGAAAGGGCAGACCTGCAAACCCATTCTATCGGTAGAAGGACCCATCAACTCACCTTTATTATCTATGCTTCCGGATAAGGTCATGCCCGCCGGCTTCATAATCCGTGGAGGGGTGCCCCTGGCTTTGGGTTGCCAATACTGGGGTTTTTCTTTATGAGACTTGACAGAGAGAACACTGACAGAGGGAACAACACACGAACCTTTCTCTACCCCTCAAAATTAGATTATCAGATCAGGTACTAGATCATGTGAAGTGACTTGGAAGAGGTAGCCGGCAATAGCATAATCCGAAACATAAAACAACCACACTTGTGAAAGCTTAACTACCTCCTAGGTAGCCCATCCTAAACTCTGGCTGTTAGCCACATGTCGAACATCTCATGCCAACATTTCTTGCCCTGTTTGATCGACCCGCTACCCTTGCAATGCCAAAAGGCCCTCCATTATCTTCGTGTCCTCTTCTTTTTCAGTCTTCCTACTAAAATGCTAAAAAGTACACGTGAATCTAAACAGACTAAAACGGGAATTTTACCGTGTTTTCATCTTGCCGATGATGAGCTACATGTAGCTAAATCTTCCTACGAAGAGCGCTTACAGGTAGCATTCGCCGCGAGCTGCGGAACTCCCTCTGCAATTTCCTCGTGAGCTGCAAAGCAACGGTGGGATTTTGGGAGCGCACATAATTAACAACCCGCGAAGTACAAAATCCGGTGTGGCGTGCCTGTTGTGTCTATCGGAAAGTCTGGGAGCGAACAAAAAAAGCTTACTACTGTTACTGCATTAGGCATCTCGTACGCGAAGGTGAATCCTTTTACCATACTACGTAGATTTTATTTTATCTTATTTTTTCCCCCTCTCCCCAGTTGACATCCACCTCCCTAAACGCCATCAATTAGTGATACTAATAGCTTTATATAGCACCGCCAAGAAACGAGCTAACTCAGTTGTACAGACGGCAAAGCTTACTACCTTGTATGCTAGCTCACCCCAACCTATATCTTACCTTAAAGGCGTACATTTGGTCAATTAAGCATGTCCATTGATCAACTGCGGCGGCTGGTGATGCCTATAACCACTTGTAAGCCAGGATTCCGCATCATGATTCAACACAAGGGTTAGGTACAGGTAGTTAAAGCGAAACGAAACTAACAATAAGGCGGGGAGGGGATATTGGGTTGAATTCTCCATCACCCCGCCCCGAGCCAGTGGATGGGAGCATTAAACGTGATCTAAAACATAAATTCGTATTTTCCCATCTAGATGGAATTCATCAGATGCTATGTTTCAGAAGTAGGTAAAAAAGTTTGTTCCTGCATTTGGCGTATGGCCTCTGTTCCTTGGCCAGCCACAACGCCCACGGACCAATAGCGCGACCAAGAAAGCTAACATTGGACCTGCGTATCGCTTGAGGCGTCGGGGGGGGGGGGGGCCGCAAGGGGAGAGCTTTTCAGGTGGCTAATTGGCTCCTTCGGATTATTCGCATGCTGCTCGCAGCCGTTTGGCCGCGACCGCGCGACATAAATAGAAATCTTTATCATCTTTGGTAGGTGAGCAGCATTTTCGGTAAGCACGTGAGCGGGTCTGGCGAATGGATCGCATTGGGGCACTTGCAGACTGGCGGCTCTTCTGCTGCTCTTCTATTGTTGTTAACTTACCTTAGGTTAGGTACCTAAGGTTAGGTAGGTATTGTACAAAAAGAAAATGACCTAAATTTATCCTTATTAGTGCCCGCCTCTGCAGCTCTGGAGCGGACGAAAGCAAAGTAAGCAACGTCAGAGGATGGGTAAACCGTACGCTGTGATTGATTGGGTTGTGATGAAAAGAGAGAGAGAGAGAGACTGACGCCAGTCAGATGACCCAAAAAAGACCACACCTAGGGCCGTTAATAAAGCTAATGCTATGTACGACTTTATCGCTTTATCGAAAGCGGCAAGCACCGTGGCACTAACATGTATCCATTCCATTGACTTTAGGTAATCAAGGACTCGCGTACTTAACAATACACAAAACCAAAGATGTACCTGGGCAGGTGTCGAACTCGATCAAGCTTCGTAAGCCACCTTCCTCCCGCTCTCTTCATTCTCGACCCCCACTTGGGAACACAAAGCAACCTATCAATAACTCATTAATTTAAATACTAACCCAATACGAGAAGTCGAACTAGCTGTGGCTTCGGATCCAGAGGTGATGTATGGAAAGTTACAAAGTTACCTTTTTAGCGATCTCGATACCAAATATGATGTGACCATACTACAATACATGCAGTGCACTCAGGTACATAATACAACAAGCTACGGCGGCTCCCCTGAAACATGATGGGCTCGACATTACTAACGTCGTTGAAACATCTCGAGGTCTCCTTCGTCATGTTGTACCTACCTAGACTGCTAGGTTAGGTACCTAGGTAGGTAGGAGGTAGCTATCATGTTTATGCTTAAATCTTTTACCGAATCGCGGGACGCAAGGCAAGATGGGTGATCTCATTGGTGTGCCTGAATAATGCATGAACACGCGGTAGGCAAAGCACCGAGCGAATCCCTTTAAGGCATTCCTTACGAAATTCAAAGCGGAATACGGTTATCAATCTTCAAGATCCCAGCTTCAATCGACGTCTAGGTACAATACCTTGGGTCGTCCCTCGGTATGCGGTCAGCTCTTTTGGACCCCTCGCCCACAGCTCTCTGAAACAGACACACCATCGGCTTTGGATGTGGGTTTTCTAAGGGTAGCCCCCTCTGCTCTCTTTAGCCAGGTACGTGAAACAGGCGTAGCTTGTCACAAATTCTTCCAGAATGGACATGGAACTACGAAATGCGACGAGATTTTGCAGCTTAGCGTAGAGTTGCCATGCTATCGAGGGCCCCAGCATCGCATCAGTTCTCTACTAGGTATCACGGCCAGGGTCGATCAAATTTACAAAAGATGACCCACCAAAATTTCATTACACTACCTCTACGGTTTACACTAGGTTACTATGATACATCCCGCCCTATACATAGTACTATACCTACCCATCGCCGGAGTAACGGGCGCTTTGGGCGCGTGCGTGCAGACTACTGTCGTTAGCTCCAGCCTATCCGGCGAGTTATTCGGAGTCCTGGATGTCACGTTGGCGGCAAGGCGCATAGTGGCATAAGAGCTGCGGAGTTGAAATTAATTTGGTGAAGCACGATCACGGATGTTAGCAGCGTACATACATACATACACCACCTACCAGCCTACTACTACCTAGGTATGTATTGTACAGACCATGAACCCCCTAAGCTTTCGTCATGTAATCCGTACTGACTAGACTCGCTTTATTAGCATATGCCTCAAAAATCTCATGATAATCACGTCGGTTAAATACCCTAAGTCAGTATACTGCAGTATACTGACTTATACTGATGAAAAGCCGCTATCATGATAGTCTGTTTGTCCATCTGTTTCATCACTCGGCATCACTTTCCTTCGAAGCCGTGATAGTCTCTACTATCAAGACTGGTTAGCCTCTGGGTTCCCCAGAGATCGATTTGTTTCATTTCTTCGGACATTTTACACTTTCCCTAATTGTCACCAGCCATGCATTTTGTCTGTAGTTAGAGAGTTCTGAATTATGAGCCCCTGCTTTCAATACGACGCTGTTGAGCTACCAGAGTCACATCCCCCGTGGGTCGTTGGTGCTTTGGGCTTAAGCTTCCCCTGCTAACGTTAATGTCTGAAACGCTGGTAGCTAAGTGATTCGTGTTTCAGCCTTCTGAAAGTCGACTCTACAGAACCTGGCGCCACCCATATCGCAGTACGGGCATATGGGCATATGGACGCTAGGTAGTTGCCGTGACCGCCATGCTACATTGCACATACGCGCGTACGGATCCGTATAATCCCACCTGGCCGGCAGGTAACTCTTCTCCTCGCCGTCAACAGCATTATCTAGCCAGACTATGACATAGAGGGTCTAACCCACATACACTATCCAGTTACCCGCCATTCTACTACACATCCCCTCTCCAGGTTCCATAAGCGCCACTACATTAATTCAAGCTCAAACATGAAACTAAGGAGCTCTCATGTCTCTGCTCTTACTGGTAGTTTTAGGCATTTCTTGGTAAATGTTACTACACATTCGTGGAAACATGCCGTCTAAAGGACCTCGAAGACATTTCGAGTCCGGATCAAGCCGGGTTTAACCCGTCGAATAGGCTAGTGCGGGACTCTGCCGGCTCCCACCGAAGAAGAGAGATCGTGTTTTGAAATTCGCCTGGGGTGGGTACTTGGCTCTGGCCTTGCGCGAACCCTGAACGATTCGCTTGGCAGTCCACTGCGGCATAAATGGTGAACGTCCAGAAGCGTTCTTGACGGGGACCAGGGTTTAAACTATAGGTATGCTAACTAGTGGTGATATTTTTGTAGATGGTGAACGCTTCTCTTCGGACCGTAGGTTGCGAAAAAAAAACAAAAGTCCCTCCCGCCACATGGCTGCTTTGTGCTCTATGCAGGGACAAACAAGAAGGGGGAAAAACCCAAAAGAAAAGAAAAAGAAAAGTCGAATCCTTCCGATAGTAAGCTCAACCGGAGGGTTGGGTATGACCACTCCCGTATATGCGGATATCCAAGCCCAGGATACTATTTCAGGATCGGATCGAGGCCTACGCTGGGGGGAATATCTGGAGTACATAGTATATGCTATTGGAAGATCACGAGCGCCACAAATCTACGTTCCTGTGCCGTGATACCCAGCTCCGCCACTGGGAGATATTGGGTACGAAAGTGGTGCCGAAGCCAGGATCCAATAGCAAGTTCACGTTATCGACGGATTGGGAAGGAGAACCTTTCAGCTATCCGCAAAGAAGGCACACGTGGAAGGCCCGCCTAATAAAGAGCGAAGGAATAAAATCCTCTCAACCTGGACGGCTGAAGAAGAGTACCCTTAGCTGCTTGGGTACCTATTTATTCCGTAAAACGCAGCTGGAGGAATGTTGACAACTTGGCAATTACTATATCGAGCGCAAGGCTCGCCTTATGCATATTATTTTGGCTAGGTAGTTTCTTTTGCGCGAACCGGATCCGTCGGTAGTTAATATCTCACGAATTGCTAATGGACCGGCGTCATGGACGGCACCGAAAAGCCACATGGCACGATGCGATCAGATCAGAGGATCGAGCTACATGGGATTTAAATTCGTTGTGGGAGGTAATTTCTATACCGACTTAATGCTCTTAGGCTCTTGAAATGTTGGAATAGAGGTACCTAGGTAGGTGGTTTAGGATCACTAAGGTGAGAAGAGAGGGTTGGTTGGTGTCCTACTTGATAAGCTATATTTGGCAAAGGCTACTACAACTAGTATACAGTCGTGGTCTTCCGGGGTGATGTACATTCTCTAGGGTCTACGAAGAAAAGGCAAGGAGCTAAATCATGACGATGCTCTTTTTGAATAGTCATTCATTACAGCTCTAGCCACAATGTCGAAAACCAGGTGTCGATGCCGCACTCCCCAACCCGGACGCTGGAGTAGGGTTTCCAACGCCGTGGCTGTGTCCTGGTACCCGGTGAGAGCATAAATCACGACAGCGGATCGTGTGGAAATACCAGGTAGGTACCTAATGCTAGCTTTAAAAATAGAGAGTCATAAAAAAACGACTTACGTACGAGAGGACTATACGTAGGCTACAGTAGTCAGTCATGTCACATTATCGTGATGCAAATGATCTTCGCATGGGCAAGGAAGGGTGTCTAGTTCCTAGAGTGATGGACGGATTTGAGGCCAATACGGGAGACTGGGCGCTGCGTAGCCACGATTTCCTCGCGTTTTCCTTTCCCTAGAGGTAACGGCTCCGATGCTATGGTGTAGGTGTTGGGGATAGCGGATGGGATCTGCTGGATCTGCTGAATTGGAAATGAGCCAGATGGTTACTGGTATGTTCGCGTCCATAGACGTATCTCATCTCACTCATGTTGATTATTCATGTTGAGATTCTATGTCGTGATCTATCTCATTGATGGATTTAAGCTATAGGTGCCTAGTTAAGGCTTTGATCATAGTCTCTCACTCATAACACATACAAATCGTCACGACACTCAAGTTAAAACTACTGATTATTACGAGTATATTCATAATAATTTACAACAGACGGTAAAATGGTAGGTACTGTTTCAATAGAAATCGATATAGGCTATCTATCAAACCAGCTATCCTAATTGTGTCGTTCATCATCATTAATTCCAGTCTCAAAACTCGTAGTCTATCAAAGGTCACGTAAATCGCTCTTCCACACACCAATCTGCCTCCCTCATTGGCAAAGACTCGTAATGCTTTCCACGGCAAGCGTCCGACACACCTCATAGCTCTAGGCCTCGAAGTGTAGGACGGCACCGTGAACGCGAGTACGATGCCCAATTTTGCCCCCTCCCCTCCTCACAAGAATCCATCAGTCCTCGGCGCCGGTGGTGGTTTCGGCTTGACCTTTACGCCAAGACTCGTCAGGGCGGCTTCGAGATCGGGGAGTTCGCTGGAGGAGGCGGCGACCCTGCTGTACCTGACGATGCCGTCCTGATCTATGGCGTAGGCGCCGCTGTTCTGCCACCGGTTGCCGCTCTCGGTCGGGCGGTTCCAGATGTTCTCGTCCTTGCCGAGGCGGAAGGTCTTGTACAGCGACATGGGCCCCATGATCTGCCACGTCGTCCCGATGCCCAAGCCCCATTTCGCGTACAGCTCCCGCTCGTAGTCCACCACCACCTGCACCTCCCAGTTGCCGCCCACCTGCACGACCCAGCGCTCCGTGGCCTCGTCCGACGAGTGCGAGACCGCGACGAAGTGCACCTCCTTGTATTGCACCGAGAACGCGGTGAGGTTCTTGAAGGCCTTTTCGGCGACTGCGCGTTTGCAAAACGTTAGGTCAGGTATGTGCCGTGCTCGTTTTCGAGAAAGGGAACAACGGGGTATGGATGGGATGGGGCGTTGATGTTTATGGCTTACATGGACAACCGCAATGGCGAAGGAAGACGATGATGGTAGGTTTGTCCGTCGGAAGAGTGAGGTTGGGATGTACGGGTGCGGGAGAGCCGACTTCGGGTACCGGTGACACCTCCTTAGCGGGAGGTGTCTTGTAGGAATCCCACTCCTGTATCAAGGACATGGTTTGATAGAGGTATTGTACCTTAGGTTAGGTAGGTAAGGTAGGTATGATATAAGTAGGATATAGATATAGTTGGGTAACAATTTAATAATAATATACCGACATAGAAAATTATTAACTAGAAGAAATGGTTAAAAAGTTGCGTAAGTTTGGAAAGGATGTATTAAATTATGTAAATAAATACGGGTTATGAGGAGGTGAGTTTAGCTACATGGTATCAGTTATGCAGGTACCGTCAGTTGCGATAAGCATATGGAACCTATATGGAATCTTCCTTCGCTATCTTGCGGCAATTGACGGCCCCGGCGGCTTTAAAAGTTTGTCAGCTCTTTGCAATTGTCGACAGCTGAAACTTTCATTAGGTATCTTTCATCAACCTCTTATGAATTATTGCATAAAAACATCTCATAGTATAGGGTAGTTAACTACTGCTAAGTACCTCCTATAAGTTGTCATCACTCTTCAACTTCTAAATTCTTGTCTTAGACTACTACAAGAGAAAGGCAATTACCCAATATCATATCCCTACTATGCGTGAGATCGTCACCTTACAGCTCGGCCAGCAGAGCAACTACCTGGCAACTCATTTCTGGAATGTCCAGGAATCCTACTTCACATACGGTGCTGACGAGGAATCACCTATTGATCATGACGTCCACTTCAGGCCAGGTATCGGATCTGATGGCTCTGAAACCTTCATGCCTAGGACAGTCATATACGACTTGAAAGGAGGCTTTGGAACTTTGCGGAAGATTAACGCTTTATATGACATCGACGATGATGCGACTTCGAGTAGTTTATGGTCTGGTCAGACTATAGTACAAAGACAACAACCTATAGAGGCGAGCTCGTATCAACAGAGTCTCGACGCCGGTCAAGCACCGCCAAAACTAACCACGAGCACGGTGAGATATTGGTCTGACTTCAACCGCGTCTTTTTCCATCCCAAGTCTATTATCCAGCTGAGCGAATACGAGCTCAACTCGACCGTCATGCCCTTTGAGAAATGGCATATGGGGGAAGAGCTTTTTGGCTCGTTAGATAAGGAGCACGACCTCTTGGACAGAGATCTACGTCCATTCATCGAGGAGGCCGATCAGATGCAAGGTCTCCAGATTATGACAGGCCTCGACGACGCCTGGGCTGGCTTTGCAGCCAAGTATCTTGAACGACTCCGAGACGAATATGGTAAGACCCCTATTTGGGTCTTTGGGGCTCAAGAACCGAATACAGGTTTGTCAAGAGTACGTCTCTCCGACTTAATCTCATACTGGCGTTCATTACTTACACTCCTACAGGAAAAGAGGCTATTGAAGCTCGCGAACAAAGCGCGGGCTCTTACGGAATTCAACTCACAAGCCTCACTTGTTATCCCCCTGGCACTTCCGGAAAGCCCTCTACCAAGGTCTGTGCGGCTAGATCCTGCATCCACTTGGCATGTAACTGCTCTGTTTGCTGCGGCTGTGGAGAGCACAACCCTATACACCAGACTGAAGATGTCTGACCGAGTCTATTCGAGTAGCCTTGGGAACATGGCTGACATTCTCAACGTTTTTGGAAAGCAAACCATCGCAAACTTGGAGATGAGTGTATCCGAGATACAAAGCTCTACTCCGAACGGAAATGGCACAAACGGCGTGAACGGACACAGCGATGACAACCGGATCGGACCCGTCCGAAGCCTACATGGCACCGGTGTAGCTCTCTACGCTGATTCCGAGGCCGGTTCGGAGAAAGGTGCCGCGACCTTGGATATCGACTTGTCCTCTCCTCAGGATCTCAACCTTAACCAGGGCTATAGAAGACGAAGGCGCCGCCGCATATTTAGCCAAGTTCTCGCCGACAGAGGACCAGAGAGCTCAGAGTCGGCTAAGAATGACGACGAAGCAGAGATGGAGGATACGTATGGCGTGCGACATCGCCCGAAAGTGCACAAGTAAGTCTAAACCGCCACTAATATGTCCCCTGGATTGTCTATTGGTTAAATCTTTTCCTCTCCAAAACTAACCAAGTGTCACAGCTACCGGTCGTCGGTCGCTTTCCCAATCATTGACAGCTACCCCAAGATCTTCCGGGATAGCTATGACCATCCAGTGAAGGATCGCGTATCTGTCCGGACGGCTTTGTCTACGGATTCAACTGTGACGGATAAAGTGAAAGCTTTGCGCAGCACTGTCATCCGCTCTATCGGCCTTGAAGACCGCGAGACCATTGGCAATGAACTTGCCGAGATCGCTGACAGCTATAAGGAGGGCTGGTCGAGTGATAGCGATGATGATAATGACGAGGAGTGAAAAGCTCGACCTCTAGGCGAACGCGAAGGCACTATACGAGCCTGGATTATTATGCGTGGAAAAGAAAACTCACTGATTCCACGACGCAAACATCTTGCAAACTTCCCTAGGGTTACGGCCTGCCCGTTGTAGCATCCCCTTGCATTTGTCTGTGCCGACATCTGTCAGGGGTTACTCTCACTTTCTGCTACCTAGTCTACCTGCACAAGCGGAGCGGAGCTCGGAACCCATTCCGCCCCCTCCGCAAGCAACCGACGGAAGAGAGAAGCCTGGAGTTGCATTGCCATGCCAGCCTACTCGGTTATAGTTGCACAGGGTCCAATGTGCGATGGGTTGATCAAGGGGGGTTTATCGTGACGCTTATGCGTCACCGCAAGAAATTTGTCTATAACCCAGGACTTAGAAGAGAAGATTACTCACTCCCTGCTCGTGAACGCTTCCAGTTGATTCTTTTGTGTCTAATACTCGGAATGCGCCCGCCTATCCGGGAAGCCGCCCGGGCATCCGTAACCTCATCGACTGCGGGAACATACGTACATACGTGCATACACACACACCTCAGGTTAGGTAGGCAGGTAGGTGCGTATGGAACCATCCTTGTCCAAAAGGATTTCTTACCTCACAGCAAACTCGTTAATCCACCGAAGCAAGCGCTCGCTTTCTCCTCCCTCGCGCTCGAGAAATAGAGCATGCGGGCCGAAGGATCCCTACGCAAAGCCATCGACACGGCCCGATCGTTTTGGCCGGTTAGTATTCTAATGCCTACCTACCTACCTACCTCCTACCTATCCGCTATGCGCCGTACGTACATACATACCTAGTACATACATTAGGTAGGTAGGTACCTACACACACACACCGAAATCTTACGCTCGCTCCGAGGAACCCGAGACCGGTAAAAAAAAGGGCAGCCGCGGAAACTCTCTCTCTCTCTCTCCACTGACTGACTGAATACCTGACCGACTGAGGCGGTCACCGCCCCACTCGTGCTGGACTAGACATGCGATGTAACGCGTAAGCGGCAGGCAAGGACGTCATGAGACCGGATTTGCCGCTCGTCGCTTGCTTGCTTTCTTTCCTTTCTTTCCTTCCTTCTAGCCCGCCCGCCTGCTTGCGGCGCCGAGACTTGCGAGATGCGAAGATCTGGGGGTAGTAGTGGTGGTGGTGGTAACAGCCCAAGAACTTTCCCCCTCTAGTTGCGAAGGACTTAGGTTTGGCTATGAGATGAAGAATCGGTAACGTTGCCTGTTTGTTATGGCTACCTACCTCTTATTAGGCCTAAGTAGATAGACAGTATTTAATTAGACTCGCTGCCCACTTGAGTGAGATGTAGGCATTATCTACATGTTTTCCAAGGCTCATCTGTCTAGGGGTGGTAAACATATTAGGCACTATTTTACCACGTGAAATTTCACCGTCGTGATTTGATGCTAGTGAATGTACTCGACACGATGGTAATCTCATATGAAACCTACTCTTTAGATGGTGGATTATCTGGCAGATTCCAAGAATGGTTCTGGTTCTATAAAGAGCGTTGACGATGAACAGATAGGTATAAGTTAAACTCCAAGTTACACCATATTTCTATCGTATGAAAGGTACCTTAAATTTCATATACCGAAAGAGATCCAGTCGAGATAGCTGTTTCTACCCACATGATCAGTCCGTACTAACTGCGGAATCGATAAGTAGCAGACATTTCCATTGTGCGGAATATGAGAAGCGTATGCAGCAATCGCGTCCCATCCCACCTGTTGCTAGCGATTGATGGTGACCACCGAGCCACGCATAAACCCCATGTATACAAAAAAGGTCAAAAGGGAATGGTAAGCGTATTTCGCAGGCTAGGGTTCAGGCTCAGAGTTTGAAACACTTAGTCTTGCTCGGCTTTACGCTCTTTCTCTGGCTGGCCAAAGACATCTGTGAGTGCAGCCGCGAACTTGTCAACGATGGTTTCGACAACTTCTTGAGTGACGTTATACGCCGGCATGATCATAATATGATCACCTCTACCTTGACCAGCACACCCCTGGCCAAAGTACAGTGACAAATTATGAGGGGCACCTAGAGCCGTCTCGTGGACACGACGTGCAATCTGAAGTTTAGGGTCGAACGGCTCTTTCGTGTCCCTATCCTTGACGAGCTCGATACCCCAGAATAAGCCGCGGCCCCGGATGTCACCGACGTTGGGGTAGTTCCGTAGTTTATGGCGTAGTAGTTTCTCAAGTAATTGACCTTGGGCCTGGACATTGGGAAGGAGGTTATCGCGTTGTATGATCTGCTGAACCCGCAGAGCCACCGCACAGGTGACGGGATGGTCCATATATGTGTGTCCATGTGTGAAGGCGGCACCCTTGGTCTCCATTGCCTGAGTAATTTTCCCGCTGGCTAGTATGGCCGAGACTGGTTGGTAGCCACCACCGAGCCCCTTTCCGACTGCCTGTATATCAGGGGTGACACCCTCCTGTTCCCAGGCAAACAGAGTGCCTGTTCTTCCCATGCCGCACATGACTTCATCAAGGATAAATAAAGCTCCGTATTTGTTACATACAGCTTTCATAGCCTTGAAATAGCCAGGGACGGGTGGTAAACAGCCGGCGGCTGCTCCAACAACTGGCTCGGCGACAAATGCTACTACACTGTCTGGACCAGCCCGCAGGAACGCCTGATCCAACTCTTCTGCCTTACGAGAGACAAACTCTTCGTCAGATTCTCCAGGAAGCCTTTGGCGGTAAGGGTTACACGCAGGTATACGATAGATATTTGATACCAAAAGTGGTTCAAACGAACTCCTTCTCGTTACGTGACCTCCCAAGGCTAGTACACCCAATGTGATCCCATGATATGACTCGTCTCTGGCGATATAATTCACACGCTGGGGCTGCCCAATCCATGTAAAATACTCCCGAGCAAGTTTCATTGCACCTTCCATCGCCTCGGAGCCTAGAAGACAAACAGGACTTAGCAAGGGCGCCACACAAGAGAGGGATGAAGATATGATATACCAGATGATACGACCCATGTCTTCGTAAAATGTCCATTAGAATATTGTGATATCCATTTACTTAAATCCCGCCGGCTCTGGCTATCCATAAAACCCCAGGGGATGTAGGAAATAGCAGAAGCCTGAGCAACCATTGCATCAGTGATCTCTTTGACTCCATGTCCAAGACACTATGCAATTGAGGTTAGAAAATCTCCCCTTCAAACATAAATTGACACTAGGAATGTTTCCTGCCACCCAGAGGCTCTGGTTTCTGTGCCCAGGGTTGAGAGTTTTAGATTGTGTAGCTAATATACTCACAGCAACAGCCGCTCCCCCGCTGCCATCTAGTATTTCGCGTCCATCTCCTAGGTATATATAGTTTCCTTGTCCTCTTACGGCGAGACGTCGCTGCGAATCGGCCTCATCATCTGGTGTAGACAAGGATGGAGAACTAGACGAAGATACATCATCATCACGACTGAGCACCGATTTCATAGCACTGGTTTCTGTCGACCGCCTCGTCAGGTTGGTCTTGTTTATGTGGTTCTGTGTGATGCATCTGGGCTGCTCTACGAGCATGGTGCCGGCCATGATGGATTTTGGTAAAAATCGGGTGGGCTGGGTTATCGTCCTTCGTTTCCGGAGAATGGCTTCGACCTGGATGGGGACTTTATACTTATACTCATAGGATCGTCGGGCGATCATTCTTAGTCCTGGCAGGCAAGCCTGGAATGGTATATGAGTAAATGCTAAATTACGCCCGACTAGACGGGTAGCATCCAATCATAGACGGATGCAGTTATGCACTCGAGGAAGCATCCTCGGATGCACACGACAAAGGGACGCACCGACCAACTTAGGCTACTATGAAAGAGTGCACAGTTCGGAACGAATTAAAAAAAAAAAGCAAGCAGCCGATAGGCGGTGACCTTCTTGTTTCTCCCCCGAAGACGTGGATCCCTGGAGATTAGACGATGTTCCGTAGAGTCTGAGTAGGTACATAGGAATGACACGAGATCTGATAGAGGTAGGATGGGTGGTTAGTCTTGCTACCCAGGACAAATTAAATTGTGGGAGCTCAGCTGATATGTCGAGTCAATAAACTACTAGCAACTAGACGGCTCGGAACCAATGGCGAGAGGGGTTCATCAAAGACTAATTCAAGCATGTCGCGATACCTCACCGCCATATAATCTTATTATATAGTCAGTGAATGATTGGCTAGGTTCGAAGTAACCGTTTCGGTGTCCTTTGACTCTCGTAGACACCCACGCCACCTGCAGGGTTGCGTAGCACTATAACCGGCCAACTTGGTTGACAGGGCTGGGCCGATTTCTTCAGCAGATCCCTGTCAGCTGCACATCAGAAGGGTGTGATTGCAGGAAGGTCGAAATTGCGGATCTTTGTAAGTTAGGTACCAGGCCCTAAAGTAACGATGCCTTGCCCTTCCTTTATCACCTTAGGTAAGTATAAGTCTTGTCTCGTCTCGTAACAAAGCCAAGAGAAGAGAGTGCTATAGTCAGTATGACACCGGGAAACATGATGCCACGACCCGGAACTTGTTCCGAGAGAGTCGATAAAATAAAACTATGATGAAGAGGCTCACATAAGGGGCGCCCATTCGGAAACCAAGACCTGCAGGCAAGCTGATCAGTGGTGCATTCATACGAAGACCCGATAGGTTTCTTGGCTACCTACTACACGACCATGCGACTGAATAGCAAAGGGGGCGGACCAATAAGAGTTGGTTCTGGTAGTGCTAGTTGTTACACTTAGACATATACACGTATAGATGGGCGTCACTAAGCGCCCACGATCCGGGTTACTAGATGAAGCGAACACAAGACACCGGGCCGAGACTGATGAATTGTTGATGGTGCTGCTTGTATTCCGGGTTTACGACATGGGTATAGTACGGGCCGAGGAGCGGAGGGGTGGCCGGGGCCGTGGAATAGGTATTCGGTAATGCACTAGCCAAGCCATGCCACATGCGAGCATCTAGGTGCTAATGCTGGAGACGTGTCATTGACATTTCTTAATTCCCGGTTGTCACACCTTTTAGCACGAATTATAACTTGTTCCGAGGATGGATCTCAAATCGAACCCGGAACCCATGCAAGGGTATAATCAATAAGCAAACTAGCAAGCTTGTGGCGGTGTTGTCACTATGTTAGGTACGGATCCGCACATCTGCCGACCTTAGTATAAAATGTTGAGAGGATGGTCGCTTTTGATTGGAATTTGGGAGACCTTGGAGGATATATGGAGTACGCACTTAAAAATTGGTTGATGAACAAGTTAAGGTTTTAGGGGATTTGAAGATCAAGAGCTGTTGAAGTTTTCAGCAAACAACTGCGCGACTAATCGGCCAATTAGGTAAATCGAATCGATTGTAGATCAATTCGGAAAGCTTACCTAAGGTACACTGTACTTATGTACAATTGGTACCTGTTTCCCTATCTTGGTGAAACGTCTCCGCGGTTGCATCTCAAAGGACTACCTGCCATGTATGTGTCGTACCTACCAGGTAACCTGGCCCTTGGTATGTCCCTGGTAACTACAGGTAAGTGCTACACTACAACATATTATCACGCTTAAGAGCTCTAATGATCTAATACATATAGGTTAGGTACCTAATGTACCTCCTACATACCTACCTAGGTAGATACCTCGAACTCGCCTTATGACCTGAACTACAATTGTCCTTGTCCTTGTCCTTGCCTTCGGGGTTACGACGACATTGTGCTGGGCAATATGCGCTACTACCTTCCAAGTCAATACGTCTCTGAGATTTTATCGAGAACAAGGCTGATGATACAAGCAATAGATACATTTGGGCACTCTGCATGCTGATGTTGCATCTCCTCTTTGGCGAACTGCAGTGACGACTCGCGAATGAGACCCTCCCGGTGTTACCCTGCGGTGGCTTGAGTAACTCCAAGTATGGCAACGGCCTCATGGCCTCGGCTAAGCCATACCGAAATAGACCTTTCATAGCCGTAATGGCGGTGGTGGGGACGTCCTCGTAACCTGCTGTCAGACAAGTTAAGAGTCGGAATCATGTCCCGTCAATCCTGAGGGCCAAGGTTTACCTTCTACCTACCTGTATTTACCTACCTTTGGGATTACATTACCCAGCGTGATATCTTATTTCCTATATGGATACAGACGGCATTTCTGACGTTCCATCCAGCTGTGATGTTCCATGCAATGGATTAAATAGCTGGTTAAGCCTTCGAGCCTGGCTTGAAGGTTTTTTTTTTCTTTTTTTTCTTTTTTTCAAGTCAGATGGTATGATGGTTACTTCAAAGGTATATACTTTCAACATTCGTTGCAGCATATGATATGCCATCAACGAGCTGCGTAAGTGGGTGGTTCAATATCCATGGCTTCCCTCTCAAGAGTTGCAATTCATAAACTTAGCACCTCTAGTCAATGCAAGTTAACAATTTTTAGATCTTCAGCTACCAATAAAATAGGACGGGATGTATAATGTCCCTGTCTCCATAACGAGATAGTTGATGTGGCTATGTTTAATGATTAGGAGTATAAGCGAGGAAAGAGAATAGTATATATATATAGCCCTCTTAAGGCTAGAAAGCTTTAGGGAATCCATGCTGAAGATCTCAACTAGCTTAGAAACATGACAGGATGGTGGATCTGCTCATACAGATCATACGATGATATTAGAGGGGAAAGACTTCCCACTATAAATTTCCTCGCTGAGCAATTATGTATGTGTAGCTGTATACCCGAGCCAGATAGATGTGTCGCAAAGAATCAACAAGTATATTGAAAAGAATGATCATAAGTGATCTATAACGTTTTACTGTTCATTGTTTGCCATTGTTAGTGATTGATGATTGACTTGCGCTGTGCTGCGCTAATTGTGTGTTGACTCTATATGCACTTTGTCGAGGAGCACATCATCTCCGATATTCCAGTTACCAATATTGTACGAGATGAATAGCTACCATTGTAATACTAGTATTACTTGGACTGCCTATACCTACAGCTGATATGAAGCCATCATTGGATAAGCGTTTTGGAGTATTCGAAATGTTTGTCGAGGGTGGTCCTATCGGACCTGATTCGGCCGCGGCTGACGGGTCCTCCCGAAGTCTAGCAAACCGACGGCCCACTTACATGGGCCCGTCGCTTTAATGGCCAATATACGTACGGTTTATTCATATACTTACCTTAGGTAGTATAAGCACATTGGCTGGTATCCTAGGCTAAACAATATTCCACCAAGGAATAACCTTACATGGCTGAGTACTAAAAATGAAAACCTAATCGGAAATGCGGGAATATACTGTGATAAATTTATAGCATTAGTAGCCGGCATTAGAATACTCTACTACCTATTAATGGAAGAGGTATGAAACTGATGAATCCGAAAATACGTGGAACTTAGGGTTTCTACATGGCGTGCGCTGTTTGGTAAAGGTACCTGGTAATGAATGGCTCTCTTAATTGGCTTGTATTGTACAATACTATGTTAGGTACCTGTAAGCAAGATGAGGCGGGGTTGTCTTTAGTGGGTGAAGATACCCCCATCATGGATATTCATAGGCATTCATAGGTTATGGTGGTGAAACTGAAAGATCCTGAACCGTAATTCTAAATTCTGTAAGATGGTTGAATTGGGACGGCTAATCTGTCACATTGTGATGAAATAAGATAACTAAGCCCATAAGAAGTGGCAGTGTCACGAATGGTTTGAAGAAATAAGCCGACTTGGGACGGTTTTGGATGTTTTTTTACGGCGAGATATGAAAAGAACAAAAGCGGCAGGCTGCACTAAATAATACCTAAACTGACTTGCACGGTCTGTCAAGATGGTCTCCGCAATGATGTGCAGGTTCTGGCAGGTTTGGATTCAGCCTAGACCAATTATAGTGGGCGAGACTGGGTTGAGGAGTGGGTGAGGAAATCTGAATCTGAATATAGCAGATTGGAGCGAATTGGAAGCATCTCGATGGAACTGCGGGACCGCTGCGTCGTCAATTAAGAGATGTGGGATGCGATGCGATGCGATGCAGAATTGTCAATCAGCAGACAACGGGCGCTAAAAAAGGTATCTTGCTATAAAAAAGCAAACATTCTGGGTATGAAGTTAACTATAGAAATCTATTGACAGGTATAACAACGATAATAGAAATATGCGGAGATACATTTCCGCAGATGCACAGCGTAGCCTTACCTATCGAGGTACTACATACCTGTAATTGTATTGTATTGTACTTGCTAACGTGAAGTAACAAAAATAGGTTGGCGCCTGCACAATAGCATTGCCTCAACGAAGATATCTCACCTTACCCTAGGTAAGTTAAGTACCTTAGGTACCTAAAAGCAAGTACGTAGGCACCTACCTAGGAGGTACTATAGTAACTTTTCTTTACTCCATGTGTAATGCGTACAACGAATAGGAAGGCTTAAAAAGAAAAGGAAAGGAAACTTGGGGCACTGTTAAAATAATTCCGGCGGGGGAGGTGCTGTTGGAGGTAGGTATTTTAAAATCTTAAATCTGAATAAAGGGTTGACTGGCTGTGTGTGACGCGCGCTGTGGTGTCCTTTTAGTGGTGTACCTAAAATGACCTTGGTGGGAAAGTGGGTGACAAAGTGACAGGGATGTTAAGTTGCGTAACGAAAGAGAGAGGGAGGCGCGACCTATCGACTTTTTTTTTTTTTTAAACAAACCACATCACCAAGTCAATATTTGAAAACTAATCGCATCAAATCGCATCGCATCGCGCCGCAACCGAATTGTGTTGGCCCCCTCTGAACTTCTGTAACTCCGGCGACCATATCTACAGTAATCCGCCTAGTTGTTATTCATACTTTCTAAATATTTATACTTTGCGACGTAAACCATCTGCGACTTTTTTTTTCTCTTTTTCTCTTTCCCTAACCGGCGCGCCTCATTTCCTATTTTCCGCGTCGATACCACATTACCACCACCGCGACGTTTTCAGCCTTTGAGCCTCAACGGATCCTTGACGTCTTTGAACTTTCACACCCCCCACTTGCGCCTGCTCTTACCTATATCGAACTGCGATTATCTGATCGAAAAACTCAAGAGAACTTCAATCTCGGCTTGCGATTGAGACACCTGCGACCCTTTCATATTAATAGGGCGAAATTACCGTCAACTCTATTTGCGCTATACCTTTCACCCTTGTCGCAAGTCTCCCTAGTTCTAGGTCTATAAGTTCTATAAGTTGGCATAAACCCCATCGCCTTCACTTTACGACCCGGCTCATTCGAGAAACCCCGCCAACGCCTAGTGGATTTGCCTTGTAATGGGCTTATAGTATGCCTCCATCATCTAAGAGATCACAGAGGACGCGCCGGCATCGCGATATTAGTCCGAGCCCCGCCCCACCAGAGCAATCCTCCCCGTCGCGCCCGTCGAAACGTAGAAGAAAAGTGAATACTCTCTCCTATCCTTTGTACTTTATCGCTTACGTCTTCTAATTACGTCTTTTATATAGGGAGACGAAGCAGTTCCAGAACTCGTCGAGGATGAAGGTTCTAGCCTCACTGTCGATAACTCGGCGCCCGAGGGGCCTAGTGATGACGACCGATTGATTACCCAAGTAACCCAACACCTGCGAAGCATTCAAACACAGGCCAGCAAAGACCACGCCAATGCGATACACGAAGCCAAGACCGAAGATATTGAAGCATATGCTAAAATATCCGCACATGACTGGACGTATTACATCAAGACCCTGTCAATCAACATTGGTAGAACTTCCGAACCTTCTCACGCCCACGCCCCTGCCCCTCGGCAAGACCGCGAAAATGACGACTTTGTTCATATCGATCTCGGCCCGTCCAAAACGTTCTCACGCCAGACGGCTGTTATTTACTACGACTCAGAGCCTGGGAGATGGTTCATCCAGGCAAAAGGGCGCAATGGCATCAAGGTTAACAACATCCCTATGAAGAAGACGGATACTCCGCATCCTCTTTCTAGCGGCGAGGTTATTGAGATTGGGGGCATTGAAATGATGTTCGTTCTGCCTGCTAGTCTGGGTCCCCTCGAGATACATCCTATGTACCTTGAACAGGCTGGTATCAAGCCTTCGCAGTCGACCCCTGCGCGCGAAACAGGGCGGACAGCTCTTCCTACGGCACCTCCAGCAGATCATCCATCTTCGCAGCCTGCACGGCCCTCTTCTTCCCGTGGCCAGCCCTTCCAGCAGCCAATTGCGCCCGCACCCCCGGACTACAGACGTCCAGGCACCCCGCCCTCTGCTAGGAGTCGCCCTGCTACTTCTCACCAGCAGAAGACACCTGCACATGGCTCTTCTGGTACCGTAATAATGAGCCAGAGTGATGTAGACTTAACTAAGGACGAAAACAAACACATCAAGCCGCATTTTAGCTATGCCCAGATGATTACACAAGCGATTATGAGTACTCCAGAGGAGAAGCTAAACCTTGCTGGAATATATCAGTACATAATGAAACATTACGCCTATTATCGACATCAGCCTCCCTCCGGTTGGCAGGCAAGTATTGACATGCCATTTTTTATACAATAGCAGCGCTGACCAAATCGCAGAACTCCATCAGACACAATCTGTCCCTGAATAAGTCCTTTATGAAAGCACCTCGGACGACGGATGAGCCAGGCAAAGGTATGAAATGGGAAATTGTCCCCGAAGCTCGCGACGAAATGATACGCGTTGCATATAAAGGCGGACGCGGGGGTCATCGCGGTTCTTCGGTGCCCTCATCCCCCAGTCAGCCTAGCCAGTTGAGCTACATTACACACGGGCCTAGAGAACTCACCAATCGGGAGCCGGCATCGACTCGAAAGCGCAAGGCGTCCCCGATCGCATCGCCACCTCCAAAGTCGTCCTTCAACCTGGCCCAGGTTACACCAGACCGCAAGTATCTCCCAACTGAGTCGGCAAGTTTCCAAGATGGTAGCCCTCTTCCGCGCCGACGGGCCCTAGATGGGTCTAGCTTTGATGCTACGCAGACACTCCCGCAATCGCCTCCAACTCTCTCATCGTCCTTCCTTCAGGATGAGAGTGCTTCCTTCGTTACCCCAGCACCCCATCGTGTTCACCCTAGGCTTGCGCCTCCTAGTACCGCCCAGCGGCCCAGTCAGCACATGCCGACCAGTTCTCCTGCCCCCTTCTGGAAGTATGCCGACATTGGGAGCACGCCCTTAAAGCCGCCGCAGTTTGACGTTAGTCCCTTGAAGCCTATGCGTCGCCTGGCGAACAGCAGCAGCCCCCCTCCCGCCGCAGGTGATGGATCACCTGCTGCTAGTCCCAGCAGATCGATCCGATCAGCCCGTACGGAGACCCAAGATAGAGAAAAAACCACTGCACCGGAAGAAGAGGAAGAAGAAGAAGGAGGAGGAGAAGGTGGCTTTGACCTTACTAAGTATGTCACCGCTTTCCACAGGCTAGTATCTGAATATTTGCTAACGGCTTTTATAGGGGCTTCCAGAGCATCGGTTCTTACCACGCTAATCTCCACTTTGGTGGTGGACTTGGACCTCGTGCCAATGGTAGACGGGTTTAAGGAAGCGTGTTGTACACGAGCCTTTTAGAAGTCTTTTACGAGGAACATTAACCTGCATCCAACGAATACTTGGGCCGTTTAATCGGTCTTATCGGGTGGAAATAGCCCTGATTTTTTTTTGAATTTTTTTTCTTTTTCTCTTTTTAGCTGTTCTTCACAGCTTTGTACTATTATTCTACTACAAGCCTTGCATTCCTTTGAAAATGGGAGTCGGAATTGGTCTTGAGGATGGTCGACACGTGTGCCTCCCATATACCAAAAGAATATGCCTTCCTCGTCCCGAACGAAGCTTATATACTTGACTTTTATGTGGACAGACGATTGGATTTTGGTTTTCTAACGGCTTTGGTGTTTTTTCTTCTTCTCTTCTCTCTTCTTATATCAACTGGAGTTGGTGGCGGCACTTTGTCTTTCATCGGCTTTTTTTTCCTGGAAGGCGATCTAGGCGACCCGGTAAACCGTCCGGGACGGACGGAACTACAGACGGGAAAGGTTAGGTTAGGTAGGGAAGATACTCATGTATTATCGACGCATATGGTTACCCACGGCACGAGAACAAAAAAAGGCGTTTTTAAGGGGGGACTGGGCTGGATTGGGCTGGAATAAAAAAAGAACTGATCTGGCCTGACGGGGAGAAAGGGGATATGATATGAGCTGCACAATGCAACGTTGCTGGAGGTCTACCTACATAAACCCACACGTCAGGGCGGGAGGCGTCAACTGAGTCGAGAAGAGGAGTAGGGGAGTCCTTGCTTTTGTGTCGTTGATGTTGACTTTTTTTTCTTTTGAAGTCCCCCTTTTTTATTATAGTTTTCCTTATTATTGCAGTCATGTCTTTGGCGATGATGCTTGCATGCCCCCTTTTCCTTTTACTTCTGGTATTTTTTTTTTTCTGAACATGCACAATCTCGCATTCCAGCTACGTCACAATGCAATGCGGTCCCTCCAACAGAAATATAATGTTATGTTGTTAACAAGTCCAATACCCCTGGGTTAGGAGGCATGTTCTAGCTTGGCTTGGCTTGATGTGTAAACTCGGTGATTTTTCGAAGGAATGAATGAATTCTTAAATCGAAATTCATCAATTTACAATCAGTTAATCAATCAGCCAACTACCTAAACTAACATGTCCTCAAGTGCGAACTTGCTACAGTTGAGGTACATGTCCTGCTTATATCGACAAATCAAAGGCTTCAAAAAATCCCTTGATCTGGGCAATTCGGCTAATCGAATTTAGAAGCTCCATGGTACTACTACTGACTGTAGCAAGTTCGCGCTTGAGGACATATGTACGTACCAACGGTGGTGGTGTAAACAAGGACTCTGGTCAGATATACCGTTCTGGAAAAAAGAAAAAGAAAAGGGGAGGGGAGGAGAAGGGGAGGGGGGGGGTTATGTGATTCCAGCTGGCATCATTGCGAACAAGAAAGATACATATTATGTACCTCTAGGTATGTATGTATTTTAGGACATTCGATAGTACAGCTATCGTTAGGTCAAGTTCAGTTAGGTTCGATAGGTTAGGTCACGATCCGGCCAAGTCAAGTCAAAAGTCAAAGAATCAAAATTCAAAAATGAAGAGTGAAGATGATGTATATTGACACACACGTGAGGCAATGCCAGCAGCAATTGGTAGGTTACCTACCTACCTAGGTAGGTACCTGAATTGCGCGGCTAACCAAGTCCCCGCATGATGATATATGATATATGTCCTATGTCCTATGTCCTTATGTCTGAGAGCAGGATGGGAAATTCGGATGGGAGGAGATAGACAGATCCCGAATCCGCCCAAGACGCTTTGCTGCTACTGCTTGCTTGCTTGCTTGCTATCGCTTTGTACCTTAGACCTTAGACCCGTGTAGTTAGTCTAACCGACCAATTTAAACCCCCTTTCCTCTTCCCCTTATCGTCTAACTACTATCTCCTAATATATATACAGTTCAAAATGCCACCATATACCATGCTTGCTTGTTGTCTTTTTTCTTTCTTTCTTTCTTTCTTTCTTTTCGAGAGTCCCGACATACCTGCAGCGTATGTAGATAGATATAGAAGAGTTTTAACGAAGATCTTTTGTACCGGCCTTGGGCCACAGGTAGGCGGGGACAGGGTTGAGTGAGATGGTGAGATGATGAGATTCGAAGAAAAAAGAAAAAAGAAAAAAACCAACGCGATGCAACACCCCTCCTCCTTTCCTTAGATCTATGCAACCAGTCCCTGAGGGAAACGGCTTTTTAAAAAAAGGGAACGAAAAAAAACCAACACAAAATATTTTCACCTCCGTCCCAGAGACGCCTCGACCGAGGAAAAAATGTCATTCATGCCCAGGTAGTAGACCATTCTTGCCTTTTTTTCTTCTTTCTCATGCCCCGGTCCCATGTTTTTTTTGAGCCCCTTTTTCATAACCGTTCATAATCAAGCTTTCGTTTCCCATGATCCACATCATGTCCGTGTCCTATCTTTGACCTCTTTATGAAGCAGCCGACGCGCCTACACGGGTCTTCGGCCCGCTGCGGCCAGCGCGTTTCTTGGTGCTCTTCTTCTGAGCCGTGTTGCCCTCGATGAACTTGATGAGGTCATCGATGCTTCGAGCATCTGGCTTATCCGACTTGGGTTGGTTCAAGGCTGTGGGTTGCGCCGTGGCGCCGGCACCACCGCCGAGCGCGACGTTACGAGCAGGGAAACGTATTCCGGCCCGCAGACGTCTCGCTTGGGCATCCTTGTCCCTCTTCGCAATTGCGACAGCGTTCTGCGTTAGCTGTTCCAACCAAGTCTCGGCCTCCTTCGTATTGTTGTTCTCCGGTCCGAGCTGCTGTAAGAAGATGTTGTAGCAGTCACGCATCTTGCCAAGAGCAGCCTTGGATTCATTGTCTAAAGCGAGTGCCTGCGCAAGCTGGAACAGGAGACTAGCAGCCGGGAGAGACTGCTTGCCCATCACGCGCTCGCAGACAGCAAGAGCTTGCTCGAACCAGATGCGGGATTCGTGGTATGCTTGCATATGCTGAAGCATAACTGCCGCGTTGTTTAGAGTTGTGATCGAATCCGGATGGTCAGGGCCGTAGATGATCTTCCATAGGTCAAGCGCGTGCTTAACGTATGCAAGAGCCGTCTTGCTGTCTCCAGACCCGTGTACGTAAAGACCGAGGTTTAGGTAGTAGAGCAACGTCTCTGCAGAGTCGACACCGATAGTGCGCTCCGATACGACGACAGCCTTCTTTGCTAGGTCGACAGCAGCTTCTTTCTCCTCGAGCTGGTAGTAGATCTGGGCAAGACTGGAGTATGCCCGCGCAACTTCGGGGTGAAGGATTCCGTAGATTTGTTCGTGGAGAGTCAGACTTTCCAATAACAATTCCTGGCCAATCTTCCTGTTATTTTGCATGATCGAATGACGGCCACCTTCCAAAGCCTCTTCGGAAATAGCACTCTTGGGTGCAGAATCCTTAATAATGGGGACGACATTGACAATATCATCCGCAGTAAAGGTTGTTGGCGTGCTGGTAGAAGAGGCAACGGATGCCGGAGATCCATCCCTTGTCTTCTTCTTTTTCTTCTTGCTGTCATTCTTGGTGGTCTCGCCGCTCGCGTGACCGTTGACGCCATTTGTAGCGGGTGTAGCAACGCTAGGCTCGTTGGTGAATTTGAAGTCCTTTACTTGTAGTTGAAGACCGAGCTTCAAGGATACGTCACGGAGGAGCTGCAGGTGCTTGATCTGGTTGTACCATTCAGGGTCCAACGTGAACTTGAATCGACGAATTGCCTGCACTTCAATCTCCTTTCGAAGACTCTCCGGGGTAAGATCCGCAAATGCAAGATCAGCTTCCGGGTAAAGCGCCTTCAGAGACTCGTCTATCTCAGCGATAGGCTTGCTGTTGAAGCCGAATCCGAGAAGACAGTTGAGAAGATGCGCAATAGCAGCCGAAGTAAGAGGGATTGGCAGATATCGCAGGTACTTGTTCGCAACGTGCTTGAATGCTCTCGATATTATCTCCTGTGAAGCCAGGTCTCGAAGGCGCGAGAGTCTGGGGCCTTCGCAGAGGGACACAATCTTGCCCAGGTATCGCATGTTAATACCACGCTTGTGCATCATCTTGGCCAGGGACAGGCCATCCATGGGGAAAGGCAGATCCGCAGCCTTGATATCGTTGACGAACTCGGGAATTGCCGACTCGCGTAGGTATTTGCAGGCGTTTCGAACATCTTCTTCGTCAGCAGCCATTTCTTCCTTTTCAGCGTCAGTCTGCGGAACCTGTCCACTGTAGACATCTGGGTTCAGTGCGAAGTAGAAGTCGGAGGCGTCGATGCGATCCTCAGGCTCCGTTGTAGCGTCATCGCTGGACTCCTTTGGCTTGTCTTCCCCTGCGCTCTTCTCCTCGGTATCCTCAGTCTTTTCTGTCTCATTCGCCTTCTCTTCGGCCTTCTCTTCGGCCTTGTCTTCTGTAGACGAGTTTTCTTCCTTGCTAGATTTCTCATCCTTAGACTTGTCCTGGGACTTCTGCTTTAAGCGCGCGAGCTCCTTGTTGACCCACTCAGTCCATTTCTGATTTCGGAGCAGTTCTACAAGTTCTGGTCGCAAGACTGTCATGCGATGAGGATACTCAAGCTCGTTCTTCTCTCCCTCGGTGCTGCTATTCTCTTCGAGCCATAGAACATCTAGGGGTGTAATGCGGTATAGGTCAAGGACGTATTTACGACCGTCCGTTCCCATTAATCCCTTGGTTTCGACACTGGCTTCTAGATCGAATCGCTTGCCGTCCTTATCCCAGACAGGATGCTTCTTGACTTTCAGAGCCTTTGACAGCTTCTCGAATGTTGGCGCAAACCGTTCGTCGGCCGCAACAACCTCCTTGCCCTCTACAGCTCCGTATTCGATGGAGTTCTCACCAGGTTCTCGTTGCTTGAAAATTCCAGGAACAACGGTCTGACCAACAATTCTCTTTCCAAGGTAGTCAACTACTACAGTAGCCGGGCTGTACAATCCGTCAATGTCAAGTTGGTTGACTATACGCACACCGTTGACATCCTTTCCTGTCGCAACTCTGGCAGCATCGTCGCCACCCTCGGAAGTAAAGGTGCCCACACCGTCAGCTCCAAACGAGAAGAACACGTTGTTGTAGACGAATATCTGGGCATCCCGACCTTCCGTCGGGTTAAGAGGAGTGACTTCGCCACGAGCGACCAGAATGGCGCCTCGGGCAGCAGCGTCGGAATAGTCAGCGAAAAGCTTGGAGATGAATCGCTCTCGGAAGACCCGATCTTGGACCGTCTCTTTTGGCAATTCGCGCGCCGACTGGAATTCCTCGTTCCAATCTCGCAGGGTATCAGTGTTATCAACACCAGAGATGAGGTATCCCTCCTGAGTCCTTGTGATATCCGCGCTGTGAGCGCATAGAGGAGAGGACTGCGAAGGAACTAGCCACGGTGCCGCAGGGATGGCATTGGTCATCTGGTATGTGGCAAGAGGGTCCTTGCGGTTGTTGTACTGCAATAGCTTCTCGAAAGACTCCGAGAAGGAGGGGGAGATCTGAGTTAGGAGCGTTAATAGCGAGTGCGCAGAATGTCCTTTAGGAGCAGGACGGGGGAAGGGGTCGAATTTGCTATTCGACGACTTGTTCACGTAGAACCCGCCAACGTGCGAAGTGATCTGGTACTGCTCTCCTTCGTTCGTGGTGACGAGTAGGTACAGCAAGTGGCCCTTCTGCCTAAGGTGGTAGGGAGGAGGGTTCCACGGCGACAGAGCAATCGACTTCACTGTCTTAGGGGCGGGCTCTTCCTCTTTCGGTATGAGAGTTGAAGGCTTCGCAGGAGCTTCGAAGTCGTAGGCACTAGCTTGGACATTGTCGGTGTCCTGTGCACCAGTGGTAACAGAATCGAAGAGGGAGATTCCGGGCAGGATGCCTTGTAGTGTGTCGGTCCGGTCCCCGGCAGCACCCACTAGATCACGAATTCGGATGACATGTATTCTAGCCTCCTTTTCGGTATATGGGTCTTCTACCAAGCGGATCTCTGCTTCCGGACCGAGTCCCTTCACGTCGGAAATTTGCACAAAGTCATTTATGCGCTCGCCGGCATGCTCGAGGTGAAAACACGAGTATTGGAAAGCAGAAGGCAGCTCGATAATAGACTGTCGTAGCTCATGAACTTGCTCTTGAGGCGAAACCTGCACCAATTTTTAATTAGCCACGACCGGTCATGGAATCTACGTATAGTAGACGGGAATATCTGCTAACCATCACATGGATTTTGCTCGGCTCGCGAGGTAGATGGATGGTAAGAGGATACAGCGCTATACATGTATTATTAGCATGATCATGTCAATTTTACCTTGGGCGATAAGGAAGTTTTTAGCCATACCATCCGCTGCTTCCTCTGCATCCTCTTCAGCCGTCTGATCATTGGTGTCAACATTAGCCTTTTCAGTTTGACTTTGACCGTTTAGGGTTTCGGCTTCCTGGGCGGAAGGTTGAGCTGCACGAGACTTAAGATTAACTTGTATTCCGAGCGCATAGATGTTAAAGCGTATAAATATAGACCTAGGTATAGACCTAGGCAGGTATATAGGTATATATATATAATAAAGGGCTTTCACCTACCGGCGACCTCTGGCTTCTCAGACATTGTGGGCCAACTGGGACAGAATTATAAGAGGGGTTTGGAGGGGTCGTTGAAAGATTTTGTGGTGCAAATCTATAATATCCTCTCTTTACTTGTACAAGAATAGCAAACGAGATCCCACGCACAGCTTGGAAAATCTGGCGTGGAAACTGTAAAAGTTATTAATGAACAAGATTTGAGAAATATTATACAGATTCAATAAAGGAACGGCAAACTCAATTGAAAATATACGAGGGAGAGGGGCCGTGAATGTGAACTATGTTGTTGAAGAAGAGGGTAAAAATAATCTCTGGAGCATTATTGCAGCTAAGCAAAGCAACTTTTTTTTTTTTTTTTTTTTCTAGATTTCAATTTTTTTTTCTTGGACGGTTTCAAAAAACCCCGGCTGTTCCCGGCAAGTCGGAGCTGCGGCGATACACAGTGGTTTAGGTCACTTGGGACTGTCCCGTCCGCCCTAATCATGATGCCTCTAGCACGTAACACTACATAAAAGGGGTGCTACGGGTAACTACCTCCGATTTGATTGGCTCAGATTTGCATCTCAGGGGACTAAAAAGCCCGCACGTTGGAACTGCATACTTCTATGTGAATGTAGTAGTTATGTGCCTGTTTTTTTTTTCTGTACGGTTTACCCATTTTACTATTCTTATTTTATTACCTATTCTTCACATTATTTTTGTATGTATAACTTGCCTTTGTCTCACCTATCTTCAAGTAAACATTTTCTATTTTATCCATCTTAGATATGGATTGAGTGAGTTACTGAATAATAGAGGAATATTCCGGTTTTCTCAAAATCACTTGTATAAGAATTATGGTGTTTAATTCTATTTCCAGAGATACGCCGTGTGCCGTACGCCATGCGCCAAAATGCGTTGTGGGAAAAATAAAGTGGATATGTTTCCTAATTAGGAAATCAAGTAAACAAATCAAATGTTTGGTTACTGTTTGGTTAGAACAACTGCACGTCTTTCATCCTTATTGGACAATACACATTGGCATTCTTCATTTCTAGTCTTTCTACGCGATAGCCATAGTCACTTTTAATAGTCTTATCTTTGAAGCAAGGACCTTTTTTTTGGAACCGTATTTCTATGAATTAAGTATCACGATAGTATCGTCCCCTTAGCCCAGCCTAGGCTTTTTGTGTTTTGACGACGACAACCTCCCCGGAGCTTGGAATTGCTGCTAGCTTCTTATCGCTACCGATGAATCTGAACTAACTAGCATCATTCAACAAAGCATCCATAACATAATTCAGCATCCATACTTATACTTGCTTAGTAATATTTCTATAGTTTTCCTCCTCCATGTCACTCAACGAGTTCAAGGTCCCGGATAAACCAAGACCCAGGTCAGACAAATCGGGAGAGACATCATCACAGCCCTGGACCGCGGCGCGTTGCCAACGCTTGCTCCGGCCGTTGCTCTCGCGGATCGCTTCCCTGAGGAAAGACGCTGCAACATCGCAACTAAGCGCTAGGGACGATGAGCTTGAGCAGAAAGGAAGGGTTGCTGCGGCTGAGCAGCAGCCAAATGCTAATTGCGAGTGGTTAAGACCGCGCAAGAGGGTCCGCCTTACATACTCTCAGAGGCGACCTACCAATCAGGATGGGCAATCTATGCTCAGCAAGGACCCAAAGGGAACGAGTACGACCAAAAACATTCAACGGGGCGAGGGGAGAACTATAATTCCCGGCGAGATAGTACCGGCTACTCCCGTATTGAGACGGGCACGGGGCTATGTTGTTCCATCTCCTTCTGCAGCGTCCGGGCAATCCAAGCGGGAGCAGGCTGAACAGCCCGCAGTAGGTTGCAGACGGGATCAGTATAAGGACCTTGAGAAACGTCTCGCAAGCTTACGGGCCCAGTCAACTTCGAACAAGCACAATGACCTAGAGTCGATTTATAAAAGCCTGAAAGCGCTTTTAAAAGCAACGCGACATACGACTAGCCGGGGACGAGGGCCGCGCTCATTCCTCGATATGTGCTTACGAAAAGTGCCCTCGTATATTGAGGAGCTCGAGGCCTGGGAAAGGAAAGAAGCCGAGCAGAGCGGGAGTATATCTACACTGGACGACGTCGACACTTCTGCGGAGATATATAATTACCTGGAATCGATTGGAACAAACCAGATCCGTGGATGGAAACACCTCAGGATAGTGGTTCGAGCAGATGGGATTAATGCGGTGAAGCAAGGCGTTTTGGAGGGGCTATTCGGTGATGACTTCTCGCAACTACTCATTGATCTATGTATCCGAATTGGTGCGTTGTCAGAGGCCGAAGAGCTCGTCGCGGCGTTATCCGATCGCCAGTACCCCTCGCCGACTGCGGCAGGTAGTTCCTTTGCTGAACTTGGATGCTTCCGGCCCCTCTTGATACTCTGGAATTTTTCTAATAAGCATGGTCATACTTCATTTCTGCTCCGGCACTACTCGCTGTTGCTATCTAACGGCAGTCTCCCCAAAGATTGGCTTGCGACGCAGGAGTTTGAGCGTGTGTGGGCATTAGCTGCTCGGCACTTGTCCGTGGTGGAGGCAGCTGACGACGCCGTGGCATTCATGAACTATTCCGTTTCGTTGCTGTGTCGTCGAAGACGAACCCTTGCAGGCGGAAACGACGCAACTCGTTCTGAAAAAGAAATTCACGTGGCCAATAAACAGACACTGATTAGTGCTTTAACAATGCTAGCCGCGATGAGCTCTTTAGGCGAAATAGAACTCCATACCGCAAATGTTTCAGAAGCTGAGATTGCAAAGATAGGCTTCATTGGTAATAGGCTTCGACATATCCTCAGGTCATGTATAGCCGACTTAGAGCTGTCAAAGTCCACACGGTCTGGTCTAGGGAATGACTTGCTGCATCTCGCCTACTACATTTCGTCGAGCGATGCCCGAGCCGACAACGACATCAGTTCTCGCCTCAAATTCAGTATTGAACAAGCATGGCGACAACACGCGGGTGATAATTCCGCAAGAAGCAACCGCATGAGACATCACCTTACCGATATATCTTCATTTATGTCGTCAGTAGCTCGTAGCTGTGGTAGAGGACTGAATTTGGCGTCTCATAATTGTTTAGACATGCTATTTGGACAGCTCACGGACCTCGGGCTCGACCAGGAAATCTTGGATAGCATGAAGGGGATAGCTGCTTTTTCGCTTGCGCAGCAGACCAATAACATAAAAGATTTTATCTACGCAGAAAAACTAGCCTGCAATCAGCATTCGGGCGCAGGGGACGGCGCTCGTACGCGACCTCTCTTTTCGGGTTACCGGTGGGAGGAAACTATAGGCGAGTGGGTTACAGTCAGCCCTAGACGTCTACCCCCGGCCAGAACAAGGCAGCTTCGATCGTCGTCCAGGTCAGATAGAGGTCGCGTAATAGATGGTGGCGAGCAGAGAGCCACTCAGCCCGGGGTGTCCATATATGGTGAAGCAGAGAGTGTCCCAGGTCTGGAAATAGAGGGGACAGTGCCTAAGACCCCCGGCGCCGAACACGTCAACACCAGAAAACGTGCGCACTCTTGTTCCCAGGGTGACAAGCCACAAGCGGCTACGGGACCACGCCGAAGCAAAAGCTTCGTCGTTCTACAGGCTGCCAAGCCGGCCCATTCGTCACTGGATGACGAGCTCGGCTCCGACAAAGAAAACAGTAACTGTGTTATTCGTAAGAAACCAAGAAGGAGCATTGACAAAAAGACCTTGCTTGGCAGCAAATTGCGATCCAGCCTGGGGGGTTTAGATAGCATTGGTATTCCCGGGGGCGATTGTAGTGATGACGAACTTTGCATGTGAGAGTCGCTAGCTGCAGGGCTAGGTATGAAATGTATTTTATAGAGCACGAGATGACATCGTTTTCCCAGCATAAGGCCACTTGGTCGGTTTTTATTTTCTTTTGAAAATCTCTCTTCGGACACCATGGGATTCGGGATTGAGGAGAATAAAGGATTTTGACAGCTGAGCGCAGGTTATGGCATTTTCAACGTGAGCTGCGCCGCTGGATGGCGTTCGGATAGACAGGATAGAAATACTAATGATATCGATATGCACATAATTTATAAATAAATTCTTTTCGATATAGTATGTAGATGTTTCGATAGGCACAGACTGTCGGCGCCGAGCGGCAATGCTGTTCAGATCAGATATTGACGCCACGCACTGCTGGGGGGAATAAACCCATGCGATAATCCTTTAGAGATTTAGTGATGAGCTTAACTTAGTAGTAATACGCTAATACAGCGTGTGATGGATGCAACGTTGAAACTTGAAACGGCTGAATTGGGCAACTCGTATCAACTTGACAACCTGGACAACCGTAGGTACCTGGATTCTGCTATATCTTCATGCAGAAGATTCCATTTCCATATATCATACATCTTCCCAGCAGAAGGTTTCGTATACCTAGCAAGTGCGGACATCGCGTGGGTACCGGTAGGTATTTAAAGCTCAGCCTGCGATTTCTAGGTATGATCTTCATGATGCCATTGACTGTATATAGTAATAACTATGATCCTATAGATATAAATGGTATCTGGTATTGCCGACGAGCATATAGGATGATGAATGAGTAAACGTTCCTTCGGCACGATATTTCCTAGATGAATATGTTAGTTGAAGACTTTTAGGAGATAAGCATGTATTTGACATGGTAAAGTATGATTATCGCATAAACATTCCGAGGCTCATTATGTATCCGATTGTGTCAAGTTTGAAGTAGTTGTGGGCCTGGAAATGTGACTCGGTAGTATTATTCGAATCGAGACACAACCTCCTATCATCACGGTCGGAGCCAGAGCCTTTTGGTGTGAACTAGGTTGTAAGCAGCTTAATAGAGCATTGCTTTGGTTCATATTCTATAGGTACCTAAGGTATCACCTTTTCCCCACTAAACCGAGATGACGCAAGCACCTTATTGCTAAAGAAACGAGATGAGACTGAAGACCACTGGTTGCTATTTTACCACCGTTTTATATTTCGTATGGAGGTATTTATGCAGTGAAATTACCTAGGTAGGTACCCGGTAGTCGTTGTCAAAGGAAGAGTTTTGTTTTATATGTACGTAATCTAGATAATATACGCCATACGCCACAGTCAACCGTTTGAATTGCATATTAGCCGAGTTGAAATTGTTAAAAATCGGGAATGTTTTTTTTTTTTTTTTTTTTGGCTGTGCTACCACTGGTATGTAGCCGCCTTGGCCGTTTTTGTGTTCCAACTAAGGGCAAGCACCAGGCCGTCATGAATCGTTATTGGGTGGTATGATCAGTCAGACCCCTGTCTTTCCAAATGTGCGCTGGCTCTGTTTCAGAATTGCTCTGTCGATCATGATGCCCCCCCACGGTAAGGCGGAATCAAGATTAGATAATAAACGGGTAAAACTGCAAAATTTGCAATAAAGGCCATCTGTGCTTCATAACTTGAAGCATCAACAAGAACCAGTGACTGGATACATATGTACTTAATAGTCAGTTTCATTAATATATAATACAGATCAGATATAAGAGGACCAAACGGCTGGATCGCGGGATGAAGTAGAGCAGGGATTCGGTTTTTATCAGGGCTTACCGGGGCTTGGTAATCCCTGCTCGATCGACTTGAACCTTCGGCCAATCCTGCTGTGTTTTTCTTCTGTGTACCTTACATTGGTGGCACTTTATCGGCTCATCCCCACATTTACCAAGGAAAGACTTGCTGATATTAGATAATCTAGACCCACTGACCTAGTCGAAGTACTTTATGCGGACAAGTGTGCTGTTAGGTACTCAGAATCTTGTGGGAAAAAAATTTGAATGTTTCAACAAGGTGTGCATTGCTGCACCATTATTTAACAAACAGATAAGGGTTGAGTCTAGTGGAGATTGGACCAAAGGAAAAAAAAAAGAGAATGCCATGATGTTTAAACAAACAATTGTTTAAAATAAGATGAACTTTATTTTGACTTTCCATTCAATCGGCGAATTAGGCATCTGAAGTTATAAGGTGTGATACCTAAGCTGAACAAATTGTTCATCGGTGAAAGAATTTAGAATTTAGCATGGCCAAGATGCCAAGGTGGAAGGTACCTGCATGAGAGTACCTTCTATGTACATATTTGTGTATGTGTACCTAAATACTGATTGGAGGGAGAAGTCCAACCTGATCTTTTGCTCTTTCCCCATAGCCCCAGTCTTGATTTCCACAGTGGATTTTCCAAGGGACAGACACGATGATTGGCACATGGTAGAAGGGCGACCGGCATTAGGTAGTCCATTACATGTCGACGTAATCGACGCATGTAACGCCACAAAGCGGGTACTCCGTTAATACATAGGTCAATACATAGTACGTATCTGAATACACAAACCCTGTCCGGTTCCAGTTCTTACCTTCAATCTTAACTCGCCTCCTTATTTCTTCCTCATTCATATATTTCATGCAAATGGGCACTAGGTATTCTCTGGGTCTCCCTCCACCTTGTAGCCTCAATCCTTCTGGTCCTTTCTTCCCAGACCTGGACTGTATCCAAAGTTTCCGTTCTTCAACCGAGTTTGGGCCAGTGTAACGTCGTCCTACCTTCGTTCGTTCGTTCGTTCGTTTATACCACGATAGAAGCCCTTACCCTTGCCAGCCTTTGGCAGGCATTCTTCTGGGTCACATCCTTTGAGGTTCTCTGTCGATTGATTTCCGCGTCTGGGGCCGAGTCCCAACATAAACACACCCATTTAAGTATCCGTCTTCCCGCCCGACCCCTTGGCAAACGGGATAGATTAGGTCTAGTAATCAATCTTGATTATAGCTTTGAAGACGACTTCAACCGCCTTCAACGAAACACCCTAGACAGCAGGCTGTTACTACCTTTCGTTCATTCCTCCTTAGGCTATTCAAGTTGACCTTGTTTGACCGTTTACCATTCATACCATTTACGTTACCCCAACTTGGTCTCATAACCAACCTCTTGAGACTATATTCAACATTCCTTGAACTTACCGATGACAACTTCTTGAACTGAGGTTTTTCACTTCGATCCAATTTCTAAACTTCGATTAGTTTAGCTGGTATAAAAACACCTATAACGACAACAGCAAGAACAATAAAAACAATCACGCCATTCTCATCATGGCTGGAGGAGAAGGAAATGCAGAAGCTGGAGAAGGGCAGGCGGCGGGATGGACGCCAGCGATGGAGAATGAATCTCTGTCAAACTACTTACTAATTGTTTGCGCCGCTCTCTCCTTGGGTCTTATAATATGGCGCATCGCAACAGCACTGCAAAAGTATATCCGGACCGTTGCCAGTTTCACGAATGACACGCAGCGATACTTTGCACGCCCGTCGACAAAAGTTGCGTGGATCAAGAAGAATCTCCTATACGCCCCGATGTTCCGAAAGCGACACAACCGTGAGTTTCAGCTGAGCAGCGCCATCAATGTTGGTACTCTTCCCACTCGGTTTCAATTCATCTTCCTGTTGGGATACTTCGCGACCAACGTCGCTTTCTGTGTCATCCACATTCCCTTCGCCGAAAGCTATACGGATGCCTGCAAGCAGCTGAGAAACCGAAGTGGAACCTTGGCTACTGCCAACATGATTCCTCTATTTCTCATGGCTGGCAGGAACAACCCTCTAATCCCTCTACTCGGCATGTCGTTTGACACTTTCAACTTGATGCATCGTTGGTTTGGCCGTATCGTAGCGTTGGAAGCTGTGTGCCACACCTTCGCTTTCTGGGCTGCATCAGCGGCAGGTGGTAGCTGGGCAAAGGCACTGAATACCACCGTTACAGTACCGTTCCTATTATACGGTTTCCTTGTAAGTTCTACGCCTTCTCATTCTAAGCCAATGCTTTCCTCTAACATTGCCTAGGCCGTTATTGCCTTTGTGGCGATATTCATCCAAGCCTCCAGCATCGCTAGACACGCGTACTACGAATGTTTCAAGATTTTGCACATCGGTCTCGCCGCGCTTGCGGTTGCCGGTCTTTGGTATCACCTTAACTTGAAGCATCTCTCGGCGATCAAATGGTTGATTCCAGTCATTCCTCTCTGGGCTGGTGACAGGTTCATCCGTTTTATGCGTCTCGTCTACCATAACTTCGGCCGGGGAGGTACAAAGACACTCGTAGAGGCACTTCCTGGCAATGCCGTTCGTCTAACTGTGACGATGGCCCGACCTTGGACATTCAAGCCTGGTCAACACGCATATCTGTACATGCCAAGTATCAGCTTCTGGCAATCCCATCCATTCTCCTTAGCATGGAGCGAGGAGGCTGAAGAGTTGAGCTCGGATAAGTTGGCTATGAACCGACAAGACGTGCTCGCTATGCACAAGACCACAATGTCTTTCATTATCCGAGGACGTTCGGGAATGACAAATACGTTATACCAAAGGGCTGCAGCACAGCCTGAGGGCCGCCTTATGACAACGTGCTTAGTCGAAGGTCCATATGGTGGCGAGCACATGATGCACTCTTATGGTACAGTGATGCTCTTTGCCGGTGGCGTAGGTATTACTCACGCTGTCCCTCATGTCCGCGACTTAGTCGCAGGTTTCGCAAATGGCACGGTAGCGACGCGAAAAGTTGTGTTGGTATGGATCATTCAGAGCCCCGAACATCTCGAATGGATCCGGCCGTGGATGACGGAGATTCTAGCTATGGATAGACGGCGCGAGGTGCTTCGCATCATGCTATTCGTCAGTAGGCCACGCTCGACGAAGGAAATTCACAGCCCTTCGTCAACAGTGCAGATGTTCCCTGGCAGGCCTAATATCGAGACTCTGATCGGAATGGAGGCAGAGCAACAAGTGGGGACAATGGGCGTGACGGTCTGCGGTCCTGGTGCCCTCAGTGATGAAGTCAGACAAGCGATTCGACGCAAGCAATATAACTCGTCGATCGACTTCATCGAGGAAGCCTTCTCGTGGTAGACTCCGTTGGAGTCTTATCACTACCATTCGGGTTGGGTAAGATTTAAGTAGACCGAGTGGAGAGGGCACCCAGACTTATTCTTGTACTTGTACGATTGCTCTGTTCGGTTGCGCATATTCGCTGCTTTTTGTTTTCTTCCCTAGGGCCGCCCTCACAGATTCTTGTAAATACTTTCTTTGATAGATACGTCGGCCTGAGGCCAACTGGTGGCTATGAGCCAGGTAGATGAAGAATATATGATTTGTGGAACCGAGGCTCATTGTAATGTGTGGTCTGTAACAGTAGTGACTACGATTATATATGTATGACAACTGAACAGGGTCATACATCGGCAGGAGAAACCATTTCCAGCATATGCCTAATATACAAATCAGGATAAATATGAGAGTCAAAAATAAGTGTAAATTGCTTGTTATTAATGTTATGAATTCAGTTGAGGATGTTTCTTGAATCGAGACAATAAAAAAAAAGGAGAGAGAAAGAACAGGTGAACATTATAGATCAAGGGTGCAGAATAATGAGGTATTGTACTGTGTACCCCATACCAACTAAGGATGATGCTTAGGTTAGGTACCTATCTTCTAACATACACTGGAGATGGGGTAGGAGGTACCTAACACGAAATTCATGCTTAGCTTGGGTACCACACCCAGCGGGGTAAGAGGGATTGTACAATACAGTAAGGTTTACCTTTCTGAGATAAGCAATAACCCCACCCCCAGCTGTGCTGTTGGTGTGTACTATGTAATGTAGCTTTCGGCAATGGAACCCCCACCAAGGACCCTATCACACCTGCAATCGCGTGAAACCTTCCCGTCTAAATTTAACATAAAACCACTTTGGTCTTCTTTTGGGTTTTAATTCTTCCACTTTACATCGGTTACCTACCACAACATCCTTTACGAGCAAATAAGAAGGAAACGAACCAATAAAATCTCGGGCTTTTACGGCTTCATACTGTCTCTCCCTCACTCGGACACAGACGGACACAGACGGCCGCTCGTATTCCCACCACCATATTCTACGTCTACGTCTACATCGTGCCCATCGTCGACCTTCAGCCTCGCGATACTTTCTCTCTCTCTCTATTTGATAGATCCCGTCTACGCGAAATATATATAAAAAAACATAACCGGAATACGACTCGTTGTTATCGGATATACCTACCTAATCTAGTAGAAAGCTATTAGGTACGACACCTAAAATAGATACCTGAACGACACGGAAACGCCGCGGTCGGGCCCGGAATACATATATATCAGCCGCGATGGGTCTTGCGTACAACACGTATCTTGATAGCAACAGGATATATGGCTGCAAGAACTGCAAAGCCCATCTTGCTAACCACGAGGAGATCATAAGTCGGGTATGTTACTCTTCTTCTTTTCGCCTTTATCTTTCTCGTTTCTCCTTCTACCCGACTCGAGTCCTATCCTGTCCTGTCCTGTCCTGTCCTGTCACAATGAAACCTACCTGATATTCCCCCGAACAACCCGATATCCTCCTCCTCCTCTTCAGCTCCCTCCTCGCCGAGTTGAGTAACCGGCCCATATATATACATACATACATACATTATATATATACCTACGCATACGAAGCAGCAGCACATTTTCCTCGAAACACTTACTAACCCGGGGGCCATGTTGTCGGCCGCCTCTTGAGTGCAGAACTTCCGCGGGCAGCACGGCAAGGCATACCTGTTCAATACCGTGGTCAACGTCGACGCCGGGGAACCCTCGGAGCGCAGCATGACGACGGGCCGCCACATCGTGCGCGACATCTCGTGCCGCCAGTGCAAGGAGACTGTCGGCTGGAAATACGACCGCGCATACGAGTCCAGCGAGAAGTACAAGGAGGGCAAGTTCATCCTCGAGGCCGAGCTCCTGTGCAATGTCAGCTAGACGAAATTAGGCGACCCCCCTCCCCTCTCTTGCCTACCCGGTCGATACGGTCCGAATAACACTTCGACTACCCGAGGTAGCGAGTTGGTGGAAAGGAGGGATGGGGAGTAAGTAGTACGTGGGTGGTGAGTGAGTGGTATAGACGAGCAGAAGACGCCCGGTGAAAGCAGCTCATGCGGAATAGAAAGATATGGCATGGAAGGGGTTCTTTTATTTTTATTTTATACGAGACGGAACGCAACGCAACAAGACACGACATGACACGACACGACACAGGTTTTTTTTATAGCATAGAGTATGCATTAGCTGGGCGTTTTTTATGGATTGATTCATATTATTTTTCTCTTTTGGTTATCGTGGGTGGAGTCTGGTCTACTTGGTGCTTGGTGCTTCCGGACAGGTAATTAGTTGGAGGCGCCTCTCACGAACTCAGAATGCGCAGACACGTGTGAGAGTTGTCTCCATCTCTCTGTCTCCTGGGTCCGGATGTTCCCCCCCTCCTAGACTACGTTACGAAGCTTCCTTGATGAGGTGTTATACAGCGTTGATAGAATAAATCGTTACTTGTTCTCACGCCTTAGAATGACGAGGTCTTGTCCCTATGGAAGAGAATTGAGGCATATCAAATGTTTATGTGATGAATGTAGTATTATAAAACACTCCCAGAGGGCCTAACGATGCCACCTAAATCCTAATTTATAAGAAAAACTGTATCAAACATACTGGATCCCGCTGAACTAAACCGAAGTAACCCCCCAAACCAAAGTACGCATTATAAATAGAAAGATAGCCCGCGAATACAGGTACCAATATCAATGAAAACGCCATCCCAATGCAAGAAACAATATGAGATATGTATAACACCTCCCCAAACCCCAAGCAGTCACTGTTCAGAATCCGCTAGAGTGCCTAATCAGGCCCAGCCCCATTCGCGTTCCGAGACGGTGTATACCTGTCTAGGTAACCATAGCATTCTGTCTTCCCTTCTTTCTTAGGCAATCTTTAGCTCTACTTTGTTTTATTTTAGTTGTGCTCGATGGGTTCTTCGGGGAGCAGCTCCTCCACCTCCTCGTCCGGCTCGAGGAACTTGAAGGGCGGGCGCACGACGCCGTTGAACAGGAAAGTGAAATAGACCAGGAGGACGAATCCCGCGACTTGCAACCACTTGAACGCTTCCCACCCGAGGCTGAGAGAGACCATCCAGATAAAGAGGGTTCGGCAGCTATCGATAGTAGACCGTGCGGTGGCACTCACGCTGCGAGTGACGGAGAGACCGAAGAAATTATAACCACTAGCAACGCGGTTAGCACTCTTGTAATTGATGAAAATAAAAATAATGAAGAGCTCGACTTACCCAATAGAGATCATAGTTAGTATACTAGACACCCACACGGCTCTATACTCGGTCATCTGTCGGAAACCTTCGACCATATCGAACATTCCGTAACGGCCGGCGTCGGATCTTCCAATGGTAAGGTGCAGCACCAGCATGGAGATCAGAGTAAAAGCAAGGCCAAACAGACCCTCCCAACCGACGACCTCGATGGGATCGATCTTAGAGCGCTCCAGCATCCACTCCTCGAGAACGAATTGCGTGGCGGTAAAGAGCTGGGCGAAGGCGATGAGAAGGACACCCAGCGCGGCGCGGAGGCCCTCGTCGTTGGCGACATCCCGCGCAGCTTGGAGCACGGCGTGGGTCGTTGCCGCTTTGGTGTCGGGCCAAATAACGCCCGCAAGTCCGACAAGCGCAATACCAACCATGACACCGATGAGGGAGACCCATTGGAACAGATGCAGCTTGCGATGCAGGAAAAACACGCTGAACAAGCCCACGAATAGCACCAGGGCGCCACGGGTCATTTGGTAGATCGACGCAGCCACCATGAACAGGCCCGCGTTCACGAGCGTCGTGCCGAGGATATCGCACACGGCGGGCAACGCGAGGAGCAAGATACCGAAGCCCTTCAGAGGCCCATCGACTACGCCGACGTTGTTCTTAACCGGGGGGCTAGGGAGGATAAGCGTTTGTTCGGAGTTAATGCTAGCAGCGTCGTCGTCGTCGACTTCGTTGTCCCCCCTAGGGATCGCCTGGTATCCGTTGGCCGCGGGGGTCCTCCTGCTCGCGTAACGCTGGTAGATGAGCCTTAACCCAACAATAAGCCAGCATCCGACTTCTCCTATGAACATCTGCGCGGTCTGGAGCACGGGCTGCTCGAACGACTGTCGCTTCTTGGGGTCCGGATCGTCGCAGTTCCGAACGCATTGGTTGTCCTGCACACGTGCACAAGTTCCGCGCGGTTAGCAAATCCATAAGTAATCGATGGGTTCGTCGTGGGGCGCGGCTAAAGTTGATTGTTGTTCTTGTTGTTGAAAAACTTACCTGGTACTTGGTGAAAAGCGTGTTGCAGACTCCCGTAAGCAACATCATGCCCACCAGGATCGGGATAAGGGCTTTTGACGCCATGATGGGCTCGTGATTATCGCTTCCGAGGCGTGATCTTGTGCCAGCAAGAGAATAGGGGTGATAATGGTGATGATGGTGATGATGATGATACAATTGAGCAGCAGGCGTGGCCCGTGGGTAAATCGTAGGTAAACCTACACCTACCTATAATGGACTAACGGGAACGATAAGAAAAAAAAAACAATGAGATGCGATCTAGATGTGATTGGAAGCAGCCTTGATGGGCTGCGGCAAATAATGCGAAAGCTCCTCGGAGTTGGCGACAAGGAACGAACGACGTGAGAGCCTTGATGTTGTAAGTGTGAGAAGTAAGGGCCGCTCGCGCGGTTGAACTGATAACGTTTATTGCACTTGTCTTGGGTGTCTTAGGTAATTCCATACCTCCTTAGCCGGGTCGCCGAATGCGCTGATGGGATTAGGTACCTTAGGTACTTTAGGTACATACTTCTCGTGTACCTAGAATACGTACAATTACCATGTACCCAGACAGCCAGAATAGGTACCCTGCATAGGTAATGCAAGAGCTGGAACCAGACACTGCCCCCGCATTGGTCAGCCGATTAGCCTTATCATATCAACTTCAGCTCTGATTGGCTTAGCTATCAGGTTCTGGGTCCATATCACTACGGAATTTCCCTGCTTTGGAGCCGGCAGGTGTTCACGCGAATGGACCCCATGGACCCCATGGACCCCATGGACCCCGTGGACCCCGTGGACACTCAACTCACTTTGCCATCGTTTCTATTCATCCACTCAAATCGTGTTAGCCTCAAATGCTACTACACCTGCTATGTGTGTCTCGGAATAGTGTACACTAATACATATCCTCATACCCTTAGGAGATCACTCTTCCTAAGAGCTTTACATTTCAACTTCAACATATCTTGATACAGAAATATACAGTAGGTACCTCTTAAGACCACAATATCGTGGTCTTGTACGATTGGTTGCAAAAAGCAGAATGCTTGCAAATATAGTTACTTGCGTTGTGCAACGCCAGATGGTTTATTCTTTTCAGAAAGTATGTGCCAATAAAAACACCAAGTCCGCTGTCTATAAAAACCTGCTAGAAACGCCATGACTTGTTCAATTGCAGAATGCTTGTCTTTCATTATCCGTCACGAGACTAGATTGCTCGGCTTTTCCAAATCGTTGCTCTTGCTTCTTCTTCTTCGCCTTCTCTTTCCCCTCCTCGGGATTCTTGTCGCCAAGGTTGTTGTAGTGAGGAATGCCCAGCTCCTTATCGCGAGCTAGGCGCTCCATGTCCCTCTTAGTTAGAGGAACCCCTTCAATCGCCTTAACGTGCTTTCCTTCAACTCCCATCATAATGCCTGCAACAGCGGAGACTATGCATGCAAGGCAGACGAATAAACCAGTCGACCAACTAGGTCGGTCGTAACGATTCAGGCCCCACATGAATCCCGACAGAACGCATTGCAGAAATGTATTGGCAACGTTGAAGTAGATGATGAAATCCAATTTCCACATCTTGGTCGGGGGCGCCCGAATGCCTGTCGGCGGTGCGTCTGATATAGTCTCTGGGGGATGCGGAATGCTATCAGCGTTGCAATTGGCAAAGGATTCCTCAATATTCTTGGGTCCAAGAGCTGCGGGGAGTTGTTCAGAGCCAGGAAGGCGGAACCAACCGCGATGGACGCCCGCTAACCTTCGTAGAGCCTGGCGATCGCCCAGAAGGCGATATCGCAACAGGAAGTACAGATCACGAAAGCGCCATGGTGCCAAACCAAAACCTGTCACGCAGAATAACGCGTTCAGGATCTGCGAGTCCGTCTCGATCCATATGCGGCGCGGTGAGTCGATATGATCGCAGTCAAATTCGCCATTCACCCAACACATCTCCGGTGCGGCGTTGCATAGTAGGAGGAACAGCATGCCGCCCCAAGCTACGACGTTAAGGGAGTAGATTGTAAGGAAGAAACCGAATCCAGTGTTGTAGAACTCCCAAAATGAAACCAAGCCCATTCGTATCTGTTCCTTGATGGGGTATTTCGGCGGGAAGTGGTATCCATTGGCGTACTCTTGCGCCTGGACGCTCACACCGGCGACGCTTGATGCAATTGTACTGCCCACCGCCCCTTGCCCCTGGGCCGACATGATTGGCGCGCGTTGACTTAGGGATTCATTTGTTGGGTTCGTCGTTGTCGAAATTATCGTGAACTGATCGCCAGCGTCTTCTTGTCCATCTTTAGATATTCTGGATGAATCTGGTCGCATCTTCAGGAGATGCCTCTGGTTGTTCCAGAAACCGACGATTTACACGGCTTGGGTTTTCGAACGCGAGCTACCTAATGGAGGACGGTGTTGTTAAGGTCGGTTCGGTAATGTAAGGTGTAAGGCTGTAATTAGGTAGACATAAATCGGCCGTTTTCGAAATGCAAGTACAATTAGGTACGACTGCGCGAAGGAGTCCAAATGAAGGACCGAAAAATGACTTGCACGGTCTTATTGATTCGTTTTGTTTTTTTTTTGTGGTATCGGGCTCGGCGTAATTATATTAAAGCAAAAGGTTCGAGAGATCGAAGAACGATTAGAATAAAATATGTTTGGAAGCAAAGAAATCGTCAAAGGTAACACAGCAGGGTTCCGTGTTAGGTACACTTTAAGGAGTACGAAGTACGAATAAATGTACGAATAATAGGTAATTTTGGCGGGCAGGCTAGGCAGGGGCAAGTACGGCGCTAGTATGACTTAGGTTTTAGCAGTTTCCTTGGCGCTAACAATGGAAGATGTTGAATGGGCTCCTTGTCCCCCTCTATCTATCTAAAGTGCTGGCAGCTAAACAGGTAGACGCATTACCTAACACCATCTAATCAAAGATGGGAGAATGCGTACCATTTGATCCTGCAAAAATAGGCGAATGATTTTTATAGCCATACATAGTGTTATATACGTGCACAGATAATTCAGTCTCAGTAAATATTAAGAGGGGACCTGAGTTGCATGCTATTAGACGTATGTAGTACCTAGACGTATACCAGGTACCTAATGTACGAAGTACAAGATCATGCATTTTCAATGACACATGTCACGGCCCCGGGGGTGTTTAAAAGGTCTAGATTTCGTCTAGATTTCTCCACCTCCGCCCCCAAACCGAAGATTTCTTAGATCTGCGCCTCAAAAGCCGCATAACCATGTGCCTGGGCAGGCTGGGTTCCCCTTCCACAACTGCCACCTTAGCATAACCCGACTACGTACGCAAGAGCGAAATTCGGATATGACCCTCGTCGAGACATTGAGACGTAACCACAACATTATATTGCCGGCATTTATTCAAGACCATATCCATCAGCGCGTTGAGACTTTTCTTGGAGGACAAATAAATAGGAGCGAAATTATGCGTGATCCCATGTGATGTCATCCAATTGCCGTTCAGATATCATTTAGGGGTCGGAGAATGCCGTTGATATACCGCCACAGACTGACGCAGAATACGCGTATTCAAGATTTTTTGGACGCTTCAGTTGCGTTTTACAGTAATTTGGCAGATGTTAAGATGCAGCGTAAGATTTGATGTTATTATTAAACCGTACATAGGTCTTAAAAGCTTAAAAAATAAGTTACTTCCTCAACCTTGCCAATACTGGTATGTCTAGGTAGATACAATACCTAAACCGAACGATCAGGTACCTAAGGTAATTAGGTACATTATACAGGTACCTACTATGTAGGTTAAAACATTAGGTAATAATGATGTGCAATGCAATTGCCGCTTTACACCGCCTTTATACTCTCAGCTCCTCCCTACAGTTTGCTAAGAAGGGTCCTCGATTTTTTATGAGGTTTTCTATGCGATTAACTGCTTACATAAATTTTCGACTACAACAATACATCCTTTCCTTTTTTTTTACCATGGCAGAGAAATCTTATGTTGAACACCTCGCGGAATCGGTGTTTGACAATCTTCGATATCAGCACGATTGGACTGAGTTGCAAATTTTAACTCATTCCCCAGTGGATAACTCACCTCTGCCTCGGCCTCTGATCTCTGGATTGCCTCCTCGTCGGCTCTATTTACATCCCGATGATCAGATTGAAATACTCAAAACTCATCCGAACCCCGAAGACCGTATTCCGGAGACTCCTATAATCGAATGGGTCTTACCAGTTCATCTGGCCGAAAAATGGACGCTCAAGGCATTTGCAAGCGTTTTTGATTCCATGCCGCCTGAAACCTCAGCTGGTCCGGCTCGTGCTAAGAGAGTGCTACTTGCTACAGTACATAACGATTCTACCGTTGTTTACTATTTCATGCACGATGGCATTGTCAAACCTCGCCAGAATTAGTCTCAGGAAAACGGTCTCCTTTCGCCGGAGAGTATCATGGCTCTGGTCTGTCTTGCGGTCATGGCTTGAAAATAACCTTCTGCACTTGCATCTTATCGAACAGATCATAGCCGGAGACGGCCATGGAAAGGGGCATGATTTTCTCAAACATAAACCTGCCCGAGATTAATCAATGCCATATCAGATATTGGTCGATAAAGGGATTCATGACAAAGAGTTTACTTACCCGAATTTATGTTGGTTCTTGACCAGGACGCTGAGTGCATCGGTGAAGATTGAGCGGACTGGGCATCGTCCCATCTGTAGCCTTACATTTTTGCTACGTCGCGTTAGTTGAGGGAAAATCCAGGTGTGGGCTAAGATATTACGTACTTATACCCTTCAGTACCACTAAAGGGAATCTAAGCTAGTTGTTAGCTGGGAGTACATGAGCAGATACACCTTGAGGGCCAGCTTACCTCGGAATTGTGGACGCCTATACTGCTTATGAAACCGAAGGGTCTTATAACGTCGAACGCAGTTCTCAAGGCGGGGCTCAGGCCAACTACTTCAACAACTGCATCTGCACCTCGGCCATCTGTGACTTCTTTGATTCGAGCAATCATAGCTGATCTATCCTTCACAAAGTTGAGGGGCTCTGCGCCCAAACTCCTGGCGATTTCGAGACGGCTGTCAACGCTATCGATGGCGAAGAGGTGTTTAGGCTTATATTCCAGCGCTGAGATTATGGCACATAACCCTACCGGTCCGCAGCCGATAACCACCACTGTGGCTTCAGAAGGATCTTGTGAGCCAAGACTATTAAAAGCGTTCCTGGCGCCGAAGAATCCAGTGGGGAATATATCTGCCATGAGCACCAGCGCATTGTCGTCAATCTCAGACGGTGCCTTCACGACTGTACCGTCTGCAAGGGGTACACGCACAAAATCTGCTTGAGCACCATCCAGTTTTTCCGAGCCAAATAGTAAGACATGGTCACACCGAGACGAATACCCGTTTTTGCAGTAGAAACAATTCATGCTACATAGTACATTAGTGAGCTATTACAACTGCATAGGGAATGCAACCGGGCTTACCAGGATACTGTGAAAGGAGATACCACCTTATCTCCAACCTTGACGGATTTAACATCTTTCCCTGCCGCCACAACAGTGCCGGCGAACTCGTGGCCCATGATAAACCCCGTGCCTGAGGGCTCGTGGCCTCTGAACGCATGAAGCTCACTAAGGATATAAATAATTAGTTAATCACTTAAGGGAAGAAACCAGGGTCTACCTATAGTACGCACGATCCACAAAGGGCCGTTGCATCGACTTTGACTATGATGTCTCCATCGTCCTGTACTTTGCGTATTATTCTATGTCAGCGGTGCTACTAGCACTATAGCAAAGGGAGCAGAGGGTTTTGATTCACTTTTGGGGACCGGCCGTTGCTGGAGCGAAACCTTGTACGGGCCATCGAACACGACAGCATTCATCGTGAGCGGCAAATCCATGATAATATACCTGAACCGTTGAGATTCTCGATACCGACGTCAGTCCGACCGTATAGCCTCCGTTTAGGACGGATATTTCTTTTTCAACTTGATACTAATTATGTTGTTTTGATATAGCCGTTGTATTCATCGGTTTACTTCCGACACTCCAATGTCACCAGTTCACTATTTTTTTTTCTTTTCTTCCAGAGAGTGCGGGGATTGCACTATTTCAAGTGGGGTAAATCTTAGTTGAATACCTTCACGAACACTGTTTCTGCTCTAATTCCAAGTTCTAACTTCCAACTCGGTGTTTTGAGTTTGAGTTAAAATCCCAAGCAAAAATTAACCGAAAACATACCGAACTATACCGAAGACAGGTAACTATTATGATCTAGAGATTCTTCGAGGGCTTTTCAGCTTCTGCTTATTTCTACGTGTTGTCTATAAACGATTTCCTAAAGCTGATGTACTTAGTAAATCGACGAGAAGTCAAGACCCAGTGTATTCAAGTAGAGATTGACACCGTCTCGCACTACAGATTACACAATCGTTTTTTAAAGCCCATCCATCCTCTTATAATGCAATAAGCTGTTCATAACCGCGCGGCTTATGTCAACCAATGTAAAAGAAGCTGGGAACACCCGAATAGCAGTCCCGATGAGTACATAGTATCACGATCGTGTGCGCAAAACACTATACCAAGATCTAGTTGCGATGACTTATTATGTACACGTGAGTGCGCAGTCGGTCGCTCTAATCCACGCTTAAGTGGACGAAAGGGCCCCAGGAATATGAACACCTACTATTAGAGATATGACGGCGTTCCTGCGGTGCGATATAACGCTGCCAACAAAGGTCTCCACGTGTAAGTAGACGATGCGTCTGGGATGTTTGAGGCGTGTTATCATCATCATCACCATCCACCACGTCTACGTTATCTCGTCTCAAGTCGTCTATCCAAAACAGTGTGGCGCCTTGCGCTCTGGTTTTACGTGCTACTCAACCAGCTGCTCAATTGCTCATAAACTGCCGGAGTTGTCTCCTCTAAAGGCTTAGGCTAGACAAGACGCCGAGCGCTAGGCTCCGAAGAAAACTCGTATCATATTAGAACTCTACTCTCCTATCACTTATGCACTGTGGGTACGATTTTCGCGGGGCGCCACTATGGTGCAGAATGGTCAAGCCGCTGATTATGGAGTCGGAAAGAGGCATGTAACCTACCTACCTACCTAAGGTACATATATCCCTATCCGCTCGCTGGCGTGGGTATCAGGGTATGTAGTTAACCAGTCCAAGTGGTTGGTTGGCCTGAGAGTTATACAAAAGGTTTGGTCCTACCCTTTCGTGTTAATTTAATTGGGCATATGGGAGACATGTGTCAGTTAGGTGCGGCTCATAGGAGGCTCAGCGAGGTGGCCTGCAATGCAGGTCAACCGAAGCGGCTGAATGATGGTTTCAGGGAATCTGAAGCAAGGCTCTTCCATGCCGCTCCCGACGACAGAGGGCGTACAAGGGAAGCTACAGGTATGATGAATAGTCCTTTTAGATTAGCTATGCGATGTGACGATGGCGGTTTGTTTTTTTTTAGAGACATGACCCGAAGCAACCAATCGCGACGCCCCAGTGTTAACGAGGCGTCATCTCGTACGCTGAGCCGCCTGTCTGGTCGGACACCGCCTCACTGGTTGCGCGTACGACTCTACATTCGCTATACATGTTACCTATGTCTACCTACCTACCTAGGTAGGCATGCAGATGCATCTTTTCGATTTTATAGGCCAACTATCACACGCACTATGGCGTTGTTGGTCTTGGAGTAAGTCATGATGGGAGGAAGGTTTTTAAATGGAGCATTATTTTTTTTTAATGCAAACTGCCAGGAGGCATGCGTAAAAGGGTGGTTTTGGGGTCCGCAGAGCTCTGCACCGGCAACGTTACCCATTGACGGCAATGGATCACCACATGAATCAATCAATCAGCCAGCCGCGGACGGCGTGGGAAAAATAAAATAAAATAGCTCTTTTTTTCTGGGTCGTGCAGGCCATAGGCTTAACATGCAACCAGTAACGACCGTTATGAGGTCCCCAATTACATAACATAGGTAGGTAGGTAGGTTAGAAGTTCGAGCATGGCCGATCTTCGACCTGCCTACTAGCCAGGCTCTAGGCCCGAACTTATTCGCGAAGACGTTGAAGAATTACCTAAAAGCGAGGCCGAGGAGAAAGAAAAGAGACGCATGAATATACACCCTGGTTCGGAGTTGCGCGGCGGGGGGGAAACGATGGAATGTTGGGAAGGTAAATGCTCTAGATATATATAGGTTTGGCACACGAAGTAATTTTTGAGATAATGTAGGAGAAGAAGAGGAGAGGTTGTTAATACTGGTACTCAATAACCGTCATACCAAGCCTTTTTTCTTTTCTTTTTTCTTTTCCACACGGGTGCGTGCTTGGACCGAGTCTAGGACTACTACATACTACTATATACTACTACTACGGTATGTCAGATAGGTACGCTGCGACCTCTTGATAATATTACTACGTACCTCTATGACTATATACGGCAGAGTAGTGTACATGGGATGAGGGCATTTTATCATGCAGGTGAGTTTTACGTCTGGAGCATCTAATTTGCTGGCGACGACATGGAGTATTGTACATAGTATTGTACCCAGGAATCCCATTTTTTTATGTGCCATGTATGTGGGACGGGAACTCCCTCCATCTTCCCTCCTTCAAGTTATGCATGTTTCCCTTTCCCTTCCCCTCCCCTCCCCTCCTCCCCACAGAATCATCTCTATCTCTCACTCATACGGGGGGATCCTCTCGGAGCGGATTACTTACACCCTTCCCATGGACCATAGCCAATCCCTCGGTGTCAAAAGTTCAAAAATGTTCATATGAACCAGGTACTCTAGACTGCGGGCAGGAGCGTGTTTTCGTCATCATCTTGGCTATTACTTATCCCTTCGTCCTTTTATTTTTCTTATCTTTCTTATTTTCTTCGAGCTATTGGATACCTTCAAAGGGTTATTTTACTGCTAATGCAATGTATGTGTGCCCGGAATTGCGGCCCACCCGTCGTCATCTTTCGAGCTGAAAGCGAGAGAGCCTCGGCGGCTAGCATGATGTGTCTTGTCCTGTAAATTGCCGGAATTTTTCTTATTTATTTTCTTATTATTTTTTTCCACCGTTTGCTTCCACTCGCGGTGCGTGAGGACGCAACCTTTTTGGGCAAGTAGTCTAAGATCCAAAAATCTCCATCCATTCTTCTCCAAGAGGCCTCCCATGCTACCACGGAGCGAACACAAAGACCCTGTTAACTTCTCTTTCCGTTACCGGGGATCGCGACCCAAGATTTAATACTTACTTCGGTAGTGTTAAGTGACGCATCTGTTCCGTTCTCTCCTCTACCGACGCTCGACGTTCGATTTTCTTCTTGCTGTCTCGGTGATATTTTGTTTCAAGTAGGCCCTATTTTTTTAAGGGTTTCGGCGGAGCGAATTACACACATACCCATGCGTTGACCTGATCTTAACCCTTTCAGCTAAAAGAGATGATGTGCTAATAAGAACTAATAAGACGACTTCAATATTGTACATACATTATAGGTACCATACTATGTAGTAGGTAGTAAGGTATTGCCTTTTCCGCAGGCACCCATGCATCAGAAAAGCGTGTCAGGTCTTGCGGTCAGCGGCTTGCAGATGCGGCTGTATCATCGTGCGATATGTACCTCTATCAAGGTCCACGTCACATATTGGGCTAGACCCTTACTTCCATGCTGCCATGCGTCCGTTCTGACTGGCTTTTTTCCCCTATAGTGCTACCGAAGAATCGTTCAATCCCACCCTCTCTTGCGTGGGCGGCACGTTGTTAGAGAGGAATGGAATGGGTGCGTTCTTTTACACGACGTACATACTGGGGTCCATTTGCTACCCAGAGGTAATCGTCATACCCAGACTCGGAAGTTGAGAGCATATTCCCCCTCATCCAGTGTGTTCGTTGCGAGTCTCCCCTTACCATGTAATATCTAATATCCTATTAACTACATGTACCTAATGTATGTGATATGTTAGTTGCTTTGCTATGGAGTACTTAATAGGCAAGTTAATGTCATGTTTGTCCTAGTTCCTAGGGTTTTCAGCTCCTCATGGGAATTCTCCCATCCCTTTCCCCTTCCCTAGGACCCTTTCCCCTCTTTATTTATACGAATGCAATGCTATATACAACATGTAACTATCTCAAGTTATATTGCCTATCTTTGGGTTGAATTCAAAACCCACACTATCAATTCCCCATAGATCCATTCGGTCGTGCTGCATTCTTGCGCGTAATATACATTATACATCAATACCTAATGTAGAGTAGAGTAGAGTCCGGTCCAATACCTATATGCGAAGCGACCCCGCCTCATCCTAGATCGATGTCGCCCTGTATCCATCCGTTCGAAGATAGATGCTACTGCGCGCGCTCTCACTTTCTCGCGCGTTAGGTATTGAAGTGGATAGCCAAGAGGCACAGACCGCAAACGGTCCCCCAGATTCGCAAAACCCACCCATAGATAGATACTGGTAGTAGTGTGTCATAAATTCTCGCCGCGGTTGCTTGCGCTGACCGTGAAGTGGCTGAGCAGCGAGATTACGGCAGCGAGAAGCAAGTTCACGGTTGTGAATATGCACGATACAGGATACTTGCTCTCCCACTCTCTTACGCACACATACTTTCCAATACTACTTGCTACATACGTACTATGTAGGTAGCGAGCGCCGCACTTTGTCTGATCGGTGCCTTTATCTCCGCAAAAAAAGCTGGCCTAAATACCACCTGATATTTTACTATGGTCCATACATTAGTTCATAGTTCCGTCTGACACACATACACACTCTATTCTCTATTTGTACTTTCAGCCAGTTGGACGGGCTTCTCGCCGATCAGAAAAAAAAAATCCGTTTGCGCTATCTATTATTCCAATATCGTTCGCCCGATATCCTCGTCGTCTGACTGATACGTACCTATTTTCACATACACTAGGTACAATACATACAAACATCACTCTGCATAGGTATGCTAGGTATATAAGAGAAATATCGCGGGAACAGAGCTTCTGAGCTAAAAGTTGCAGCGTATTAGAAACTCGTATAGGAGGAAGAGACCAGAACCAGGGGGGGTGCAATAGATATCCCATCATTGGATTGCTGCGGTGCAGTGAAGTGAGTGAGTAAGTGGGATTGTGAAATTAGGTACATAATTGTCTGCTCTGCTCTGCTGCTCTGCACTTCTGGGAAAGGACGGTTAGCTGCCGAGGCTGCCGCACCGAAGCAGGATCGAATAAGAAAAAGCCGGGGGTGGTTGATGAGGCTTTGGGACGTTCGCTAAAGCAAGGAAAAAGCCGCTAAGGACCTTAGAAAAGGCGCTAGACGGCGGAAACGGGGATAACCCAGCTCGGGCGGCAGGTACAAGATTTGGAGTACGCGGATACAACTGGTACTCAGGTACTTGTGAAATACGGTGGTGGACGGTGGACCTGCAGTGCGTGCAGTACCTAGGTACCTAAGTACCTTAGGTAGGTAAGTGACTTCTTTTCTTTCTCCCTTGGGACCTGCCGTCAGGTCCAGTGCTTGGATCATCCACTCGCAGCCGCATTCTTCGCCGCACGCCTCTTCCTTCTTGGTCAAGTCCAACCTCTCATCATCGGTGGAGTCATTCGTACAACATCCCCAGACTTATCGCTTAATTGGGCTCTTAAAGCACTACACAATTACTCATTAATACCTATTTTCCATATTACCTTAGGTAAGTACCTAATATATACCTATTATTATGCTGTAGGTATTTTTCTTGTATTAAGGTCGCCATAAACCGTATAGTTATGCTGTATATGTTGTATATATTATACATTGAATTGGGTCAACCGTCAATGCCTTACCACATTGGCGTAGTGTAGTTGTACCTACTTCACATTCCCCCTCCCGCCTTCCCCCCCAAAATATCTACTACATACTATTATCAATGTATCTCCCGCTTCTCTCTCTTTCCCTTTCCCTTTCGTTTTCATTTCGGGTCCAAACTTCTTCACACCTCAGGTATCTTTTTTTTGTTCTCTTGTTCCCAAGGGTTCCCACCATCCATCAAGTCCCCCAGAAGCGACATGACGGAAGAGACATCGTTTCTAACCTGAAATTTCCTGACAGGATCCCTTCTGGATTACCAAGATCCCTGCAACTTCGTCCAAGCAGAAAGCTTATAAACTCCCGGGCTTATTAAATGCGGGTTTTGCCTGTCGAACCTACCTATCATACGGCGCAATCTGGCAATTTGGACTGATCCGATCCCATCGGGTTACCAGCGCCAAATAAATAAAATAAAATAAAAAACAATCCAAGGATAAGAAACAACCAGACAGACAGACAGACAGCCAGACAAAAAAAAACAATCAAAACCAGTCAAACCAGTCTAGACTGTAGCCAAGGCCTAAAGAGAGCTAAGGGCCTTGCCCAGCCTGCGTTTCTGCATTTCTGCGTTTCTACGTTTCATCAACTAAAGGGCCATCAACCCCATCCCACCACCTGCAGCCAAAACATCCCAGACAGAAAGTCAGAGCGAAGAAGAAAAAAAAAAAAAAAAGGCGGCTCCGCAGCATCTCTCCCCCGCCTTACATTATTTGCGCCAAACCTTACCTGACCTGACTTGACCTGCCTTACCACGACGTTACCTACCCAGCACTACCGTACCACTCCAATCTGAAAGTCGAATCTTCGGCGGTCACGAGGATATACTTGTTTGAGTCCTTGGCAGCAACTCGAAATCCACATTGCAAGCTAGTCTCCGTATTCCCTTCCCTTTCCCCCCATCCCCAATAACTGTCTCCATCCACGCCTGCCAGGACAGGATATACTTGCCGTTATACCCATTGTCACCGTGCCGTATCTACTTCTAATTGTCTAACCCAAATCTATCATTAACCGCATCCTTCCCCAAGCGTCTGATTCTAACCGAACCCTCCCCTTCTTTATTTTCTAACTCCCCCCCTTGCCTCTTTTTTTAGACTTTCTTTTCGTTTCCTTTCCTTTGGCTCTCTGCCAATTTGCGCGTTTCTAGCCAGGGAACTTGCTCGGTTTCTGAGCTGGATAGCGCGCGCAACCACCCCGTATTTTTTAGCGATAGGGTCTAATAAGTGCCCACCAATCCGCGTGCGGCTCGTTGCGGCGGACCAGACCAGTGCGTGGTGTTACTCTACTCACGGTTGAGCCCGCTTGCTTGTCCAGTCGACTTGGGTCGACAGGTGTGCGCCTGAATAACATTTCACAATTTCGCAACTTCACTTATATGCGAATGGGAGGGTAACCGCAATCTTGACAAAGTGTTAAATCACATAAGCGCAACCTAATCCGAACCCTTGCAAGAGAATCAACAATCTTTATTTTGGTTTTCTGATAATGACTTGAGTCGCCCAATGCGTGAGTAACGGCCACTCCACAATTAGCGAGTGAAAGCATGACTGCGACCGTCGATTCAGCCTTCGCTCACGACACTTCAGCTAGCGACGTGTACGACCCGGATGACGTTTTACCCCAGAACAGTCCCTTGATGAAGGCTCACCGCCCCAAACTCGAACCCTCGCCCTCCCCGCCGGCGTTACCTATTCCTAAAGTCAGTCTTTCCTCTACCTCGGGTCGGATATCTTCTAATCGACGGCAAAAGGTTCGTCCGAGCCTCGGCGATGCAGTGTTAATCCATTATCTCGACGGTGGAAAAAGACCGGAACTCGTCGCCGAGGCATGGTCGCGACCCCTCCCTCGTTACGACGACGACGACGACGACGGACAAAGTAAGGGGGATACGGAAGAAACGCTCGATGTATCCGGGGATGAGGGGGATACTAGAAGTCACGAGATGTCCCCAGGTCCTACACATCGCCACGCTTTTCGTGCTGCCGAGTCGTCAGTATCAAAGTCTATAGAACTGCAATTTCTCGCGACAAACGCGCTTGCCGCTGCTAAAGCGGCATCGAAACCGGTAGATACGGATGGTTCGCAAGTAGCTGATGACGATTCTAGAGTTGCGCAAAGAGCGACGCCGGCTTCAGGCTTCAGGTTAGATGGCGCTCGAGATGATATTACGATGAAAGATGTAAACAGACCCGTTCTCCAGGCGCCTATCTCTCCTTACGGATCGCAGGGCCCGCAAGAACTGTATTCTCCTCGTAGTTACCCCGGCCAGGTCCTGATGCATCCAAACAATGTTCGGTCACCTCCTGGTTTAAATACTCCCACGGACCGCGGGGAATTACCTCCAATACAAGAAGTGTCTCCAAAATCCGACTCGACCAACCATGATCCGCTGCCCTCGATAAGGTCTCAGCTATTTGATCAGCTCACAGGTCCTACGAAAGAACTGCCTTTACATAATGGACCCCAATATCCTCATTCTCCCCCGGGTGGCCCACCACGTATCGGCGGAATTCCCGGGAATCATGCATCGCCTCCAATATCCCCCAATGATGCGTATCGTTCGAGCATGCCTTCCCCAGCTCATACTCTTCCAGGTATGAGCCCTTACTTCTACCAGACCGGGAATAACGCAAGTCACCACCGATCTGGTCCAGATTATAGCAGTGGTAGTAATGCGGATACACCAGGCGCTAGCGGCGGTGAGGTATCGACACCCGCCACTTCTATCACGGAACGGATGAGCATCGATAATATGACAAATCCAGCTGTCGGCGCATTTGTCTGTACCGTACAAGGTTGTACTGCGCCCCCGTTTCAAACGCAGTATCTGCTCAATTCGCACGCAAACGTACATTCTTCGGCCCGTCCACATTATTGTTCTGTAAAGGGATGCCCGCGAAGCGAGGGCGGGAAAGGCTTTAAGCGTAAAAATGAGATGATCCGTCATGGCCTTGTCCATGATTCGCCTGGGTACGTGTGTCCGTTCTGTCCAGATCGGGAACACAAGTATCCCAGGCCGGATAATCTGCAAAGGTAAGAATTTCTCTAGGACTCACAAAAGAAAATCAAGCGGGTTTTAATCGTAGAATTAGGCACGTACGGGTTCATCATGTCGATAAAGATAAGGATGACCCGGCCCTTCGCGACGTGCTCTCGCAGCGCCCAGACGGACCTAACCGAGGACGGAGGCGTCGCGGCGGCCCATAGAGATATCCGGAGAGCGGGGATAAAGAGGGACAAAAAAAGACGAGGAACGCGAGGAACGAATGCTTCTGACGATACGATATATTGCCATTCTATTTTAGATGTACATATGGTGCAGATGATATCCCGGAGGGCGGCTGGTTCTAAAGCTTTGGACGCTGGTTGTCGCGTCGTCAATACTTGATTGAGGAACAGGGGGCTCTCCTATGGATCATACTTCGACCAAACGGGAGGGAGTTGGCGTTCTAGGCGCAGCCAATTATACCACACGGGGGAGCACTGATTGTTGGGCCTTTTTTCGATTTGCTTTTATTTTTACTTTTCTTTGTTTGAACCCGATTTACTTTATGCGCATCCCATATACCTACCTAACCTACTCATTCGCTTATTTATTCCCCTTCCCCTTTTAACCACCACCGCATGCATTAGTCGAAGGCCCGGGGCGGCTCAGGCGAGGGCTGAATAACCATGATACGGAAACCATCGGCTGAGAAGTGCATCACATCGATCGCATAGCTGTATACCTTGCAGGTAGGAGGTAGCTGAATTAGTTGGACCAACAAGACAACTACTTACCTCACATTGTGTTGTTTACTCGAACATATGTTCAGGCTCGTGTTCGGACATGAAGGAGTTAATTCCTTAAGCAGAAAGTGCTATGCTATGCATGTGTTTACATTGGACATGATAGGTATTATGACAACTTCTATCAGGTCCACTGCTAGCCAATAGACCATAAGGTTAGACGTTATTCTGAACCAGAGACAGCTACCTAGGTGCCTAAATTATAGCCAGCGGGATACGCTCTCCTGGCATGATATCGATATGGCAAGGTAATTTTAGAATATAAATTACGAATTATCTACCTAGGTAGGTAGGTATATCACGATATTGCGACTTCAAGTGATAATTAGTATCGAAACGGATAACAAAGTGATAAATAACTATACCAAATATAACGATTATCTTGTGTCGCTCGCTCTTCATTTTTTGATTAATCTTTCGGGTTTTTAGAAAACGATCCCTAGATACCTTAGGTACCTAGGTATGTAACTGGATAGGAGGTACGTCTATTGCATCACAAGCAATAAGAGGTAGGTTAGGTTAGGTAGGGAGGTATATATATCAGGAGGTACAGGCCTGTTACATACCTCTTATCATAACAAGCTGCTATTCCTCCTCCATGCCCATGTTTCCTCGCACACCACACCACACTACTCCACGCCATCTCGTCTATTTTCTATCAATATAGCGCAAACCGTTCCATAATACTCCTATACCCCCCTCCCGCTGCTTTGTCAACGTTCTCATGTTGCTTCGGGGACATGAATACCTAGGTAGGTGTAACTTGATATAAGTACCTCCTAGGAGGTAGGTAGGTACCTTGGTAGATATAGAGGTAGGTATTCACGGATAGTATAAGGTAGTTTAGGTGCCTCACGTACTCGTGTCAAAAACCCCGTTGTTAATAAACTTCACCAGAACCAGCCAGCCAGCCAGCCAGCCAGCCAGTCATCCATCCACCGCCTCCCACGCCCCAACCTGCACAGGCCCCTCGCTGAGAACCTCTACTCGTAACTCGCCTCCCCCTCCTCCCCCTCCTCCTACTCCTCCTACTCCTCCATCGCCCACCGTCGTCGGCGCGTGATACAAACCCAGCTGCTCAACGACGATCCACAGCCCGCGCCCACGAGGATCGATATCGAAGTCCCCCGTGCGCAAGCCGTTGGCGCCCACCTCCCTGAACTCGTTCGCGCTGCTACCGCGGGTACGAGTAGTATCCGTGGACGCGACGACCAGCCTGTCGGGCCCGGTGCCCACTTCGACGCTCGCGCGCACCGTGGGATGCGAGCGCGGCGTGGTGGCGCCGCCTCCTGCTCCAGTACGGGGGGTAGCGCGATACCCGTCGCGCATCGTGACGACGACGCTTGCGCGCGTGAGTCGGGCCGCCGAGATGGCGACGCGTTTCTTCTTGTGGACCTCGCTGTCGGACGAGGACAAGGACAAGGACGCGGGCCCGCGGAACACGAGGTCCGGGAGTTGCGTGCGCAGGCGGCCTGCGGCGTCGGCTGGGACGGGGGCCACGGCGCAGGGGATATCGGATCCGACGCGCAGCGTGAAGTCGGCGAGGCAGCCCGGGTCGAACGTCGAGCACACGATGGTGTAGGTGCCGGCGTCGACGGAAGGTGCCTCGGCGAGCGCGCAGCCGCGCCGGTAGTCGCCCGACGTGATGGCCAAGTCGCGGTTACCGATGGCCGTCACGCGGCGGCCGCCTGCCCACACCAGGTCCACGTGCACGGGGAGGTCGTCGCGGGCGGTAGAGAGGAGGAGTGAAAGGGGTCCTGGACGGGGGAGAACGAGGCTGAATTGTGGGTTCTCTAAGTAGCTAGACGAAGCAGCGTTGCCGCCGGCCGTGCGGCGCGTCCAAGAGCCTTTCACGTCCATGTAATGGCGCAAGGCGGGCTCGGCTGGAGCGACGACTAAAGGAGCGCGCGAGAAGAATGATAGCGTAAAGGAGTACTGTGGTAGGGGTAATTTCTCAGTAGCGACGACAATGGTATAAGTAACGCCGCGCTTGGCCTCGAAGGGGGCGAGCGTCTGTGGAGAGTCGACGAAATCGCCGCAAAAGACGGGTTGGGTGCTTAGCTGTACGCGTTTGCCGCCGCTGTTGGCGAATATGTATATACTCATAAAGCCGAGCCTACTGGACACTTCGGCGAGAGAAGAGATAGCGGCGTCGTCATTAGAGAGGCGATACTTGCGCATAATATCCAGTTCGTCGTTTTGAAAATGGCGGCTTAGCAGGATCCAGACATTGCCGTCTACGGCGGTAGACATGGAGTACTGTGGGCTATGCGCGAAGGAGCCGATCATGGTAGCCTCGGGGAGTTGCCAGGTGAAATGGTGATCCTGACGCTCAGTGAAAAGACTCGGATTCCAATTCAGATAGAGCGATTCAAAGTTCTGTGCCACATCATCAAAACTGATCCAGAAGGTGCCAGGCTTCAGCTTGACTGGATGGTCATCTGTTGCTTGCTGTGATATATCAACTGACCCTGTCCCTTTCCAACTGAGACCATCGCACCATGGGTTCTTGACTAGCAACCTCCTACTCCCTGATGCCTCGGTCATGTCAAGCACTGCATAGTCGTGCTCGCCCGCTAATCCCAACGTTTCTTCTTCATCTAGAGATAGCCGTCCCGTTCCTAATGTCACTACTACATCGCCAAAGTCGTAAGCCTTTTTGACGCGCTTCCATGTGCGATCCCAATCTACCTCTTCGTTCTGCAAGAACAACTGCTGCGGTATCCATCCGGTCAAGGCGTATAGGTCGGTTCCGGAGTTGCTTCCTGGGAAGTCGTACCCGCCACGAACCTTCAGATAGGCCTTCTCCATAAGGGCAGGCCAGATGAGATTCGGATTTTGGCGGTCTACAACATAGAGAGTGCGGCCCGTTGAGGACGAAGGGAGGCGATCATCAATGACAACTTTCCGGAAGCAGCCGTTGAAGTGCATGCGAAATATATACTTCCCACTGTCGGAAATCTTTGGCTGTCCGCTGTCAAGGTCTATAGGAAACATCAGGGCTGGTAAGATAGATGTAGGACCCGGGCGCAAGTGGCGCATAATAGCGCAGAGGCTCGCAACGACGGAGCAGTCTGTTGTTATGTCCTGGACTAGGTCATAGTCGTTTTGGGCCCTCATCAGAAAGTTGTTGTGCTGTTCGGGAGGATTTAGCTCAGTCTCTCGATCCAAAATTTCTAATGGTCGTTTCCAGCCCGAGAAGACGGATAGCTGATGAGCAGATAGAGAAAACTGGTAAGGATCGCTAAAAGCATTTCCAGTAAATTCATCAGGATTTGGATCCGAGTCCCATGGTAGAAAGATGCTTCCATGGAGCCGAGAGTTACGAAGCAGGATGGCTTGCTCGCTTTTAGGAATCTGGCGTGCCGAACGCGGTAACTTCAGACGCTTCTCCACGACGGCGACGCTACCACCGGCTTGACACAACTTCTTTAGGCTCTCGGCTTTTGATAGTAGCGATTGGCATTTTTTAATTAGGCGGCTTTTCTCTTCGGGGCTAGATGCTCCCTGGGCCGCTTTCATGTATAGTTCTGCAGCTGCTGCTGCATGATCGAGAGCATCTTTGCCTTGAGTCTTGGAGGCTAATGCCTCTCGTTCCTAAACACGGTTAGATATACGATAGCGTCCACTAAGGTGTTATTTAAGATGCTATTTACCTTTGCCTTTGCCTCCATAGAGGATAGGTTTAACTATTTTTTAGTTATTGTATCATCTGGGTCAGGCTGATCTGGGTTCCGAATCGACCATGAATCGACCAAGGCTCGCTAGGCTCGCAAGGTACTCAATTAGTAGGTTAGGTAGGTAGGATCGAGGAGCAGCCAAAAACTCCACGTCAGCTCTTACTGGCAAACAACGGCAGCATTATATTCCTCTGTCAGACCTTTCTGGGGTACGTAGAATGAGACTCAAGCTCGTGCTTAACGACGTTATGTTATGTGGATAGGTATTAAAGAAGATAGTGTTACGCTTATAAAAAAAACTGGCACGGCTCATTGAAGATAACGCATCTCATATCATGGGTAATATGTATATAGCTCCAACCGGACGAAAAAAAAAAGGAATTGATATGAATAATATCGATTTGTATATAGGTATAAGATATAAAAGAGAGGAAGGAGATAAAATAAAATGAAAATGAAGCAATTCGATATGTTTACTTCATTTCGACGATTGTATAGCTTGTTAAGATAATCGACCTACCTACTACCACCTCACGTTGGAAACATGTTTGTGCTAAGTTCCAACGTATGATTCACGATGGTGCCTTCGGAACTTTTTATGAATTAGGCTTGTTCCTTGCCAGCTGTGGATTTATCAGTTGTTAACCTTTCTACTATGTATGTACTACCTATGTTACACAGATAAGCACCTGGCTTTAAGGATAAGGGGAATTTGAATTATTACATACGATGGTACGTAACCGCAAATAGGTAGACCCATTAAAGACCCATTAAATTACATATTTGGATTAACAACGTCCCGTGAGGTGGATGTACATAAGTTTTCTTCCAAGGTTTTTTCTTTTGTACGCAATTCCCGTTTTTACTTGTTAAGTTCCTTTAAGTACTTACTCGTGTTACGCCCTATTTTTCTGGTTGGTTTATTTAACCCACTAGTTAAGTTAGTGTTTATTAGTATTATTTAAATATTTAATTTTTTTATTTAATTTATAAATAGTAATTAAATTAATTTTTTTATAATTTTAAAATATATATATTTATAAAAAATTTATTTTTTAATTTTATGAATTTTTTAATTTTTTTTATTTTAATATAATATATTTTTTAATTATTATTAATATTTTATTTAATTATAAAAATATATTAATTTTTTAAAAAAGAATTTCTATTTAAACTTTATAATATTAATAAAATTATTTTATATTAATATATTTAAAATCTTTAAATAATAATAATAAATAAAATAAAATAAAATAATTAAATATTATAAAATTAAAGTTTAATTTAAAAATAATAAAATTAATATTATAATTTAAATATATATAATATTTAATAAATTTTAAAAATAATTTAAATTAATTATTAACGATTTTACTTAATAAAAATATAAAATTATTTATATAAAAAATTGTTAATATAAGCGTAATAGCACGTAATTACGTATAATTACGCGTAAAGCTTTAGCTTAATAATGCATAATATAATAAACTTACACTTAAATTTATTAAAATGTAATAATAAAGGTTTTAATTTTAAGTAAATAATAATAATATAAGTTAAATATTAATAAAACATTAAAAGTATTTATTAAAAAAGCTTAAAGTTTTTCCTTTTATATAAATTAAATATAAGATTTAAATTAATAATTAAAAAAATATAAATAAATGTTTAAATATATAATAGTTTTAAATATTTTATAAATTTCTTTTTTTACCCGGTGTTTTTTTAAAAGTATTATAAATTTTATAATTCTTATAAATTTTAAGGATTTTATATTTTTTAATAAAATCTATAAAATCCTTAAAATCTATAAAATCCATAAAATCCATATATTTAAGGTTTAATTAAAATACTATTAATTAACATCTTTATTTTTATATTAAGTATAACTTTATTATTTATTAATTTATAATATTATTTCCTTTTTTTAAGTTTTTTTATCCTTAAAAATTTTAATAAATTCTTTTTTCTATTCTTTTATTTATTTAATTTAATAAAGCTAACTTCTTTTATAATATTAAAATATATATTAAAAGTAATTTTTAAAACTTATTATTAATTTAATTAAAAAGTTGCTTATAAAGCTTATGCTATTTTTATTAAGTTTTTTAACTATTAAAAAATACTTTATTCTTATTATTCTCGTATAAATAAAACTTTTTACTTTTTAATTATTAATTTTTTTATTTATAATTATTATACTTATAATAGTAATTATTTAAATTATAATATAATAAAAATAAATTCTTTAAATAATATTTCCTTTAAACTATTTTATTTATATAATAAATATTATAAAGTTAAAAAAAAACTTTTTTAATTATATAAAAAAATTAAAAGTTAATTAAATAAAATTCGCAAATATTATAACAAAATTTATAAATATTAAGTTAAAATTAATAATTAATAAAAAAAATTAATTATTATTAAAGTAATATATTTAATTATATTAAATATTTGTTAGTAAGTACATATATATATTATAAAATAATAAATAAGTAAATTAAATAATAATAAGGGTAAAACTAGTATATTAATAATATTTAAAAAAAAATTTATTTAAAGTTAATTAATAATATAATATTTTTTTATATAATAATAATAAGTATATTATTCCTTTTTTTAATATTAGTAATAAAGTACTTAAATATTAATATTATATAATTACTATTTACTTTATTTTCTTTTTGCAATTAATTAATTATAAAGTTAATTATATAATAAAAAAAAATCTTAAAAAATAAAAAAAACTTTATAATAACTTATATTAATCCGAATATGTGCTAATATATATACGGACCATTTTGCACATAAGTTAATACGCGTTTATAACAATATACATTTGTACTAATATATTACATTCCTTTATAATAAGCTAAAGTCGGAATATAATAGCTTAAATTAAAAACTATTTTATACGTTAACCCGTATTAATTCATTATTGTGCCGTTTTACATTTAAGTTAATTAACAAGTTCTTATATAATGTTTTTTATTATAGCTAACATTTACACTTAATTATAATAATTCGTTATTATAATAATATATAACTATTTTTAAGCCTTTTACGTTTTACTTACCTTTTTAAATGTAAATTAATTTAATTATTCTTTATTAATAATTTTATAACCTTATTTAATAATGCTTTAATTATAATATTAATTAAATTATATATATTATAAATCTAATAAATATTATTTATTTTTTAATTTTTATAAAATTATTATAAAGTTATTAAATTAATTATTAATCTTTTTTCATTAATGCTTTTTATTTATATTAAGTATTAATATAGCAAAAAAGAATTAATATATAAAACGAAAAGAATTTTTAAAATTAATAATTAATTTAAAATAATATTAATAAAATAATAAATAATAAAGCCCACGTCGAAACTTTATATTATTTTATAAATTTTATTAATAAATATATTGTAAATAATATATTTACATTTAATAAAAGATTAATGAATAATATTTCCGGTAATTTAAAGCTTATTATTTTAATTTATAAATCTTTTATTGCTTAAAATAATTATATAATTAATTTATAAATTAAGGTTTTTATTATTTGCAAATAATCTGTTAATAAAAATATATAATTATAAGTTTTAAAGATTTAAATTAATATAATTAAGTTCCTGTAATTAATTATTTATTTACTATTTAATTTTAACGTTAAAAGCTTTAATTTCCTTTAAATTAAGTTTAAAATATTAAGCTGCTATTAAATAATTAAAAGCAGTTTTAGGTTAATATATAAAGGAAATATACGCTTTTTAAACCCTTTATTTTATAAATTATTTAATTATATTCGGGGATTTAATATTTAATAACGCCAATTTTTTAGCTTATTCTTTTTAAATAATTATAATCTTGTAATTTTTATTATAAATAATAATATAAAAGCTATTAAAGTTTTTAATTTTATTATTTAATATCTTTTAAAGGTGTACTTTAATCCCGATTTTAATAAGTACTTTATTTTTAACGGCAAAGAATTTTATTATTCTTATATTTAAAATATTATCCGTTTAAAAGCTAATAAGTTTAAAAGGATTTATATTTATTATTAATAAATAAAAGTTAAATATTAATAATTTTATATGTAATTTTTATTAATAATAACGTAAATAAGTTTTAAATTAATAAGTATTTAATTTTGTAAAACTATATAGTAATTTAATAATATATAATAATATTTTTTTAAAATATTTATTTTTTAATTCTGTTAATAAATATATAAAAATTGTTTTTTATATTAAAGTTTTAAATTAAATATAAGTTATAATAATATTTTTTATTATAATTTTTATTTTTTAATAATAAAATATAAGAATTAATATTAATATTAATTATTAATTAGCTTTTTAAATGATAAGTGTATATATTATTATAAATTCCTTATTAAAGTTACTATATTTTTAAATTATTAATTATGATTTTTTATATAATGTAAAAATATTTTTGCCCTTAATTTTATAAACCATTTATAATTTAAATATTATTATTTTTTAATATATTATTATATTATATATTTTAAATTATAATATACTTTTATTAAAAAAGGTATTTAATTTTTTTATATTTAATGCTTTATATAATTTCCTTAATATAATTATTTTATTATTTATTTAAAGTTATAATGTTAAAATAAAGTTATTATATTTTTTAATATTAATATATAAAGTAATAATATATAATAAGTTATTAACATATATAAAATCCTTTTTTAAAATAATTTAATAATTATTAAAATTAAATATAAAATTAAGTAATTTAATTTTAATTTCTTTTAATAAAATTGGATTCTCTTTAAGTTAAATATATAATTTAACATATAAATTTTAAAACGTAAATGTATCGCTTAACGCATTTAAAATAATTATAATGTTTTTTTTAATAATTATAATAACCTTGTACGGGCTTTTTTAACCACTTTTCTCCTTATAAATTAATACTTTATTTCCAATAGATAAAGATATAAAAAAAGTTA